GGACCAGGGAAGGTGAGATATACATCCAGACAGAGTCAGGAAGATCTACCCTGTGCGGCCTGTGCAAGTTGGTAGACATCGGGGCGACCTTCACATGGTCGCCGAAGGGGGCTGCCTTGAAGCTACCTCCGGAAGTGGGAGATCATTGGGTCTCTTTGGGTGTTCGAAATGGGTTGCCCTATTTGCCATGGGAACATTACAGAATCCTAAGGCCCATGTTGACGAGGCAGTGGAAATCGAGATGCTCGCAGGCCACAGTGCAGGTGAACTCAGACTCCGAGCCAGTCATAGCGACTCAGGAGGAGAGTCAAATCATCGAATGGGATGAGATGGGAAGGGCAACTATGGCTCAGGAGGAGGCGGTGGCTCACAGAGCTGTGGACGCCAAAGATGGAGAAGAGTTTGCTAAGGCCCTAATGGGGAAGGAGAATCTCACGTATGTGGACATTGCCGATGTGGTAGCGAGAGCAAGATTGCCGTGCGCCAGGACTAATAGAATGAACAAGATCCAGAACGCTGGCAAGCAGGTGAACCTATGGGTGTTTGGGGCATGGAGTGTTGGCGGTTTGCGAGGAGTAACATCGATCACCAAGGAGAGACCCTGGCTCACAAAGATCTTGACGAAATTCATTTCTTCTCAAACGTCGGTGCCATTCCTATCATTTGTCGTGTCGCAGGACGTGGTGTTTAAACCACACCAAGATCCGAACGACGCTGCCTTTGACAATGTGGTAATCGGATTTTCAGAACACAAAGGAGGAGAAGTGTGGATCGAGGCAGACGATGAGTCCAAATTGAAGCCGGAAGAGATTGCTTGGAGAATGGTGAAAGCTGGTGGGGAGCCCCTGGCCGGAACACTTCAGCCTACAAGCGGAGGAAAAGTAGTCAGATTCAATGGCCGGAAGTATCACGGCACAGAGCCGTATGAAGGAAGTCGGAAAGTTCTTGTGGCTTATGTTCCTCGAGGCTGGAAAAATCTTGATGAGAAGGACCAAGCGGCCCTCAAGGATTTGGGCTTCAAAGCACCAGCAGACAATGCAACACCAGCAGACCACATGCCGCAAGCAGCAGCAAGCCATACGATGAGCAACGCCACTCCACCGAACAACGACCCGAATGAACCCTTAGTGCACCCTATTTCTACTACTTCTGGGGAAGTTCAGGGATCAGTCCAGGCGTCAGAACAGGAAAGCTTATGCTTGGATGGCGGGGGCCAGGACTATGATATGGGGATTGAGGTTGAGTTCGGGGAAGAAGAGAGTTTATGCCATGCTGCACCAGCGGCGCCCGAGGGAAGACTCGCTTCCGAGGCTTTTGATGAGGTGCCGGATCTAGAGCTCCCAGACTCATCTTTTGTGACGCTCGAGAGGGAGACAGAGGACGATGAGGCTGCCAGGCGGAAGACTTTTCAGGAACTGGCGGCACAAGGGCTCCGTCATCCTCATAGACGGGTCAAACCGGCAGACATAGCTTTGGGATCTTTAGCAATTGATATTGCCGGACCTTACAAGGAGAGCTTTGGCGGTTACAAGTATTTTGTAGTGGGCATTTTTACTTTCCAAGTTGAGGGTATGGGCTTGGCTTTTGCAGTTCCCGCTACAAACCGGAAAGTGGAAACAATATTGGGGGCTACAGAGATCATCCTTGCTCAACTGTCGGCTATCACGGGGACAAAGGACAGCGTGGTGAGACTACACAGCGACAACGGTCTTGAGCTGGTCACGAGTCGTTTCAATGAGGCAATCAACAAGAAAGGAATTTTTAGAACAACGACGGTGCCATATAACCCCTCATCAAATGGGAGAGCTGAGAGGCAAGTTCAGGCCCTGAAACGAGGAGCGCTTCAATTCTTGATAGAAGGCGGATTGGAGCGAAAATTTTGGCCGTTTTGCGTCATGGAGGCTGCAGCTTGCCAGAGAGCTATTGCCTTGGGAATGAGGGTTCCAAAGTTGGTTCCTGGGGACACCGTGGCGATTAAACTGGATCATGTTGAGGCCTTTGAACCGCGCGCGGAGCGAGCAGTGTTTTTGTCCCGGAATGCTTCTATGTCGAAAGGGGCGTTTGTGCTGGTGACTCGCAATGGAAGTCACAGATTGATGAGGGTACGGGCGCCTGTGAAGTTGGAAGCCGATGATGAGAAGTGGAGGGTGGCTAGCCTGGATGGAAAGAAGTTCTGGGTGTCATCCAAGGGATCTGTTAAAGAAATGGATTCCGAGACCATCGATGAATTGCCTACCATGGAAGAGCGAGCTCACGGACCTGTGGATGGGGACTTGGTTTTTGGGGCACGCTTAGGCGAAGGAGCCGTGGTGGCAAAAGTGGCGCAATCTAATGAGCCGAAGTCATGCGACAAGTACCACGTGGAGACCTTTGAGGAGGAGGCTGATGCAGAAGAACAAGAAAGGATTTTAAATGTTTTGGCTAAGCAAAAGGCTGGAGCTGAAACAGTCAGCGCCAAGGTGTTCACAACAGGGTCGGAGGAGGCACAACATCGTTGGTTCTTAGCTGCTCAGAAGGAGGTGGCTTCGATGGAGGAGATGGAAGTATGGGATGAGCTCCCGGAAAATCCTTTGGAGCTGCGTGAGCACTTAGGATTGAAGCAGACAGACGAAATCCCCGCGATCCTGCCGATGTCGCTGGTGTGTACGGAGAAGCCGGTGCTGATGCAGCAGGACAAGCATGTGTTACAACAAGGCGCAGCCGTTGCAGCTGAACAGGCGTCTGCAGCGATTCTGGAGAGAGTCAGGCTGGTGGTGTGTGGCAACTATGAAGACACATCTGGCATAGATACATCTGCTTACGCGTCGTCGAATGTGGATGTGAACTGCTTGAGGGTGATGTATTCGGAGTTGGCCAATCATCAAGAATGGGAGGGAATGGGATTCGACGTGAGTCATGCGTTCCTATACTCGGATCTTAAATCCAAAAACACCATCTTAATGCGACCTCCGAAGATTCTTCAAACGCTGGGGCTGATCAAGCGGGGACGGCTTCTTCGTGCGAAAAAGGGCATTTACGGACTTAGGTCGAGTCCTGTGTCTTGGGAGTTGGAACGAGACGTCCTGAGTGAAGCCACGTTACCGCCGCTAGCAGAAGACGATTTGCCTGGTTTGAAGGTCCATGCAGTTTCGGACTATGCTGGAATGTGGGTGATTAGAAGAGAAGACAATCAGGAGATTGTGGCGATTGTCAGCATGTTTGTAGATGATGGGCTAGCATTCGGGCTAAGGGAAGCTCTTCTGCGTTTCGGAGAACTGGTGGCCAAGAAGTGGAAGGTGAAGTGGCAAGGCCTGCTATCCAGGACTCCTTTTGCGGGACACATAACAAGAGGAGCGGTGGAGTTGGAGTTCTCTAAGGAGATCATGTTTGTTGGGACGCAAATCCGCTTGAACCATCGGGGTGTGGAGATTTCTCAACATTTGTGGTTATTACAAGAGCTTCAGAAGCGTCAGCTGATCCACTTGAGGGGGCAAGAAAGTCTTCCTGTACTTCATGAAGGAGAGCTTAGAGATGAGCGAGAAGATCGTCAATACACCTCGCGGAAAACTGAGGCACAGAGGGAGTTGGGCAGTTTGCTTTGGCTGGCTACAAAGTCCCGAGGGGACATAGCAGCAGTGATAGGGGCCGCAGCCACTTGCTTGACTAGGGCACCCTCGGAGGCTCTCAGAATTGCTAAAGGGACTTGGCGGTATTTGCGAAACACTTGTTTCTTGGCGGTGCTTTTCAAGGCTACAACTTCCAGCATCTTGACAGGATATTCCGACGCCAGTTTTGCTCCGGGAGGGAGCAGATCGAGAACAGGAACCGTAGTCTCTTGGGGAGCCAGCCCAATTGCATGGTCCAGCAGGAGGCAAGCACTTACAGCATTCTCGACATGTGAGGCTGAAGTTGAGGGTATGGCCTCAACGGTTCAAGACCTGTTGCACGTTCATGCTTTGATTAAGGCTTTGACGGGGCGAGATTTGGGACTTGAGCTCAAAGCGGATAATACATCTGCTGTAACCCTAGTGACGAGGGAGCGATTTGTTGCTCATGGGTGGCGCACACGCCATTTCGCCCTTCGGGCGTCATGGTTGAGAGACATGACGGCTACAAGAGACATCTTGGTGGAGCACGCCCCTGGAGCAGGATTGGTGGCAGATCTCTTGACGAAGTCTATTCCAAAGTGTCGTTTACAAATCTTGCGGCCGATGATGGGATTGATAGACACAAGCATATGATTATGAACCTGGCGGAGACTGGGACAGGGAAGGATGGCGAGGCAAACGCAGGCTGACCGTCGAGCATATTCGTGGGAAGCGTGGAATTGTCCTCAATTAAGGCTTTTGATAAGTCCTCTGCCGAAGGAATAGTCCAGCAGGGGCAACGCGCATGTTTTTGATGTGCAATCCGAAGGGGAGCGGCAAAGCTCTCATGCTTTTCGATCTTTGCCGAGGAGGAGTGTCTCGGATCCTGCACAAGGATGACACGCACACTCAAGAAGTGTACAAGATGACACGCACACTCGAGAAGTGTACAAGATGACACGCACACTCGAGAAGTGTACCGCCATTCGACATGGCTCAAGTGCGACAAAAGATCGCCGATGGTGTGGGTTTTTGAGGGAAGGATTGGGGTTGAGGTTCGTCCATGCTTGTAGTGCATGTAAGCTATGCAATCTACTTACGACCCTCTTGATGACGTACCTATTCAGTTTCGTAGATCTCCTGCTCCTAGTCATTATTCGTTGGTTCCCACTACCCCTTCTACCAACCCTCAAGCTCATAACCTCCAAGAGGGTTTATAGGGTTTATAGGAATTGTAGGTTTTTTTAGGGTTTATAGGGTTTATAGAGATTCTGGGGTTTATAGGGTGTATAGGGTTTAGGTCCGCTTTCCACGCAGGCGGCTCTTCGCGCAGCGATCGCATGGCAAAGCTGCAGTGCCATGATTTCTGCCTGGTCAGCACTATCCGCTGCACACGCGGTGAACCTTGAAGGCCCGACCACATATCTGCATCCGTCACTGGTCCTTCTTCTCTTCACCAGCTCTAGGCTTGGAGCTGCAGCAGCATCTGCAGCAGCAGCAGCAGCAGCACCAAGTCAGCAGCAGAAGGGTGATGATCACCAGCAGCAGGAACGACATGCTCAGCGCCTTCTCCACACTGTGATCCCGCACAAACAATGGGTCCACCTGGCCCATCTTCTCCTCGGATGGCCCTTAACCCCTTAAAAAACATATTCCTCAATAGGACCCTCTTAAACCCAAATGAGGGAAAAGTATAAAGTGTCTCGGGAGCCTACCGAGTCTCCTGAACGTACGGCAAGGGCTCCGGAAAGCGACCCTCAGCTGCTTCTTCGATGAGGTCCAGGGCGCGGCCGAGACCCCCAAAGCTTTGCAAGTCTGCTGCAGCCGCGCGCGTGGCCTCGGCAAAGGCTGAATTGTGGAGTACAGCCTCGGCTGCCTCGACTAAATTCGCGAAGTCGGGTCGCACGAGCACCGCAGCCCCCACCTCCACGAGTCTCTGGGCATTCCCTCTCTGATCGGAAAAGGATGGGTACGCCAGAACAGGCACGCCTGCGGCCAGTGTGTCCGTCACCCCGCCCCACCCGCAATGTGACAGAAAGGCCTTGACTGATGGGTGGCCAAGCACCTCTGGCTGAGGCGTGAACTCCTCAATCTGCAGCTGACGGCCAGCACTTGGAAGCAAGTGCTTCAAGGCCTCTTGCTGAGACGCCCGCAGGGACCATAGGATGCGAAAGCCTCCTGACATCAGCCTGTTGAGCCCTGAGATCAGGTTGGACCCACTGGAGTTGCTCAGCTCATACTTGGTGCCCATGGACACGTAGATCACCGGGGCTGCTCCTGCATCATCCAGCCAGCGCCCCAGCTCTGTTGGCAAGGCTCGCGGCTTTGGCCTGTCTATGGTTCCAACCACGTGGATCGAGCTGGGCAACTTAAGGGGAAGAGTGAGAGGTGGGCCACCCAGCATGATGTTGGTCCGCGCCCCAAGTAGGATCTGTGAGTAGTCCGACGCCGGCTCAAAGCCTCTGTCTTGGAGTACTGAGTTCATGACAGAGAATCCAAAGTTGATGTAAGACTGGAGCATCATGCACTCCACGCGATTCTGAACGCGCTTGAGCAGAGATCCTTAGTAGCCAATAAGGAACCATATTATGATAAGGGCACCCGTTTTTGGGGGTGGTTACTGTATATGGAAACCCATAACCGCCTAAACCCTAAACCCTAACCCTAAACCCTACGCCCTAAACCCTAAACCCTAAACCCTAAAACCCTAAGCAAAAGAGGGTAAAGAGTACCACTGGACTACCATGCATCCTTTAAGCTCGGGCACCGACCTTGGGTTCAAAAGGTTGGGGTACTTGCACACCTGCTCTGGGTCGGACAGAACCTAGGATGGCCCAAAAAACGCCCTCTGAAAGGTTTAGGGGTTTAGGGTTTAGGGTTTAGGGTTTAAACCCTTAAACCCAAATAAGGGAAAACGTATAAAGATGTCCCAAAAGGGCTTATACCTAGGAACATACTCCGGATACGGGGGGATGCTGATGAAGCCCACCCAGGGAAGAGTAGATCTCTTCAACGCGGCGTTGCAGCCCATGGAGATCGCGGAGGAGAAAGCGGCATCGAACCTGTTCCTTACCGTTGGTTAGTAGGGAAAATAGCCCTAAACCCTAAACCCTAAACCCTAAACCCTAAACACTAAACCCTAAACCCTAAACCCTAAACCCTAAACCTAAACCCTAAAGGTACCCTTTTTGAATCCCTTCAAGGGTATATATAGGACCCTATAATTCCCTCATTCCCCGCTAACCAACAGTAAGGTTCTGCGCAAGGATGGCTTCAAAGTCCTCGAGCACCGAGAAGAAGGGCTTGTCAATCATGGCCCGGTAGTTCCAAATCATCTTGGCCCACGCGAGCATGCCCTCGTACCTTCGTAGCCCAGTAACCATCTCATAATAAGGGCACCCCTTTTTGGGTTGGGTACTTTATAAGGGAAACCAAAACCCAAAACAAAAATGGGTAAAGGGTACCACTGGGCTACCAAGGAACCATCCCAGGTTCTTCATGTCTGGAACCTTGATGTTTGCAAATGATGCATCTTCATCTCCAATGTATGCCAGGTGCGCCGCACCGATGCCGCTGGGAAACCACTGGCGTGCCTCGGTCGTGTTGGGCAGGACCATGGTCACGTTGTGGCCTCGTTCCAGCAAGCCTTGCACTACTGGCACGACTGCCAGATGATGACTTCTCATCACACCACCCGTCACCAGAATCTGCTTCGCATGTGCCTGCACAGCAACCCCCAGTAGAAGCCGGATCAGCGCCCGGGGCATGGCTGCAATCATGATCCTCCCTCCCCGCTTCCCTTACAGACGCAGCAGGTGCATGTGTCATGGTGACCAACGCTCTGTCGCACTCTATCAGTCGCCACGCCTGTCTATGCCACAAATCTGGGTTGAGGAAACAGCTATGGACATGCTTCTGGACCCTACCCCAAGAAGGTACTGCATTGTGCTCGTCCATGATTGCTCGTGCCAGAAGATCTGAGCTGTCAAGCACCTCATCAGTTGTCACATCCACTCAGTCCCAACCTTCCAACTGGTGGATCAAGAACCACCTCAAGCCCGTCAAAAACCCGAATAAGCCCTTGTGTGAACCCTTGTCAACCTTTGTCGTCCGTTATAAGCCCTTATAAACCTTAAGCCCAAGCAGGACTAGCCTCCACTGAAGCCAGGAAATCTTCAAGCTCATTGTCGGCCTGCGCCACTTTCTGGAGCCCAGGCTGGGGGGGAGGGAGGCTCGTGCTTCGCGTTTTTTTGCTTCCACGGCCCAATGCGCGCAAAGACTGATTGTGTGGATGTCTGTGATCCGCTTAAGACTCAACTGCATGAACTGAGTGCCTCTTGTCATTTGTGCCCCAAAATATTGGCATGCTTGCCTGAGGATGGCAGACTTATGTACGAAGGAAACCAGGCAATCTGGGCCGATACCCTAAACCCTAAACCCTACAATATGCCCCTCCACTGCACCGATTTTGGCCGCGCGCAGCGGGTGTGAGGTCAAGCTCTACGGCCCGCCAGTCGGACGGAGCTTCATGGTCAATCCGTTCGGAACTTTGTAGCAGGGAGGGTCTAGGGTTTAGGGTTTAGGGTTTAGGGTTTAGGGCTAGATCCTACACCCTCAGCAGATCCTCGATGTCCAGAGTCTGCTTGCAGTCCTTCACAAAAACCTCAGGACATCTCACATCACAGGGGTTTAGTTTCTTAATGTTTAGGCATCATTCCGGCCCCCTAATTTCAGACCAGGCTGCATTCGGCCATGGTATCGTTGAGCCGCCAGCCTTCTTGTGTTTCAACAGATCTCTCTACGTAGGCTTCATGGAAAGCTCCACGTTGAGGGGCGATTGCGGGGGCTTCAGGCGTAGGATTCAGGGTTTCGGCGAGATCTTGGCAGGCGAATATAAAAGGGTGCCACCGTTCTTGCCCATTGGGTTTGGTCAAGGAGTCCCACCAAAAGAGGAACAAGGTACGACTCACGTTTGAATTGACCAGACCTCCGAGTAGTCTTCCCAGCTTCAATAAATACCCCGGTTTGGGGTCGAGGGCTTAGGGTTACATCTCCCCTCCATGACAAGCCCTAAACCCTTAAACCTAAACCCTACATAGTATGGGCCTTTGGTTTAAAGGGTATACAGGGGGTATATACGGGGTCTCAATGTAAGGCAAGAAAAAAATCAAAGTCTCCTCATCCCCCATTTCGGGCTAATAGAGCTTTACCACCCCCACCCCCACCCCCACCCCCCCCCCCCACCCCCCGGAATCCCTAAACACTTTTACAGCCTAAACCCTGAACCCGGAACCCTGAACCAACCCTAAACCCTAACCCCAAGTTTACCAAGCGTCTAGGGGTTTAGTTGCCTGGAGTTTAAGGTCTATAGTGAAGGCTTGATCCTGCCACCCCTGCCTTCTGTAGGATGATGACCAGGCGCGTGCCACGAATCTCCCAATGCGACTCCTTACGCTGCCAAGGCCTTATTAGCCTTTAAACCCTAAACCCTAAACCCTAAACCCTAAACCCTAAACCCTAAACCCTAAACCCTAAACCCTAAACCCTAAACCCTAAACCCTAAACCCTACCTTCTTGCTACTGCGAGGGCGCCGGTAGCTTTTGGGGGGGCTTGGGTGCGGCTTTTGGGGGGGGCTGAGATCCTATACGGCCTGCAAGCCCAAAACCCTGAACTCTGATCCCTGAACCCTAAACCCTAAACCCTAAACCCTAAACCCCAAACCCTAAACCCTAAACCCTAAAACCCTAAACTCTGATCCCTAAACCCTTTTTGAACAGGTTTCCGGAATCCGCCCAAACCCTGTTTTTGCAACTGGGCTTGGGGGCGAGACAGGCCCCTAAACCCCCAAAATTCAAAACCCTGGGCTGTAGGGTAGCCCTAAACCCTAAACCCTAAACCCCAAACCCCAAACCCTAAACCCTAAACCCCAAACCCCAAACCCTAAACTATTTGGGTTCCCACTCTTCTTCACTCGGTCTGGCACCTCCGGGTCGCAGCGATTAAGCAGATCGCCGTGCACCACGGTGCAGTCGCGGATCTTGACCAGCCTTAGTTTAGGGCTTTGGGTTGAGCAGGGCTCTTTTGAGGGTTTAGGGTTTAGGGTTGAGAAGGGTTCTTTTTAGGGTTTAGGGTTTAGCATTCGGGAGAGTTGTGTTGAGGGTTTAGGGGGATTTGGAGCTTAGGGTATCGAATCTCGCGCTACAAATTTTCTGTTTTTGACATTTTTACAAATTAAAAAACTTAATAAAAATTGTTGGTAATAGTGTTGGTGTTATAGAAGGATATTTTGTTGGTATATAACTTGCTCGCGCGCGCGGCAGGCAAGGCAATGGTAAGCGCAATGGTGATATACGGCTTGTCAACATGTTTAGGGTTGATAGGGCTTGGGGTTTAAGTAGCCACTCATGGTGCCACGAGGGGGATTCAGGGTTTAGCCCTAGAAAACCCATCGTTTTGATCAACACCCACATGCTAAAAGAAGCCGACTGCTGGAGACATGCTTGTGACCCTTTACGCCTTACCCGAGGGTCCATGTACCTAAATAGAGAATACTCGGGGCTTAAAGTACTTGCGAAAGAGGGAATTTGGGGCCCAAGTATATCATGATTAGGGTACATGGACCCTTAGGGTTATCATTAAACTCCCTAAACCCTAAAACGCTTCTCGTAAACCAGAGATCCTCTAATACACGACCTCTCACTGCGCGAAGCGCACGCAAAGGGTTCAGGACTTACAGGAATCGCGTGTTTTTTTTTGCCACCCGCGTTGCTCCCTAAACCCTAAACCCTAAACCCTAAGCCCTAAACCCGAAACCCAAACCGGTGTACGTAGGGCTAAGTGGGGGTCCCCTGTGACAACGCAATTTGGGAAGCTCTTGGGGCAGGCCGCACATTGTCAGCTCTGATCTTCACGTCCACATCTCGGGCTTTGCAGCCATCGGGCAGGTCGAACTCGATCTGGGCATTTCGCGGCATGGGCTCTTAAGCCTTTAGAAATCCCCCTAACCAACCCTATAAAAGGCCTTTTCAAGGTTTATAGGGTCTAATACGAACCAACCCTATAAAGGGGTCTGACACGAACCAACACTGTAAAGGGCATTTTAGGAGGTTATAGGGTCTAAAGCTGACCAACTCTATAAAGGGCCTGTTTAAGCGGTTGTAGGGTCTAATACTAACCAACCCTACAAAGGGCCTTTTAAAGGGGCTATAGGGTCCAATAGCCCATGCAGGTATTGCCCGGAGTCTTTCAAAAGTAGACTGGGTCTGTTGCTAGGGGTTTGCCGCATATCACCAGCAGATGGGGGCTAGATCAGGCCATCACCTAAGCCTATTGCCGATATACACAAAACCCTTTAAGCCCCTGCCTGGGAGGATCCAAAAAGTAGATCCCCTTAAGTGCTCCTAAAAACAACCCCATAGTCGTATACTACCATTTGGGGGCTCTGCTTTTGGGATCCTCCCAGACGCCTGCGCTCCGGCTCAATGTGGGTATGTCTCAAAATAGGGGTACCCCTTTTTATACCCCAAAAAAAGGGCACCCCTTTTTTCGGGAACCCCCATGTTTCAACGGCTCGCGCATGAGGGGAATCCCGGCCTCGACGTCAAACCCTGGCGCAATGTTCGCCTGCCAGTGCTTACGACCCAAAGGTGTTTAGGGTTTAGGGTTTAGGGCAGTTGGTGGGGTTTGGGGATTGCGGTTTAGGGTTTAGGTCAGCTCTCTGAACAGCAGATGCCAACACAAAGGTGCCCAAAAGCCTATAGCATGTGGAGAGAGCCATGGTGAGTGCGAAAGAGGGCTTCCTACCCTAAACCCTAAACCCTAAACCCTAAACCCTAAACCCTAAACCCTAAACCCTAAACCCCAATGGGACTCTGATGGGCGTGCCTTCCACGAACCGAACTTGCCCTTACCCAAGCTCCTCTCTCTGGGCCCTTTTTGCATCCGAGACGCCTTGCGGCCGGGATTGACCCCAAACTCACAATGTGTCTTTGCAGGGCTTGGGGTGTAATGATCTTTTCTGGTCTGAGCTGTAAAGAAATAGATGTGTATAAGCAAAAAACCCCCCCATAAAACCCAAGTAAGGAAAATCGAACATATTCCCAACCTAAACCCTAACCCCTAACCCCTAACCCCTAAACTCTAAACCCTAAACCCTAAACCCTAAACCCTAAACCCTAAACCCTAAACCTTAAACCCTAAACCCTAAACCCTAAACCTCGACGAGGCGCCCATCTGTAGGAGGCCGTCTCACCGGTTGGCCCGAAGTAGCCGGGCATGGTCCCAGGCGGCGGCGAAGTTGTAAGGGGACTCCGAGTTCCCTCCAAATCCTAAACCATTTTTGCATCTGGACTCCTTGCACTCTAAACCCTAAACCCTAAACCCTAAACCCTAAACCCTAAACCCTAAACCCTAAACCCTAAACCCTAACTGCTACTTTGGGCAGGGGGTCTGAACCTCAACTCCTCAGGCAATACATTGCCTTCACCACACCCTCAACCAGAGCTTTGGGAGTTCGGTGCATTTTGGTCTGGGATTTGGGGCCCTTGGGCGGCTGAAGGTGATAAGGGCGTTGGGAAGTTGTTGGTGCAGTGCCCTTCTTCATAGCATCTGTCGTTCAGAGCCGAAACAACAGTGTGGAGGGCGTAGGCCTTAGGAGCAACTCTTCTCGGACCTGGGAAGAAGTAAGCTGCCCCTGAACAAAGCACCCGAAGCCCTCCATCCTACACGTGCCCCCTCGGCTCAGTTGGGGGTTCATCTGATTTGCGGCCTGAAGCTGCGGGTTCAGGCTGTAGCCCTTAACCCTAAAACCCGAAACCCACGCGAAGGCCCCCGCTTGTAGGGTTTTACAGCTTCGCTTGCGTGACCTGACATCCGCGCACGATCCATGCTTGAAGCGACCCAGATTGTATAGGGTGTGTAAGGTTTAGGGTTTAGGGCCTGGGCTCAAACAGGGTGTAGGGTTTAGGGGGATTCTAGGGTTTGGAGTCCTGAGTTTCCTGCAAGCCTGCCTCATCGCCATCCACCCCCTGGACGAACTTTTCGGACGCATGCGGTCTTGTGCTCTCGGGTCGTGATCTCAAGCCCACGAAACCTTAGGTGAGCAAATTCCATGCACCTTGATATAATTCCTGCAAGAACTCCGCATCGGCGTGAGGGGCTGCTCCTACAAGTCGACCTGGGACTACCTACAGCTTAGCAGCAACTACCCCAACCACCCTGATTAGTATAGGTATAGCCCATAAATCTGCAGCTAAAGAGGGCCGCAGGTATAATCTATACGAGCTTACGCGTAGCCTACGCAGACACAGGTGGAGCATTCTTGAGCCCACTTGAGCCTCTCGCCTCAGAAGCTGAAGCGTCGGCTGTCTCACGGGAACACGCAATATAGGGGCCTGAATAATTCCCATAGGGTTTGGGGGGGTTATTGTAGTATGATTATAAGGGGACCATAAGGGAATACGATTAGTAGTTCCTTCTGGGTAACCTTTGCGGGCGAGTTTAAAGTTTAAGCCAGACATGCAGGAGGCGGAATTTGTCGATACCAAGTGTGCTGGACCCTTCGCAGATGTCGAGGAGTTCAGCAGCAGTGCTCTGGCTATGAGCTTCTCTAGCCAGGAGCCAACAATAATGGGCACTCGGCAGCCTTTGCTGACCGAGTGTATGACAGAGCCGCTGTCAACAGCTGGCAACACAACTCAACTCATCTGATAGGATGTTTTGGCGGTTTATGCTCTATAGGGTTTATACTCTTTTCCAAGAAGGCCTGTTGCTCGGACAGGATGCGAGACCCCCGAGAAACTCGATGAGAAACGCCCTTCGGACCCTGAACCCTAAACCCTAAACCCTAAACCCTAAACCCACTAGAATCCTGCCCCCAAACCCCACAGTGTGGCAGGGACCAACTCTGCGCTCAGTTCGTCCTCCCGAAACCCTCAACCTTGTCTTTTTGGATGCCACCAAGCCTGTAAGTCTCGGATGCCACCAAGCCTGTAAGTCCCTAAACCCTAAACCCTAAACCCTAAACCCTAAACCCTAAACCCTAAACCCTAAACCCTAAACCCTAAACTTTACTAAACCCTAAACCCTCGACTTTCCTAAACCCAGACATGATATCGTGAGGCCACCAGCTTCGGCCCTGATCAAAAATTAAACGAATAATGGAAACCGTGCTTCGATCGTCATCTTGCAAATGGCCTGTTGGCCTTCGCCCACTGATGATGGCAGACATAGCTGCAGTCCTCTATCATGAGATTCCCTGAACCTTTTAGCCCTAAACCCTAAACCCTAAACCCTAAATACTGCGGGGGGGTGGGGGGGGGCTTCGCCAACCTCGAGCATGAGCCCTCTAAGGCCACCAGAAGCGCATCTCCTCTCAATTCTTGAAGGCCTACACATGAAAGGGACCAAAAACAGGAACAAACATGTTTACTGTGATTAGGAAGAGTAGTTAGAAATACTCTAATTAGTGAGAAAACCCCCGATAAGAAGAACTCTTGCAGCAATAATAACTCCTCGCGCGTGGCTTTGGTCTTTGGGCTCTGAGGGAGCGAGGGGATTTACACTTTCCCAAGCCCGTCCTACCGAAAGAGCCCTCATCAGTCCGCGTGTGTACGCCCGGTCTTTTGCCAGGCGCAGGGGATTAGCATGTTCCACTATGCAGGAGGTCGCGGAATCCGAGAGGCATGGAGAGTTCGGGGGGTTTTAGAGCACCCTAAACCCTAAACCCCTGCGGTATATAGAAGTCCATTATGTCCCGTCCCGGAACCCAATATCCTAAAGCTCTCTTTCGCACAGTTGTGGGCACCAGTCGTCACACATGTCTTGTGGGCCGCTTCCCAAGCCCAAAGCCCGAAACTACCACCAAATGAATATATACATATATATATATATACATTACATTACATACCATAGGTATTGTCATTAAGAGAAAATAGTGATGGTGATACATAATAATTGTGGGCCAATGACTTCTCTAGGAAATCATAAGCCAACTCCTACTTCTGAGGGCGGCGCCAACATACAAACACAAACGCTGCTTGTGAGAGATGTGTGAGGAAACAAACAGACAGACAACACCCAGCAGACGGCTGGCGGGATCGCCTACCAAATTGAACAGACCGAAGATAAGTGTGAGAATTTCTGCGAGCACTGAAACCTAATACTACTAAGAATAACCGAAACCCTCAACCCTAAACCAACAAGAAGAAGACGGTAGGAGCAAGAGAAAGTAGTGATGATGATAATACTAGTACTCAGAATACCCGAACCACTAAACCCTAAACCAAGAAGAAGAAGAAGACAGTACCCTAAACCCTAAACCCTAAACCCTAAACCAACAAGAAGAAGCAGGTTAAGAAGGCAGTAGTAGCAAGTAGGACTCCGCGACTTCACGGTGCCATCTTGACCCTGCCCGCCAAAGTCCCGCATCGGTTTTTTTCCAAGGGCTGTTGCTTGATGCCAAAGGTTTAGAGGGGTTTAGAGGGGTTTAGAGGGTTTATGTAGGGGTTGCATATGGTGTGTATAGGATGTACATGGGGTGTACATAGGGTTGATATAGGGTTTAGGGGTTGCTTTGCAGGGTTTAGGGTTCGCTCTGCAAGTCGATCAGAGGTCAGCTAGGAAGAAAGGACTTAGGATTGAAGAAGGCTACGAAGAGAAACTAGACCCCAGAGTAGCCTAGGAACAAAAAAGGGAGCCCTTTTGGTTTAAAGGACCTTCTAGGGGAATCTAAACCCCTAAAAAAATGTGGAATAAAGGCCTAGTCTGGGTCCTAGACCAGGAAAAGAGCAGACTTCAACAGGGTGCCCACTCCCGCAGGGACTACACGAGCTCGACAGTCGATGATTTGTACTCGGTTTGGGCTTAGGTCCCTATGAACCCTATGCACCCTATAATAAGCCCGATTAGACCTGATTATAAACCCTCTAAACCCAGGGTTTAAGGTTTAGAGTTTGCGGTTTAGGACCTCCACACTGCTACCGCTTGAGTTGCTGAATGACTTTGGGACCTGCAGGGGACGGCGCGAAAAATTGGCGAGGAATCACAAGCTGCGCGCTGCCAGCTTCGCAAAGTTTCCATCCTGCTAGGGACAGTTGCAGGGGCAGGCAGGGCATCTTCTATATATGTGTATATATATATATATGTTTTGGATATATGTGTGAAGAATACATCATTGAAAAGAATAGACTGAATAGATAAAACATGGGGGCTAGTGAAGATGTCAGGCGACTTCACGTGGTATAAGGTTTGGGGGGGGGGGGGGGGGGCTTGTGGCATTGAAGTTCCTAGCAAAGGGTCTCACATGTGAGGCTCAGGGTTGCGTTTGGCAGTGCTGTAGGGCCCGAGCTGTTCATCTCCGACGAGCTGCTGTTGCATGTCTTCGTTTCCCTAGACCCGAAACCCTACATTCCTAGACCCTAAACCCTTGTGTCGAAGAATGGGCTGAAGGCGGCGCAGCACATCTGAAGAGGCTCTTACAAGGACCGTGGTTCTCATCCCAGCAAGAATCGGCACAAACTGAATGCACTTCTCGTGTCTGTGTAACTCATGCCGCCTCCTAAAGAAAAAACCATAAACCTAAACCCTTAACCCTAAACCCTAAATCCTAAATCCTAAAGATGCCGCCAAGCAGGGCTTGGGGTTGAGCCTGTAAGGTGGTTTTGGGGTTTAGGGTTTAGGGTTTAGGGTTTGTTTTGAGTTTTGGGTTTAGACTTGGGGTGGGGGGTGGGTTAGGTTTAGAAGATTTTGAAGGGTGTTTCGGGCTTCCCTAAACCCTAAACCCTAAACCCTCTAAATCCTAAACCCAAGAGCCCTCACAGCATCCCTAAACCCCAAACTCGAAGCCTCCAAACAACCCATGTTTAGGGTTTAGGAGAAACCCTAAACAGGCCCTAAACCCTTTTGCATCCGGGCTATCAACCCTAAACCCTAACCCTAAACCCCAAACCCGAAACCCTAAACCCTAAACCCCTTGAAGCGCGAACGCCAGGCAGGGCGCCATGTGGATCAGCTCATGGTAGGTTCCCGCTTCGACCACTTTGCCGTTGGACATCACGAAGATCTTGTCCTGATTTGGGGGGGGGGGGGGGGGGGGGGGGGGGGTGGGGTGGGGGGGAACCTAAACCCTAAACCCTAAACCCTAAACCCTAAAAACCCTAAACCCTAAACCCTAAACCTTAAACCTTACCCTAAGCCCTAAACCCTAAATCCTAAACCTTATAAACCCTGAACCCTAAACCCTAAACCTGAACCTGAACCCTAAACCCGAAACCTTATTTGGGGTTTGGGGGGGGGGGGGGGGGGGGAGTTAGGATTTTGGGTTTATAGGGTTTCTAGGGCTAGAAGGGCATATCGGGTCCTGATTTAGGGGGGGGGGGGGGGGGGGGGGGTGAGGATTTAGGGTTTTTTTGTGTTTATAGGGTTTGTAGGGTTCACAGGGCTTGTCGGGTTTAGGCGGCTGGGGGCTTAGTGTTCAGCGTTCTAGCACTTTCGGGTGCACCAGAATCAGTGGAACTGCAGCTCCTGAGTTGTTTTTGTTGTTTAGGGTTTAGGGTTTAGGGTTTAGGGTTTACCCACTGTAGGACTTGCCTAGCTCACTGAGCTGTGCAGCGGGACCCACACCTCTCAAGTGTTGCACTGGGGAAGTTGAGAACTCAAGGTGCGTCCTCGCCCCAAACCTGAACACGTTTATTTTGAACCCAGACTCTGTACGTCAGCGAAACCCTAAACCCTAAACCCAAAACCCTAAACCCTAAACCCTAAACCCTAAACCCTCAACCCTAAGCCGACAATTCTCCAGGAAGTCTGGCAGTGTAGCAAAGCATCTGAGTTCTGGATCGTGGAGAGCCGATGTGCCACCGTGATGGTGGTCTTGCCCACCCTTGCTTCCTGTCAGGGGTTTAGGGTTTAGGGTTTAGGGTTTGGGGTTTAGGGTTTAGGGTTTAGGGTTTAGAGAACCTAGGAAACAAAAAAAAGGGGTACCCCTTGTTGTTGAATGCTTCGTCTATGTAGGGCTCTTTGGGAACCCCCCCAAAAATTGCGACCTCCCAAAAAAAGGGGCCCTAAACCCTTTTGCTTCTGGACTGAGGGTCTAGCCAGTACTATGCAAAACAACCGGGAGGAAGGGCAGCACATACCAATCAACTGTATAAGCGCCACCTGCTGAACTTTCAGCAGCAACTCCCTCGGAATCCCGAAGTGCCCCTAAACCCTAAACCCTGAACCCTAAACCCTAAACCCTAAACCCCAGAAGCGCTCCTGCATTGCCTGCTGCACCAGGCGCTCGGACGTGGAGTCGAGAGCCGACGTCGCCTCACGAGGCGGCAGTTTAGGGTTTAGGGTTTAGGGTTTAGGGTTTAGGGTTTAGGACTAGCCTTCTAAAAACCCCCCAAAAGCCGCAAAACAACTCTTTAGGGTCTAGGGTTTAGGGTTTAGGGTTTAGGGTTTAGGGTTAATCCTATAGCAACTCTCCTAGCAAGTCTAGACTCCCCAAGCCCAGGCACGAGGATGCAGGGAATTCTTGAAGGGATCTGGAGGGCTGAGTTCGCTTCGGGCTCTCGGGGAGACCTGAAGATTCGATTGGTTGTCAGAAGCATTTAACTCCTCTCATTCGTTAAGCTCGCATAATAAACCCCAATAAACATCTAAACCCTATACACCATCTAAACCCCAAACCCCCCATAGGGTTCTAAACCCGCACTCCTAAACCCTAAACCCTAAACCCGAAACCCTAACCTTACACCCTTTTTGCATCTGGCTTAAACCCTAAACCCTAAACCCTACACCCCAGAAAATGGGGGGGGGGGCCTTTCAGAGTCTACCCGCCCGACCTCATCCAGCAGCATGAACTGGGGCCGCCGGAGCAGGGCGCGAGCAATGGCGCAACGCTGCTTTTGCCCACCAGACAGCTTCTCCTGGGCGAAGGGTTTAGGGTTTACCTTAAGAACCAAGACAAACCCCCTATGAGATTCTTAGGCAACCTACAAAAAGGTAGGATTTGGGTTCTGAAGGTCGGGTTTAGGCATTGCAATACTATACTGCATACTGGTGCAACCTTCTGCGTGGCCGTTTCACATGGTCATCTTAGACCATTGTAAGATGACAGCAGTATAACATTGTAACATTTTAATGGGGACTGAGGATGATATCGGGCTTGCGGGGGGTTGGGTAGGGGTAGGGGTAGGGGTAGGGGTAGGGGTAGGGGTTCAGTTCGCTGGTTCATGTGAAGGACGCTTCAGGGGCTTTGAGGAGTCCAGGTTTAGGGTTTAGGAGTTAGGCTTCGGATCTTTCCACCACTTGCCTAGCTGACACTCACGACGCATTGCAGGGCACTTACCGGCAATTCAGAGCACTGCACAACAGAACGTCACGAAGCTTCAACGTGTAGTATGCACAGAACAAACCAGCACTCCGAGAGCATCCTCATGTCATCAGAAATGGTTTAGGGTTTAGGGTTTAGGGTTTAGGGTTTAGGGTTTAGGGTGAGTACATTCCCAATACAGGGGTTTCAAAGTAAACCAAGGCGTTGCAAGTCCACAACTGTGATGCTGCCAGAGAACACACAACAAAAGCCAAAACCTAGATTGAGAACTTCATCAACATGCAGCCCGATACGGAGGAATCATACAGCACACACTTTAGGGCTTTGAGTTTAAGGAGCCCTTTGTTCTGACAGCCTCTGGATATGATCCTTGTTCAGGGTGAGCGCAGTAGAGTATGTGGCTTGTGGTGCGCAAGTCCCACTTCCTGGTGCAGTAGATCCACTTACCTCCTCTAAGGGTCCTCAATCAAAGCTGCAAGTTCCGTCTCCTACCACACCCAGAAACTCCAAAACCCTTTAATTCAGGAACATACCTTAAATCATATTAGGGTTCCTACTTTTATTCTAGGGACATCCCTCAATTAAGGGGTTTTGGAGTCTCCTACCACAGCGTCGTAGCCCCCAGAGCAATACAATCACACCTTGAAGCCCGATGGAACCTCTGCAGCGCCCGAAGCACCCCGAAACAATACCCCCGGACTCTATTTGCCTGCAGTTTCGCCATAACTACCCTTAATTAGTAGGTATAGGCCATAATGACCCTACGCCCTAAACCCTAAACCCTAAACCCTAAACCCTAAACCCTAAACCCTAAACCCTAAACCCTTGGGACCAGGTAGGTCTTAGAAACCTGTGCCAAGGACTGAGTAAGTTGAGGCTCTCCGCGGAGGCCGATGCGGTCGGTCCACTTCCTCATGCACGGAAGAGCCATTTCTAGGGTTTAGGGTTTAGGGTTTAGGGTAAAGGGTTTAGGGCTAAGTGCTTAAGCACACCGAAACTTAGTTGTCCAGTACCTTGGGGTTTTAAAGGTTAACCTTTGGGATTAAGGGGAATATAGTACCCCAAAAAGGTTAAAGGTTACCTACTCTGCTTCTTTGAGGAAAAATTAAAATATTCTTCCTTATTAAGGGTAGTATAGGGATTATTGTCTTTTATTCTTGTGGGGTTCTTCAGCAAATAGTAGCTTAGACCCAAGAGTAGCCTAGGTATACAACGGGTGCTCTTTTTGGTCTAAAAGGGGATGCTCAGGGGCCCTATAGACCCTAAAACAGGGAATGAGGGCCTACGGGTCGGAAACAGTAAGTAGCATTCGGGTAGGCTCTGGCTGCCCAAGCTGCACAGCACCCGAGAAGACGTAGTCCATGTTGGCAGCCTGTGCTGCATCCCTCACCTGGGCATCTGTTGCCTGAGCAGCCGCAGAGCAAGCGACGAAGCGCAGGGTGCTGAACCTCTACACCCGCGTCTCCCACAAGCATCGCAGGATGGCGTGTACCCTAAACCCTAAACCCTATAGGATAAGTGGTATTTCTTGTGGACAAAACCCCATCCAAAAAACTCTCGCCGGCAAAAGCAGATCAACCAAAAGCGGCCTCAGGGTAGCCATACTTGACATTCCTGAGCTCATGGGGCGGCTCTTAGGGTTTAGGGTTTAGGGTTTAGGGTTTCGGGCGAGTTTAGGGCTTAGGGTGCTGGTCTTGAGGGTCTGGGGACATGAGGGTTTAAAGGCTCACACTCGGACGAGCCAGGCGAGCCCAAAAAGCAGCCCGGAGGACCCTTGAGAAACCATTTGCATGCTGTCTAAGACAATTGAGTTTGGAAGTGCCTGCTCTTTTGCAGATTCTTCTCCTGGAAGCCCTAAACCCTAAACCCTAAACCCTAAACCCTAAACCCTAAACCCTAAACCCTAAACCCTAAACCCTAAACCCTGAACCCTAAACCCTAAACCCTAAACCCAAGCGAAGTCTCTCTTCCAGGGACACGTCGAAGAGGACTGGCTCCTGGCCTACCATGCCGACCTCCCAAGGCAGTGGCTGCTGGCATGGTTAGGGTTTAGGGTTTAGGGTTTAGGGTTTAGGGTTTAGGGTTTAGGGTTCAGGGTTCAGGGTTCAGGGTTTAGGGTTTATTTAGGGTTTAGGGTTTTTTTTTGCCACCCGTCTAGCAATGCTTGTCGGGGCAACTGAAGAGGGAATGCTGTGTACAGACTTCAGAGCCCAAGTTGAGGAAATTTGAGAGTTCCACACCAACCCCAGTACCCCAATCATCAACCGGCATCACCATCAACCACAATGAACGAATACCAAACCCACAGACCCGTCGGGTACGCCAAGGGCTGGTGCGGCTTGTCGGCGCCGGGTTTAGGGTTTAGGGTTTAGGGGTTCAGGTTCTGGGGTTCAGGGCGTAGGGTTCAGAGCGTTTAGGGTTTCAGGTTTGACGGTCAGACTGAGAGCACAGCACGGAGAGCAAATCAGCAGATGCGTAGATGTGGATCGTCCCTCCACTCTAATTACTATACCCTCTCCTGCCCGACCTGCTTGCGCCACCATGCCACGTTCAGATCACGCAAATCCTGGCCGCCCACTCGAATCGCTCCACCCTGCGCCACAGAAAATGTCAGGGACTCTTGCCTACGGACGAGGAGAACCCAACAGTCGATCTAGCCCACCCCGCCCTCTCCTATAAGTGGCAGGCTGCTGACTCATGAGTCTTGAAATTTCGGGATGTCCTCATATACACCAACTCAAACCCCCAAATTGGGGTCATCTCTACCATTCCTATTATGAACCATGGACCTCTACCCGACACTTCATTCCTATTAAGGCATGACTTAATTTTGGTCCAGGTTGTGGTGGCCCGCCTGGGGGTCGTAGAAACGCTGCAGGAGCTGGATGACAGTGGACTTGCCGCTGCCGGAGAAGCCCACCAGGGCAACCTTAGAGCTCACGGGGGACAGGACGGTTTAGGGCTTCTGCAGCACCATCTCCAAAAGGGTTTAGGGTTTAGGGTTTAGGGTAATTATAGAGTTTAGGGCCAAAGTTTAGGGTTTAGGGCTTCGACTCTCGCACTTGCACTAGGGTTTCGACTCTCGCACTTGCACTTAAGGCAGCAAAGGCGTCGTTGCCCTCCCCTCCGCCTCCGTCGCCATATTCTTTCCCTTCATGTAGCACCAGAATCCAAGGGGTAAAAGGAGGGACCCCTAGAAGGGACCTATAACCTCGTTCCCCTATATAACCCCTCTATACACGTGATATAGTCCCTATATACCTAAGCAGCCCCTAAATAACCCCCAAATAACCCCGAAGGTCCCTTATAAGGGTCCCTGCATTAGTCCCTTGAGAAACCCACCGCTTTCCCTCCTTCCTAAGACAACAACGCCTCTGCCCCGTAGCATCTTGAACTCGAAGACCCAGCTATCAGGATGCGTTTTGGGTTTACAGGGTTTTGGGTTCAGGGCAGCCCCTTCTCACAAAACAACCAAAACCTAAACCGTAAACCTACAGGCAGAGGCAGAGGCAGAGGCAGAGGCAGAGGCAGAGGGAGAGGGAGAGGGAGAGGGAGAGGGAGAGGGAGAGGATGTCCTGGCCCGGAAAGCTCAGCAAAAACTCTCAGACTCAGCACTCATGGCCACGGCCAAAACGCCTTGCGAAGGCAACCCAACACCCCTGAACCCCAAACCCCGAAGCGTACAGCCTAAACCCTAAAAACCCTGAACCTTAAACACTCGAACGACCCTAAACCCTTTTTTTGAGCAACGGACTTTGGAGGCTGCCGGCAAACATGCAACTTCTTAGGAGTCACATCACCCAAAGCCTAAACCCCAAAAACCCTGAACCGGAGACCGACAGCCTCAATTACCAAAAAAGGGGGCAAGCGGCGGCCTGACCTTTCTGGATAGTGAAGTTCAGCTTCTTGAGCACCCGCACCTCCGAAAGAGGGTTTAGGGTTTACGGTTTAGGGCGCTTTTGGCAGGGCCTTCAGGTTCAGTGTGCGGCCCCAAAAAACTCTTTCACCCTGAGGCCTTTGGGCATCTGGGTTGACAAGGTGGCGAACTGAGTCCTGGTTTTGCGCCGTCAGTACAAGACAGGGCTCAAGTCTTATAAGGCCTTCACAGGAGAATGGCTGAGGGGTGTCGAGAGCCTTGAATCGAAACCACTGAAAAAAGACAGACTCCCTCAACCCACAATCCAGACTCCAAATCCCTGGAAGCCGCAAAGCCGATGCCCTTAACTCCCAATCCCTAAACCCTAAACCCTACACCCTAAACCCTACACACCCTGTCCCTGTGAATATCGCGATGCCCCGACTGCCTCCGGCCGATGGGGGTACCAGAAGTGCACGTTCTGCCGACCAGGATTTGGGAGGGTCTGATGAGAAGCGCCCTAACCCTAAACCCTGAACCCTAAACCCTAACCCTAAACCTAAACCCTAACCCCTAAACCCTCTACGTAGCTCCATAGGACAAAAGCCACTTGATTGACCTGTCGAGGATCAGACCACAGAACCCTCTTTGCAGGAGGCCCCAAATGTCCTGGCTTCATCCTTGGGTTTCGGGTTTAGGGTCCTTTAGGGTTTAGGGTTTAGGGTTTAGGGTTAGCACCCTGGGGGACAGTTCCGAGGGCTTACGGGTTTAAAGCTCAGGGCAAGGTTGAGGGGTTGGGGTTTGGGTGTAAGGGTCATGGTATAGAGGTTTAGGGCTCAGGGCTTAAGGATCCGCAGTACGAGACTCTCATCAGGGTCTGTAAGAATCAAAACCTGCGGGGGTTGAGGGTTGTTCTTGAGCATGGGGGCTGAGGGTTGAGGGTTTAGCACCCGAACTTTGAGAATCAAACAGCTGTAAACAAAACTCTAAACCCTCAGCTTGTGGGATATTTTCGCCAACACGAGCCAGCGCGGCGGATCTAAGGGTAAACCAGTTGCAAACATCTAAGGAAGGTCAGGGTTTAGGGTTTGGGATGTAAGGTCAGGGCTTCCCCAGAACTTGCCAGCGAGGTTGGGCAGCAGAGACGGTGTCCTGGAAGTGGATGGACCCGTCTCCGATGCTCTCAATGCGCCCGGTCGGCTTCGTGGCGTCGATCTTGGAAACCTGCACACCCCCGAAATCCTAGGACAGCTTGGGGGGAGGGTTTAGGGTTTAGGGTTTGGGTTTTAGGGTTTAGGGGTTTAGGGGCTTATTGTGCAGCGACTATGGTCTGTAGTGAGGGACGGTGTGGAGGTTTGCGGCAACAAGGGTTGTTTTCCGGCTTCCTGCCATGAAGGGGTGAAAGGAGGGATCCCTAGAAGGGACTCTTAATCTTCTTCCCCTAAATAATAACCCCTAGATAAACCTTGTACAGTGCCTATATACCTAGGGTAGCGCCCAAAACAATCCCTAAATACCCCCCGACCGAAGGTCCCTTGTAAGGGTCCCTCCTTTCCTCCCTTGATGCCCTGGACGCCCATGGCATCTGCAAAAAACATGTTCGCCTACAGATGTCCACGTGAGGCCTGCGGCCTGCAGTGTCAAAAAACTGCCGCTTTACAAACCTTGCTTTCTTTTTTTCAGGGGACCACATGAAGCTACCATAAGTCCCGATGATACTAGAACGTACCATAATCCCCTGTGATACTAGAATCCCTGCTTATTCGCTGGATTAACTCGTATTCGGGCACATGGACGACATTCATAATGGCCCTTTCTTACTGGCTCACTGAGGCCCCCAACATCCGGACTCTTGCCCTTAAGCTTTCGCAGGAAATGGGGGGTACGAATAAAGTTCGGGGTAGACCCTGTTAGGGTCCTTATTGTAAGGAAACCCTACTATTTGGGCCTTCATTTCGGGGAAACCCTAAACCCCAAACCCCAAATCCTAAACCCTATGCTTGTAAACTCCCAAACGGGGCCTGGTCGATGAGCCGGAAGACCTCCATGGCCGAGTGGTGCCCGGATGCAGAGTCGGGGATGTACTGCACGATGGAGCTCACCGACCTACGGCAAGATGACAGGGGCTCTCTGCTGGGAAGCTTATTAAGTGCCTCTAGGAGCTCCTTAAAGGTGCAAGGATGAGGCCTAAACCCTAAACCCTAAACCCTAAACCATAAACCGCACAAGAAAGTACAACCGAGCTGCATCACGCCGAAGACCACGCAGAAGAGGGTGAGCAGCACCTCGTGCGCGTTGAAGTTCCAGTACCTGGCACAGCGCTTGTCCACATCCCAAGGCCCATTGCTCTGTTAGAATCCTGTTTTTGAAGCCGGACTCCCCGTGGGTGCTGCCAGAAAGTGGGCCAAAGCACAGGCTTCCACTGCTACTGACTGGACTCCCATACTCCAGCAAGCCAATCAGAATCCTAAGCCCCAAACCCAAAACCCTCAACCCTAAACTCGAAACCCTAACCCTAAACCCTAAACCCTAAACCCTAAACCCTAAACCCTAAACCCTAAACCCTAGACCCTAAACCCTAAACCCTAAGCCCTCTCCGCCCCAAACCCCTAATTCCCACAAGCACAGGTGTCTCAGCCCCAGGCTGGATGCAGGCGGCGCTCATCCCGAAGCCTTTTGGCAACCGGCAAGGACACAGCGAACAAACATAGGAAGAATCATCCAGAAATGAAGAAATGAATACATAGCTGTATATATGTGTATATATATATATATATAAAGTAGTACTGTACTAGCAACAAGCAGCATCAACATAGCAATAAGCATGAAAATATGCTTTTTTATACGTACATTCTTGTTTATTGTTTTTTTTTTGTATATCTATTTCTTTATTTATCTATATGTGTGTATTCTAAACATGCCTGAAGCCCTAAGAAACTTGTACTGCACTTGCAGTAAGAATAACGTATTTTACTTCGAACATCCCCAACCTCTCTGGAAAGAGATACCCTGGGGTTGGGCACTCCAGAGACACCCTCGGGTTGGGCACAGGGACACCCTTTAGGGTTTAGGGTTTAGGGTTTAGGGTTTAGGGTTTAGGTCTTGGGGTTTTGAGGGTTCGGGTTTAGGGTAGAAAGATGGTGGGACGTGGGAAGCAGACACTCGTTCTCCAGGAAGTCCTCCAGAACCCCCATTCGGTTTAGTCTTGAGGCTTGGTCTACCTAGAAGACCAATCATGAGCCCTAAAAAGGTTGTTAGGGTTGAGGGTTTAGGGTTGAACCCTAAACCCTAAACCCTAAACCCTAAACCCTAAACCCTAAACCCTAAACCCTAAACCCTAAACCCTAAACCTAAACCTTATTGGGGGCATGTGCTGGAGGCCTAAGGGTGCAAAATGATACCTTGCCCATCCGAACGTGGCCGTGGCCTGCGAGGTAGATGGCCTGGATCAGGCTCCTCGGTCCAGCGCCAGCTGGGTTTAGGGTTTAGGGTTTAGTTTTTACTTTATTTGATGTGTCTTGTTCTTGGGCTTCTTCGGTTTCGACGAACACACTCGCACACGGCAGGCAAGGATTCAACGTCCAGTTCTAGGGCGTTCTTGCCGAGGATTTTCGGGGTTCGGGGTTTCTCGGGTACAGACTTCAGAGACACGGGTCCGTTTAGGGTTTAGGGTTGAGGGTTTAGGGTTGAGGGTTTAGGGTTGAGGGTTTAGGGTTCAACTCGGCTTCTTGAAGCAATCGGCTAAGGTCAGCTTGGGCTTGGAAGGGTCTTGTGCTTGATGCGCCAGCAGGGCTCCACACTACTGCCCGCTTCCTCCCATGTTTCAGAACTCAGAACCCTATTCTAAGTAAAACCCTAAACCCTATAAACCCTATAAACCCTATAAACCATATAAACCCTATAAACCCTATAAACCCTATAAACCCTATAAACCCTATAAACCCTATAAACCCTATAAACCCTATAAACCCTATAAACCCTAAACCCTAAACCCTTCGAGGTCAAAGCTGAAGAACCCCAGTCAGCTTCAGGGCTTGGGGGTTTCAGGGCTTGCCTCATGTCACAGCGTGTCCCAAACCCTAAACCCTAAACCCCAAACCCTAAACCCCAAAACCCTATCTGAGGATTCTCAAGACCATTTCGGGCGTGTCTGAGGCGTTTTGCGGCTGGGGGCTTTCAGCGCTTCAAGGCTCCGCGGGCCGGGGATCGGCCTCACCAAGCAACCTTTGCACTCCACCCTAAACCCTAAACCCTAAACCCTAAACCCTAAACTCTACAAAACCCCAACCCTAAAATGCCCAGGCGCATGTTCAAGCCCAGAGAAAGGCCCAGCTTCCACGACTTCCGCGCCTGGGATGCTTCATCTTGCTTGAGGGTTTAGGATTTAGGGTTTAGGGTTTGGGGTTTAGGGTTTAGGGCTAGGGTTTAGGGTTGAAGGCCGCGAGGGTGTCGAAGTAGGGTTCGGGGCCTGGGGGGCGCAGTCTCTTTCGTCTGAGCGTTGCGGCTTGGTCTTGGGATCTACGTCCTGAGGGCACATGAGCGGTAGCATGGCAGCATGGCTTGAAGGGTTGATAGGGTTTAGGGTTTAGGGTTTAGGGTTCCCCGAGCTGCGAGCACGAAGGTTTTCAAGCGTGTTCCCCCCTTGGAGAGTGGCGCCATGTTCTTGGAAGCTGCGTCAAACTCCCGTGCGACAACGAGATCGAGTTGGGAGGCTAAAGCAGGTTTGATGCAGCACGTATGTGCATGTGCTTGAAGCTGAAAAACTCCACCTGCGCGCTTTCAACCCAGGTGGAGTTTACAGAGCTACCAAAATTTCAAAAGAACTTTCCACCCCAAGCATCCTGTGATCACGCAGCTGGGGGTGAGGTCTGCTGAAGAAAATAGCTTGGTTTCCTGCTGTCAGGGGATGCCTGGGGGCCCTTTTGGCATCCGATTGGCATCCTCATGCCCATCGAAATGCCATACTGCACCGAATTAGCTCCCGACAAGAAAAGTTTGCAAACGATCGGCCACATTTTCCCTAGGGAGCTGGACATACATCAAGCTTGGCAGCTTGCTCCCCGGAGTCTCATGCCCAAACCGGGCCCCTTTCACAACTCAGAGGCCACAATCACGATTCTGCATCTCATCGAAAGTGTCCAGGGCCTTGGACAGCCTGCCGAAGCCGTCTCGCAGCTGCTCCTCGTTGATGATCAGCGGGGGCGAGCAGTGCAACAGCGGCGGCCGGAAGAGAGAGAAGAGGCCGTTTTCAAACATTGCCTGGCGAAGCTTCAGAACCGCCGGTGGGGAAGGCTCCCCCAAACGCTGCACTGTCTGGCCGAGGGGAGTCTGCAGGTCAACGCAACCGAAGAGCCCCACGCCCCGGGCCTGTCGCACAGAGTCGTGTCGCAGCACAAGGCGCTCCAGTTCCTCCAGCATCACAGGCTCAAGCTTCTTGACGTTGTCAAGCACGTTCTCCTTCAGCACGTACTTCACCGTCTCGTAGGCGCAAGCCAATGCCACTGGATGGGCATGGAAGGTGGATCCCCATCCCAACGGATGTGTCATGAAGTGGTCCTTGATCTTCTGCCGGACTCCGACGAGGGAGAGTGGCATGAAGGAGGCCGTGAGGCCCTTGGCAGAGGTCACGATGTCTGGGATCACGCCTTCAAAGTGCTGGAAGCCGAAGAAGTTGCCCGTGCGGCCGAAGCCCACCATGACCTCGTCACAGATGAGGAGGATCTCGTACTTGTCGCACAGGGACCGGAGGCCCTCCATATATCCCTCAGGGGGAACGAGCACACCGCCAGCGCCGACGATGCTTTCGACAAGGATGGCGGCAATGGTCTCTGGCCCTTCCGCCAAGATTTGGTCCTCAAGGCATGCCAGTGTCCGGGCCGTCGCCGAGGCATCTGTTGTCCCCCAGCTGAAGCCGCTGGGCTGAGGATTGAAGAACTTGACGAAGCCATTCTGCCCGCTCTCGGCAAACTTCCGGCGGAAGTCGCCAGTGGCGCCCAGGGAGGAGGCTGATGATCCATGGTAGGACCTGTACTGCGTGAAGATCTTGTGCTTCCGTGTGTAGAGCCGCGCCAGGCGGATGGCCGCCTCGTTTGCCTCGCCTCCCCCACTGGGGAACAGGAAGCCGTTCAGGTCTCCTGGACAGATCTCCGCCAAAAGCTTCGCAAGCTTGGCACGCACGGGCGCCAAGCCAAGGCCACCATACACATACGGCAGTGAGTCCAGCTGGTCATTGATCCCTTGCTTGACCGCGTCAGGGACTGTGTGACCGAGGTTGACACACACTGCCTGGCTCGTCCAGTCCAAGTACTTCTTGCCATGGGTATCGTAGAGGTATACCCCCTCACCACGCTCAATCACGGGCAACGCCTTCACCGGATTGCTCGCTGTCCAAGAGAGCATCACGTGTTCATCGGCAGCGTCCCGCAGTTCCGCCGCAGACCATTCAGAGCGCCAGTGAGCCTCTGAAGGCTTGCCAGTGCCATTGTCTTCGGAAGGCATCGGAAGCTGGTCGTAGTTCTCGCCGAGGTAGCGCGCGTTGACCCATGGATGACCATCGGCACCCGCTGTGCTCGAAAGCTTTCCCCACGTCGACATGCGCCGTTCGGGGTGCTGGGACTGTGCCTGCGCCGAATTCTGCGCCCCTTCGGCAAGGGCCTTTGCCGCACGAGAGATCCGTCCGCGAAACATGGGACAGGACAAAAATCGCGAGCTGATGTGATGGCACGGGGGCTTGAGCTCTGACCACTCACAACCCCATGAAATCGCAAGTCAAGGAAATCCAATGCAATGTTTGTTTTGTGGCTTTTCTACTGCTGTCACGTGGTAGCTCATACATACTTTATCTGAGTTGGAGGTGACAAAGTTGATAAATGTAGCAACTGATTGGGCTCATGCGTTCACTCTTTGCTTGTGGTATCCCTGCCTCGGTCAGTCACGTCTTCAGGGCTTAAGCTCTACAATTCAGCCTATCGTCATGGCCCAGGTAGTTAGCCTAGGGTTTAGGGTTTAGGGTTCAAGGTCTAGGGTTTAGGGGTTAGGGTTTAGGGTTTAGGGTTCGGCAAACCACCCCTAAACCCTAAGTCCTGAACGTCTTCCCCCCTTGGAGAGCGGGCGCGACGTACTTCTTGGTCACAGCGACGCTGCTGCAGACTCCCGTGCGACAACGAGGTCGACTGGGGAGGCTATTGCAGGTTTGATGCAGCACGTGTGCGCGTGTGCTTTGAAGCTGAATTCACAAGGCTGATTTTCAGGCGTCCCGAACCCCCATGCTTGCCGATTCTACGCCGTCTCAGAACGACCTGCACGCACACACACGCACTTTAGACTCCACCTGGGCACTTTCAACCCAGGTGGAGCTAGCGCATCGCCAAAATTTCAAAAGAACTTTCCCGCCCAAGTACCCTGTGATCATGCAGGTGGTGCGTTAAAGCAAATAGGTTTGGTTTCCTGCTGTCAAGGGAATCGGGGGGCCCTCTTGGCATCCGATTGGCATCCTCATGACCATCGACATGCCACACTGCATCGAATTATCTCATGTTGCCCAAACCCTCACAACTCAGAGGCCACAATCACGATTCTGCATCTCATCGAAAGTGTCCAGGGCCTTGGACAGCCTGCCGAAGCCGTCTCGCAGCTGCTCCTCGTTGATGATCAGCGGTGGCGAGCAGTGCAACAACGGCGGCCGGAAGAGAGAGAAGAGGCCGTTTTCAAACATTGCCTGGCGAAGTTTCTGCACCGCCAGTGGGGAAGGCTCCCCCAAGCGCTGCACCGTCTGGCCGAGGGGAGTCTGCAAGTCAACGCAACCGAAGAGCCCCACGCCCCGGGCCTGTCGCACAGAGTCGTGTCGCAGCACCAGCCGCTCCAGTTCCTCCAGCATCACAGGCTCAAGCTTCTTGACGTTGTCAAGCACGTTCTCCTTCAGCACGTACTTCACCGTCTCGTAGGCGCAAGCCAGTGCTACTGGATGGGCATGGAAGGTGGATCCCCATCCCAAGGGATGTGTCATGAAGTGGTCCTTGATCTTCTGCCGGACTCCAACGAGGGAGAGTGGCATGAAGGAGGCCGTGAGGCCCTTGGCAGAGGTCACGATGTCTGGAATCACGCCTTCAAAGTGCTGGAAGCCGAAGAAGTTGCCCGTGCGGCCGAAGCCCACCATGACCTCGTCACAGATGAGGAGGATCTCGTACTTGTCGCACAGGGACCGGAGGCCCTCCATATATCCCTCAGGGGGAACGAGCACACCGCCAGCGCCGACGATGCTTTCGACAAGGATGGCGGCAATGGTCTCTGGCCCTTCCGCCAAGATTTGGTCCTCAAGGCATGCCAGTGTCCGGGCCGTCGCCGAGGCATCTGTTGTCCCCCAGCTGAAGCCGCTGGGCTGAGGATTGAAGAACTTGACGAAGCCATTCTGCCCGCTCTCGGCAAACTTCCGGCGGAAGTCGCCAGTGGCGCCCAGGGAGGAGGCTGATGATCCATGGTAGGACCTGTACTGCGTGAAGATCTTGTGCTTCCGTGTGTAGAGCCGCGCCAGGCGGATGGCCGCCTCGTTTGCCTCGCCTCCCCCACTGGGGAACAGGAAGCCGTTCAGGTCTCCTGGACAGATCTCCGCCAAAAGCTTCGCAAGCTTGGCACGCACGGGCGCCAAGCCAAGGCCACCATACACATACGGCAGTGAGTCCAGCTGGTCATTGATCCCTTGCTTGACCGCGTCAGGGACTGTGTGACCGAGGTTGACACACACTGCCTGGCTCGTCCAGTCCAAGTACTTCTTGCCATGGGTATCGTAGAGGTATACCCCCTCACCACGCTCAATCACGGGCAACGCCTTCACCGGATTGCTCGCTGTCCAAGAGAGCATCACGTGTTCATCGGCAGCGTCCCGCAGTTCCGCCGCAGACCATTCAGAGCGCCAGTGAGCCTCTGAAGGCTTGCCAGTGCCATTGTCTTCGGAAGGCATCGGAAGCTGGTCGTAGTTCTCGCCGAGGTAGCGCGCGTTGACCCATGGATGACCATCGGCACCCGCTGTGCTCGAAAGCTTTCCCCACGTCGACATGCGCCGTTCGGGGTGCTGGGACTGTGCCTGCGCCGCATTCTGCGCCCCTTCGGCAAGGGCCTTTGCCGCACGAGAGATCCGTCCGCGAAACATGGGACAGGACAAAAATCGCGAGCTGATGTGATGGCAGGGGGGCTTGAGCTCTGACCACTCACAACCCCATGAAATCGCAAGTCAAGGAAATCCAATGCAATGTTTGTTTTGTGGCTTTTCTACTGCTGTCACGTGCTAGCTCATACATACTTTATGTGAGTTGGAGGTGACAAAATTGATAAATGTAGCAACTGATTGGGCTCATGCGTTCACTCTTTGCTTGTGGTATCCCTGCCTCGGTCAGTCACGTCTTCAGGGCTTAGGCTCTACAATTCAGCCTATCGTCATGGCCCAGGTAGTTAGCCTATAGGGTTTAGGGTTCAAGGTCTAGGGGTTAGGGTTTAGGGTTTAGGGTTCGGCAAACCACCCCTAAACCCTAAGTCCTGAACGTCTTCCCCCCTTGGAGAGCGGGCGCGACGTACTTCTTGGTCACAGCGAAGCTGCTGCAGACTCCCGTGCGACAGCGAGGTCGACTGGGGAGGCTGTTGCAGGTTTGATGCTGCACGTGTGCGCGTGTGCTTTGAAGCTGAATTCACAAGGCTGATTTTCAGGCGTCCCGACCCCCGTGCTTGCCGATACGCCGTCTCAGAACGACCTGCACGCACACACACGCACTTTAGACTCCACCTGCGCGCTTTCAACCCAGGTGGAGCTAGCGCATCGCCAAAATTTCAAAAGAACTTTCCCGCCCAAGTACCCTGTGATCATGCAGCTGGGGTGAGGTCCGTGAAAGAAAATAACACCTGCTGTCAAGGGAATCGGGGGGCCCTCTTGGCATCCGATTGGCATCCTCATGACCATCGACATGCCACACTGCATCGAATTATCTCATGTTGCCCAAACCCTCACAACTCAGAGGCCACAATCACGATTCTGCATCTCATCGAAAGTGTCCAGGGCCTTGGACAGCCTGCCGAAGCCGTCTCGTAGCTGCTCCTCGTTGATGATCAGCGGGGGCGAGCAGTGCAACAACGGCGGCCGGAAGAGAGAGAAGAGGCCGTTTTCAAACATTGCCTGGCGAAGCTTCTGCACCGCCGGTGGGGAAGGCTCCCCCAAGCGCTGCACCGTCTGGCCGAGGGGAGTCTGCAAGTCAACGCAACCGAAGAGCCCCACGCCCCGGGCCTGTCGCACAGAGTCGTGTCGCAGCACCAGCCGCTCCAGTTCCTCCAGCATCACAGGCTCAAGCTTCTTGACGTTGTCAAGCACGTTCTCCTTCAGCACGTACTTCACCGTCTCGTAGGCGCAAGCCAATGCCACTGGATGGGCATGGAAGGTGGATCCCCATCCCAACGGATGTGTCATGAAGTGGTCCTTGATCTTCTGCCGGACTCCGACGAGGGAGAGTGGCATGAAGGAGGCCGTGAGGCCCTTGGCAGAGGTCACGATGTCTGGGATCACGCCTTCAAAGTGCTGGAAGCCGAAGAAGTTGCCCGTGCGGCCGAAGCCCACCATGACCTCGTCACAGATGAGGAGGATCTCGTACTTGTCGCACAGGGACCGGAGGCCCTCCATATATCCCTCAGGGGGAACGAGCACACCGCCAGCGCCGACGATGCTTTCGACAAGGATGGCGGCAACGGTCTCTGGGCCTTCCGCCAAGATTTGGTCCTCAAGGCATGCCAGTGTCCGGGCCGTCGCCGAGGCATCTGTTGTCCCCCAGCTGAAGCCGCTGGGCTGAGGATTGAAGAACTTGACGAAGCCATTCTGCCCGCTCTCGGCAAACTTCCGGCGGAAGTCGCCAGTGGCGCCCAGGGAGGAGGCTGATGATCCATGGTAGGACCTGTACTGCGTGAAGATCTTGTGCTTCCGTGTGTAGAGCCGCGCCAGGCGGATGGCCGCCTCGTTTGCCTCGCCTCCCCCACTGGGGAACAGGAAGCCGTTCAGGTCTCCTGGACAGATCTCCGCCAAAAGCTTCGCAAGCTTGGCACGCACGGGCGCCAAGCCAAGGCCACCATACACATATGGCAGTGAGTCCAGCTGGTCGTTGATCCCTTGCTTGACTGCATCAGGGACTGTGTGACCGAGGTTGACACACACTGCCTGGCTCGTCCAGTCCAAGTACTTCTTGCCATGGGTATCGTAGAGGTAGACCCCCTCACCACGCTCAATCACGGGCAACGCCTTCACCGGATTGCTCGCTGTCCAAGAGAGCATCACATGTTCATCGGCAGCGTCCCGCAGTTCCGCCGCAGACCATTCAGAGCGCCAGTGAGCCTCTGAAGGCTTGCCAGTGCCATTATCTTCGGAAGGCATCGGAAGCTGGTCGTAGTTCTCGCCGAGGTAGCGCGCGTTGACCCATGGATGACCATCGGCACCCGCTGTGCTCGAAAGCTTTCCCCACGTCGACATGCGCCGTTCGGGGTGCTGGGACTGTGCCTGCGCCGCATTCTGCGCCCCTTCGGCAAGGGCCTTTGCCGCACGAGAGATCCGTCCGCGAAACATGGCACAGGACAAAATCGTGAACTGATGTGGTTGCAGGGGGCTTGAGCTCTGACCACTCACAACCCCCCGGAATCGCCATCCAGGTCGCAAGTCAAACATATCCAATGCAATGTTGGTTTTATGGCCTTTCTCCTACTGTCATTAAACCCTGCACCCTAAACCCTAAACCCTAAACCCTAAACCCTAAACCCTAAACCCTAAACCCTAAACCTGCTTTGGACAAGCAACATTCATCATGGCGAGGACGTCCAAGGACTCGTTGAGGATTTCCATGGTGTGCTCTTCCTTGGCCCCCAAGGGTTTAGGGTTTAGGGTTTAGGGTTTAGGGTTTAGGGTTTAGGGTTTAGGGTTTAGGGTTTAGGGTTCAAGCCCTCTAAAGGGTTCAGGGTTTGGGGTTTAGGCCTAGAAACCCATAAACCTCAAAAAAGGGTTTAGGGTTTAGGGCTATCAACCCTAGTCCCTATACATTCCATAAACCCTAGAAACGATGTAAACCGATACAGTGTGTAAATAAACCCTCAGTAAGGGTTCTTATAGTTTACTCTTTTTGGACTTACCCACACACAGAGAGGCTAGAGGGTGCCCAACTCTCTTTTCTGGCCCAGGACATGTGTTGGGGAATTGTATGCGAATAGAAGCCCCACAATAGGCCGCCGGTCACGAAGGCCTGGTGTGCAAGTGCCAATGCTTTCCCTGGAAGGGTTTAGGGTTTTAGGCCTCAAGCAGCTTATCAGGCCTTCAAGTAAAGAGTGGCCTGATGAACTGTGCTGACAGTGACATGGCCCTGTGCGTTTGGATTTGGAGTCTCTCACTACTGGTTTAGGGTTTAGGGGTTAGGGTTTAGGGTTTAGGGATTTTTTCCCCACAAGCAAACCTTCAAGCCGTGGCTCCATGTACATCAGAGGCAGCTACAGGCCCTAAAGCATTGAAAGCACCTTTTTGCCCCAAAAACCTAAACCGCCTTTAAAACATAGAAAGCTTAGACTTGGAATCTCAACCCCAAACCCTAAACCCTATATCGGTATCTTGACCCGACGTCCGAAACGCACGTACCCTGGCCCTGAGCTCTGTCACTCTAAGCCCTACTAAGCCCTAAGCCTCCGAAACCCTGAACCTTTAGACCCCACACACCCGAAACCTACACCTTATAAACCACCTAAACGGTAAACCCTAAATCTGAACTGTACACCCAAGCCCCCGAAATCCCCTGCATCCTCCAAACCCCCAAACCCCCGAAACGTCCTAAACCCTGAACCCTCAACCCCAAGTTGTAAAAACCTTAGGGTTTAGGGTTTAGGGTTTAGGGTTTAGGGTTAGGAGGAAACCCTGAACCCGAAGCCCAACTTCCTGCCCAGCAGCCGCCCCAAGGGCTCTGACCGTTCGAATGGCCGTCGCCGCCTCTTTTTTTGGCGAAACATAAGAACCCTAAAACCCGTTTTTGCATCCTAAACCCTAAACCCTAAACCCTAAACCCTAAACCCTAAATTACTAAACCCTAAACCCTAAACCCTAACCTTAAAACCCCAAAACCTGACAGGGTTTAGGGTATGGGCTTCAACCACACAACCTGCTTTCAATGAGGAGATGAACCCTAAACCCTAAACCCTAAACCCTAAACCCTAAACCCTAAACCCTAAACCCTAAACCCTAAACCCTAAACCCTAAACCCTAAACCCTAAACCCTTCCCTGGGCTCTTTGGCACAAGCTTGCCGAGAAAGAGGGCTTGGGATCCTGAATCCTGGAAGCTCTTGCTGCGGAGTGTAAAGGGTTTAGGGTTTAGGGTTTAGGGTTTAGGGTTTAGGATCCTATAATCCCAATCCTGCCCAAAAGCAAAAGCTCAGGAGCGCCTCAGCCGTCTCCTTTCCTGCCTTGGCGTAGGCTCTCCTGAGTTAGCGAGGCTCCTACTCACTGAGCCTTGTTGCCCTAAGCCTAAGCCACACGCTCAGTTTTAAGATTCTCCTATGCGCCATAAGCCCCTCTATGCCCTCTCTCTCTCTCTCTCCCTCTTTCTTTCTGTTGTTTGTTCTCTCTCTCTCTCTCATTCTTGTTCTCATTCTCTCATTCGCTTTTCGATTCTCTTCCTCATTCTCATCTTCAAGTTCTAAGAGCCAAAAGCTCGCGCAATCCGATTCATTTCTGGAGGGTCGGCTGCGCAAACCTGTTGCCTTGAAGGGGCACAAACCAAGAAACGAAACACAGCTACTGCATACTCTATCTATATTCCAATATCTAGTATCTAATATCACAAACAATTCAATGGTACATAGTCACATAGTCTATGAAATTATCAAAAACAATTCAATGGTACATACTCTATCTATATTCCAGTATCTAATTTCTAATATCACAACAATCTCAATGGTACATAACATATGACATAATAAAGTCTTCAAAAGCAAGACTTACGAAGGCCGAACTCCGAAAAGCCCAAACATGTTCTCAAACTCACCTAGGGTTTAGGGTTTAGGGTTTAGGGTTTAGGGTTTAGGGATCAGGGCGCCCTCAACCCGAACTGCGTCGCTCAGCGGCTCATTCTCGGGATCCACACGCGTGGCGCAAGCTGCAACCTGGGCTTCCCCCCCCCCCCCCTGGCGCCCCTTCAAGGTTTGGGGTTTGGGGTTTAGGGTTTAGGGTTTGGGGTTTGGGGTTTGGGGTTTGGGGTTTGGGGTTTGGGGTTTGGGGTTTAGGGTTTGGGGTTTGGGGTTTGGGGTTTGGGGTTTATGGCCAGCCAAGCAGACCGGCCACACTGCAGGGAGCAACAAGTTCGGCGTCTTAGAGGTGCGCTTGAAAAAACAAGTGCAGACCGGAAGGCTTGCTCGAAGACGTAGCCTAGGCAGTTTACGTCCTGCAGCACTTCCTTTCCCGATGTACGCTTTACAGGCGAAAGCTTCTTCCCCACCCCGGCACTCGCGCACACAGGGGGCCTAGGTTCAGGGAACTAGTTCCTATGACTTGTTTTCGTCTTAATTTTCGTTGGGAGGGGCGCGGGGTTAGGGCACCAGTGTAACAGCAACCCCTTGACGTTGCCGTATGCCCTCTTTGGGCCCTAGTTTGTTCGGGTAGCAGCAAAGGAGCCCATCATTGCAGCCTTTGGGGTTGTCACTCCAAAGCTCCAAAAGCCCTAAACCCTAAACCCTATAAACCTTAAACTCTAAACCCTAAACCCTATAAACCTTAAACTCTAAACCCTAAACCCTAAACCCTAAACCCCGCTCTTTCAGGAACCCTAGATTGCTCGGAAGGCTTCAGGAGTCCCCAAGCAGCTCCTGGTGGCCAACGTACGCCCAAGCTATACCCCATACCAGAACACGATACTCTATTAACTTCATTAATCAATATGACCACTATCAAAAAAATCGTGAAAAATCTAATTTCATGTTTGTATTATGTGGCGATTTTGTTTTCTCGACTGGGCAGAATACCCTAGTCTACTTCCCTTAGAACCTTAATAAAAAACAATATCTTTAATATCCTCTTGGGTGTTATCTAAACAAAGATACAAAATGATTCCCAAGTGGGATATAGCCTAATCCTAAACCCGGCCCTAAACCCCGCTAGCAGATTCTTTGGACCTGAAGGGAGGTTGGCGGACCCCATCGGTCGGTCTTACAGGCTTCGCGGCCCCCTGAACACGACAAAACTATAACCCTAAACCCTAAACCCTAAACCCTAAACCCTAAACCCTAAACCCTAAACCCTAAACCCTAAACCCTTCAGATGCTTTGGGGGCTAGGGTGGCCGAGGCGCCGCAAGTCCCAGGAACCCGCAGATGGGCAGCATGCCCAGGAGCAGCAGCGCCTTTGCTTACCATAGTTCAATGCGACAGGGTTTAGGGTTTAGGGTTTAGGGTTTAGGGTTTAGGGTTTAGGGTTTAGGGTTTAGGGTTTAGGGTTTAGGGTTTAGGGTTTAGGGTTTAGGGTTTAGGGATTTTTGTTCCCCTCCTGCGCAGCTGGGGCGAATTCACGGTTCAGGGTCTTGGGCTTGGAGAAAAGCGCCCTAAGGATCCATGTACCTGTCTAGAATATATTTGAGCCCTAGAGCTGCTATGTAGGAACCCCTGTAAGGCCCGTGTATAGACTACACATGGATCCTTGGGGAAAGAGAATCCTAGGCCTCCCCTCTATTTCTGTAGCGGAAAGCCATGTCGCTAAATTTCCCCATGAAGAGCCAGCTTACGTAGGATTTTGGTACGCTGTGCGTCACTGTCGTCCTCGCACACGTCAACTCTTCGTGGGCTTGGGAGCGTTTATGCGCAGATCTGGAGTTACGAGTCCCCCTAAACCCTTTTTCCAAGAGATTTCGCCCCCCCAAACCCTAAACCCTGAACCAGCAACCCCAAACCCTCCAACGAACCTTGGGGCTCAGCCATTGCAACTATGAGACGTTTTGTTATGGAGAAGGGAGCTTAGGGTGTGAGAGAGCTTGCGTAGATGCACTGGAATGCCTTGAGAAATTCGGCCGAAACCGTAGGTTGAGTTTTTTCGGATTTTTGGTCTGAAAGGTTTTACAAAACAAGGGCTTAGGGCCTAGGGCATCTAGGGTTCACAGGGTTCATAGGATGTATAGGGTTTCACATGAAATTAGGCTTTCTAGGGTTGAGGATTCAGGGCTCAGGGAACTTCTAAACAAAAATGCCAGCACGGACACCAGTCTTCCTGGCGGAGCCGGAACAGTCCGTCCTGTGCCTCTAACTCTTAAGTACCCTAAACCCTAAACCCTAAACCCTCAACCCTCAACCCTAAACCCTACCCTAACCCTGGGTCATGCCATGGAAGCTGGAGAACTTCTGCAGGCAGGACTGCTGCGAATTCTTGGTTTGGAGTTCTCCCCTGCTTTCATGCGGAGCCGTAACCATGACACATGCATCACAATTGTCGGCCATAGCCGCCCTACAACGCACCGCCAATTGCCTGACAAAACCAGGCTTGTGGATCTCGCCTGGCAAGCTGCTCATCCCAAAACCCTGAACACTGGACCCTCAACCCTGGACCCTCATTCAACAGAAATCTCTTGGGATGTTACCCAGATACTAACAGTCCCTTATAGGGATTATAGTAGGGGGTACTAGAATCCCTATTCGGGGTTTAGGGTTCAGGGTTTAAGGGTTTAGGGTTTAGGAGGGGGTACTATAATCCCTATTAGGGACAAGTAATCAGTAATCAGGGCAGGCTGCCAGCACCCAGGAGCCAAAGAAGCTGAAGCACACGCTAAGAATGCCTCGGCGGGTCGGACTTTTTGTTGCTTCCTACCTTTTTCACAAGGGACTCGACTGCTGCCCTTTCTGCCCAGCCCGCCCCCACACCACAGTGCCTATGACTGCAGGGCGAGAGTCGCCACTTCGCGGCACCAAGCTTCAGGCACAACTTGATAGGACACTACTCTCTGGAATGCTTTGTATAGCTTGACAGTGACATCATAGAGGGTACGCTCAAAGATCTCAAAAGCAGTATGCGCGAAGAGAACTTGGAAAGACAGCCAGGTGTCCACATATCTGAGATGACAAATGACGAAGTGCAAAACGGAGTAAAGGTCCTCATGCCGTGCAAATGTCAGACTTTGCCAGCCGTCCGTGACATCCAGCCACACCACAGCCCAAGAATCCGAACGCAGCAGCACGAAGAGACTCAACATGGGCTATTATACCCTCCAAGGGTTTAGGGTTAAGTCTCTCACGCTCGAACAGGCGAGGCCTGGGCAACGACGACTCTTCGAGTGCGGGTTTGCAGCTACCTCCTTTAAACGGGTAAGGGTTTACAGGGTTCAGGGTGTAGGGTTTAGGCCTTAGGGTTTAGGCTATAGGGTTTAGGGTTAGGATTTAGGGGGCTTTGGGTCTAGAGCTTAGAGTTGAGGGGTTTAGGGCCCCTGAGTTTGGTGACCTGGGTGGGGGAGGGGAAGAGGCCCATCAAAAAAACGGGGAGGATGAAGGCCTAGTTGTCCAGTACCTAGGGGAAACTCAAGGTTAACCTTTGGGATCATGAGGGGATTGTACTACCCCGAAAAGGTTAAAGGTTCCCTACTCTACTACTACTACTACTACTACTACTACTACTACTACTACTACTACTACTACTACTACTACTACTACTACTACTACTACTACTACTAATACTACTACTACTACTACTACTACTACTACTACTACGACGATTACTACTACTACTACTACTACTACTACTACTACTACTACTACTACTACTACTACTACTACTACTACTACTACTACTACTACTTACTACTACTACTACTAACTACTACTACTACTACTACTAACTACTACTACTACTACTACTACTACTACTACTACTACTACTACTACTACTACTACTACTACTACTACTACTACTACTACTACTACTACTACTACTACTACTACTGCTACTACAACTACTACAACTACTAAAACTACTAAAACTACTAAAACTACTAAAACTACTAAAACTACTAAAACTACTAAAACTACTAAAACTACTAAAACTATTAAAACTACTAAAACTACTAAAACTACTAAAACTACTACTACTACTACTACTACTACTACTACTACTACTACTACTACTACTACTACTACTACTACTAATACTACTACTACTACTACTACTACTAATACTACTACTACTACTACTACTACTACTACTACTACTACTACTACTACTACTACTACTACTACTACTACTCCTACAACTACTACTACTACGCTACTACTACTACTACTACTACTACTACTAAAACTACTAAAACTACTAAAACTACTAAAACTACTAAAACTACTAAAACTACTAAAACTACTAAAACTACTAAAACTATTAAAACTACTAAAACTACTAAAACTACTAAAACTACTACTACTACTACTACTACTACTACTACTACTACTACTACTACTACTACTACTACTACTACTACTCCTACTGCTACTCCTACTACTACTACTACTACTACTACTACTACTACTACTACTACTACTACTACTACTACTACTACTACTACTACTAGGGTGTTTAGGTGTTAAGGTAGACGGGCCCTGTTTGCAGCGGAAACCCTCAACCCTTTAAACCCTTCAAGCCAGGCCCCGAAACCCCATAAACCCAATTCTAAACTAAAACTCATAAACGTGTGCGAGGCTGCTTTGGACCAGGAATGAAGCGCGCCAGAAACAGAATTTCGAGGGTTTAGGATTCAGGGTGGTGGCCGCCTCGCAATTCTGGTGGCTTTACTTCTTGGGCGTTTGGTAGCCCAGTAGCCATGTTAAAGTGGGAGCACCCTTGCTTGGGATATTTACTTGAGAACGGAACCCAGAACCAAGAGAAAGCGTCAAGTTTCTGGGTGAAGACTGGGCTACCAAGATTAGGGTTGCAATAGAACATGTTCGAGGACTAAACCCTAAACCCTAAACCCTACACCCTAAACCCTAAACCCCTTCGTGCCGGGATACAGGTGAAGATGGCGCCAGTGGAGTTACCCAGCTGGATTCCGAGCATTTGTCCGACGCGGTTCATGTGCCTGCTCATGGTTTCGCGGTTTAGGGTGTAGGGTTTAGGGTTTTAGGAAAAAGCAACAACGGAGCAACCAAAAGATCGAACAGGGTTACGCGCGCGCACATGCACGGCGCACAAACTCAGCCCTAAGCCCTAAGCCCGAGACCTCGACATTCCAAAGCGCCATCACCAAGACTTGGGATGTTCCCCCTTATACTAACAATCCTTAATTTAATGGGGGGGGGGGTACTGTAATCCCTATAAAGGACTGTTAGTATAAGGGGAAACATCCCAAGCCAAGACGTTGAAAGGAACGTCCTTCGACCCTAAACCCTAAACCCTAAACCCTAAACCCTAAACCCTAAACCCTAAACCCTAAACCCTAAACCCTAAACCCTAAACCCTAAACCCAAGCTGGGGGCCTCTCCAGGGACACCAGGATGCTTCCCGTCTGGTTCTCCGGGGCATCGAAGAATTCCATGTCCATACCTTTTCAATCCCCTGAACAACCCTTAGCTCTATAATCAACCCTAAACCCTAAACCCTAAACCCTCAGGCCTAAGCCCTAAACCCGAAACTCCCTAAGCCCTACACTCCAACGCGGTGGTTCCCTCTACGCCAGATTTCTGGACCGATGCCACAGCCGGAAATCACCCAGAACCCTAAACACTAAACCCTAACCCTAAACCTGAAACCTGAGCCCTAAACCCTAAACCCTAAACCCTAAGCCCTAAGCCCTAAGCCCTAAGCCCTAAGCCCTAAGCCCTAAGCCCTAAGCCCTAAACCCATCCGAGCCGCGGATTGTCGAGGCGAAAGCCATCTTTCGGAGGATCATGCACAGGCACTCCTGCCTCGAGGAGGGGAGCAGACTTCGAAGATACTAGGCTAAGGGTTTAGGGTTTAGGGTTTAGGGTTTAGGGTTTAGGGTTTAGGGTTTAGGGTTTAGGGTTTAGGGTTTAGGGTTTAGGGTTTAGGGTTTAGGGTTTAGGGTTAGGTTTAGGGTTTAGGGTTTAGGGTTTAGGGTTTAGGGTTTAGGTTTAGGGTTTAGGGTTTAGGGTTTAGGGTTTAGGGTTTAGGGTTTAGGGTTTAGGGATTAGGTTTAGGGTTTGAGGTTTAGGGTTTAGGGTTTCGAGTCCCTTGCTATATAACCCTTATCTACACTACATACAGTAAGGGCCCACCCTTCGGATCCCTCACACTATGGACTCATGGTTCCAACCTATGATACTAAGGTCTGAATACAACAAGTGTCTTAAAGATGTCCGTGAGCTTGATGTAAAGTTTCTGCTCTGTTCTGTTCTGTGCGGACATCCGGGATATCAAGTTTGAAGATGACACAATCCCTCTGGAGCCTATGGTAGAAGAAATTCTCTGTCGTCAGGTGCAGTAATAGAGTAAGATCGAGGCTCGACATACGGACATCGTCTTCTGCTGTCTGGCCATGAATAACAACCGATCATGCCCAAACGCCGCCTTCCAGGAAACCCTCTGCGGCTGCATTGGTGGTGGGTTGCAGTTGCTGGGGCAAACCCTGAAACACCCTAAACCCTAAACCCTAAACCCTAAACCCTAAACCCTAAACCCTAAACCCCTAAACCCCTAAACCCCTAAACCCCTAAACCCTAAACCCCAGGCCAAGGAGCAGGTAGGTGAAGAGGAAGTTCTGGCAGAGCACCGCCACACCCGAGCCGAGACCGACCAGGATGAGACACAAGACGGCCTGCAAAGGGTAGGGTTCAGGGTTTAGGGTTTAGGGTCTAGGGTTTAGGGTTTAGGGCTTAGGGCTTAGGGTTTAGGGTTTAGGGTGTGGGGTTTTTAAGGGTCGTTTTGTCGCTCCCGCATAGCTGAACTGAGGTAAAGGGCTTAGTGTTTACGGACAGGTGCTGATCTGGGGTTAAACTTTAGGGATAATCAGGGTACAGGGCCTTGTTTTCTCACCCACCCGCCAAGCAAATCAGCCACGCTGCAAAGCAACATTTTGAGGGACTGTAGACGCAAGTGTGCGCAAAAAGGGCAAAAAAGCGCCAGGGCTTCAGATTTCTGAGCCCTATAGAAGCCTGTTTAGTCAATGCTGGGCTAGTGTGTGCGTCGGGTTCAGGGTTCCAGTGCATGCTCCCCACGCGCATGAATCAAGGCACGCAAAGCTCTTCATGTCCGCGCTCTACCATTCAACACATCGTTCGTGGTGTCAGAAAACTGGGCCCTGGGGCTTTGAGGGTCTTGACTTGCTGCACCACCATCCCCCCAAAGCCATAAGCCCCCAGCCATACTTGTGGGCTACCTAAGAACTCTCGCAGGGGCTGTGCAACGAAACCTACCAGAAAGCAGCCTTGGCGAGCCTTGGGGTCCTGGAGCTGGGGTTAAAAGGTGTGGCACCTCAACCCGAAACCGTTTTGCAACCTAAAACCCTAAACCCTAAACCCTAAACCCTAAACCAAGGTTGAGAGGGGCCGGGCCTGGTCCAGCTTGGGGTACATCTGCTCAAAGCCATTTTGCTGGCCGTCGAAGAGCGAGAGAATGGCCTCCGGGGGTTGAAAGTTCTTTGGGGCTCCTAAACCCTAAACCCTAAACCCTAAACCCTAAACCCTGAACCCTGAACCTACTAAACCCTAAACCCTAAACCCTAAACCCTAGACCCTAAACCCTAAACCCTAAGCCCTAAACCCTAAACCCCAGACGGATTTCTGCGAGCACGCTCTGCAGCAGCAGGCCTCACGCTAGTGCAAAACGGGTTTGGGGTTTAGGGGCAGCGAAAGTGGGTTTTGAGGTGTTGAGTTCTTCAAACCCTGAACCCTGAACCCTGAACCCTAAACCCTAAACCCTGAACCCTAAACCCTAAACCCTAAACCGAGCTTCGTCCAGCGAAAGATCATGGGCCCAACCATCCTAAGTCTCCGGCACCATGCCTGAAGTAGTTTAAAGCATGTAGGGTTTAGGGTTTAGGGTTTAGGGTTTGGGGTTTAGGGTTTAGGGTTTAGGGTTTCGGGTTTAGGGTTTAGGGCTTGGGAACCCGGCCCCGTTGAAGAAGACAGCTTCCAGGGGCTGCCCGGCAGCTTCAGCGATGATGATCTCAGCTGACACGTGTGTGCCCCCTCGTTTAGTTGGGGTTTAGGGTTTAGGGTTTAGGGTTTAGGGTTTAGGGTTTAGGGTTTAGGGTTTAGGGTTTAGGGTTTAGGGTTTAGGGTTTAGGGTTTAGGGTTTAGGGTTTAGGGTTTAATATAGGGGCCTGAATCATGAGAATTGAGTTTGGGGGGGGGGGGGGTTATTGTAGTATACCTATAAAGGGACCAGAACGGCATACTATCAGTCATTATTCCGACCCCTATATTAGGAGGGCCAATTTCATATAAAGGTTTCGGGTTCCGGGTGGCCAGAAGAGGGCTTAGGATGCCTGTTGCAGAACACTGCACACAAGAGTGTGAGCCCATGGGCTAGGGTTTAGGGTTTAGGGTTTAGGGACTCGTTCCGAACCCCGTACAGGCTATGTGCACTAGTCAAAGCAAGGAGCTAGTCCGTGTTTGGAGTTTAGGGAGCTGGGGCTTCGCTTAGGGCTCTTTATGGGGGAAGCACCTTAAACTTGTGCTCTGCACTGTAGACGGGCAACGGGCTGTGTAATAAAAACTCACCTGTGAGGGAGCCCGTGGTTAACGCAACCCTGACCCGCAACTACCCCCACGCCCACCCACCCACCCACACAAATACAGACAAACAGACGGACTCACTATCTTGAGCAAAAACCGAAACCACTACCGAGAGCGTTCCATCGCCAAGGTGCCACGAAGGCAATCGGCCACACCCACCAGTAGAATCTGTCAAAAGTACTGGGCTGGTTTAGGGTTTAGGGTGATGTTTCGGGTGCGGGAGCGGGTTTTTGAGCTTCATCCCTCCGAATATACACAACAACCTGCCACTTGGGCGGAAGCACTGTCGAATTGGACGGGCTTTCGGCTGAGGGCCTGAAATCCAGCATGCGTGTCGGGATAGAAATAGGTTCTGGCACAGGTGGCCCCAAACCCTAAACCCTAAACCCTAAACCCTAAACCCAAACCCTTGTCGTGACAAGCCTCGAAGCCCAGAGCAAAGGGCGCTGTTCGGTACTTGGTTTGAATTAAGGTGCCTTTGGGCGAGAATGTCGAAATAGTCTCATTTTAGGGTTTAGGGTTTAGGGTTTCATTCAGTAGCAGTATGAGGAAGCTAAGCCCTAAAGACTACACCCTAAAGCCAAAAACCCTATAGTTGGCTTTAGGGCTTGGGGTTCCTGGCGTTGGGTTGACCCGACTCCTAGGTCCTCGCTACGTAAAGCTTCCCGATAAAGACTCCCCGCAAACATCTCAGGAGGAGCTGGGACTGGAGCCATGTGGTCGGCTGTAGGGAATTTATGAAGTCTAAATCTTAAACTCTAAACCCAAAAACCCTAACTAAACCCTACACCCTAAAGCCTATAACCCTAAACCCTAAGCCCGAAAGCCTTTTACATCCAGACCTCTAAACCCCTAAAACCCTAAACCCCTGAACTCCTAAACCCCTAAACCCCTAAACCCCTGCCCTAACCCTTAGCCCTAAACCCTAAACCAGAAGACCCTAGCCCTAAACCCTAAACCCTAAACCCTAAACCCTAAACCCTAAACCCTAAACCCTAAACCCCTAGCCCTAAACCCTAAACCCCTAAACCCCTAAACCCCTAAACAGTTAAAAAAGGGCGGGGCCCCACCTCATGAAGCCAAAGAGGCGTCTCCAGATCTCGGATGGCAGAGGCTTGTGAGGACGAATGTCGGCTGGGGTAGTTCTCTGATTTGGGGTTTAGGGTTTAGGGCTAGGGCTTAGGGTTTAGGGTTTAGGGTTTAGGGTTTAGGGTTTAGGGTTTAGGGTTTAGGGTTTAGGGTTTAGGGTTCAGGGTTCAGGGTTCAGGGTTCAGGGTTCAGGGTTTAGGGTTTAGGCTAGGGTTTAGGGTTTAGGCGTTGGGGTTTGTTTTTCGCTGGCCGAACCGCAAGGCAGGGCTTCGTGTCGGGTTCTGGTGCCTTCTCAGAAAAGTTCCGTTCGACGGCTCATTTCTGAGGGTTTAGGGTTTAGGGTGCAGGGTGCCCATGAGGCTTTCTTTCCTGCTGGAGCTGGAACGGCCCACTGATGCCCATGATGCTCGCCTGCCTTTCCGAGCATCATAGGCATCAGTGGGAGGGGCCCTTTTTCGCTGAAGCAGGAAGCCGACCTAGCATCACGGGCATCAGTGGGGGGGTTTCTCTGTTTCGGGGCCTTTCTCGGTCAAGGAGGGAAGCAAGCATCAGCGGCGCAGGCCGGCAAGGTGAGCATCATGAGCATTGGGATGAGGGCCTATTGGAACTTGCTGTTGGTGAGTAGGGCATGGGGGAATGAGGCACCCTATACAGTCCTTTATTAAAGGGATATATAGGGCCCTCATTCCTCATTCCCTCCGAACCAACAGTGAGGAAACTGAGCATCATGGGCAGCATCGGCATTCGTGGGATGTGGCCTTCCCAGGTCAGGCAGGAGGGGAGGAGCGAATAGGGCCAGCCTGCCCAGCCATCAGTGAAAATCAGTGGGCCTGAAGACGGGCAAGCGATCATCCTCCGTGGGGCCTTTCCAGCTCAAGCAGGACATGCTCAAAAGGCCTGATCCTGCAGCTAGAGAGGCCATAGGGATCATTATTCCTACAAGTGCGCAGATTGCTGTGACCATTCTTCCTTTAGCCCGGAATCTTCCCGAATCCTCCCCTCAACCTCCGAAAGCAAACAACGACAGAAGCCTGAGCGCTCAATTTCAGGGTTCGAGATGAAGGTTGTGCTTGCAGGTCCCTATGTCGACTAAACGGATACAGTGCTGATGATCGAGGCCCCAAATAGTAGATCAACCCAAAACCTAAACCCTCAACCCTCAGGACCCCAACAAGGTACCCCTAATTTCGGAAATCCCCCCAGCATGTTTACAAGGTAGGGGCTGCTCTTCGATCCCTTCAAGCCTGCAGTGCCGGATCCCCTTTTTCCACAGAACCATGGCGCACGCACAGCCTCAGGGTGGGTCCGACAGTAGGCTCTCCATCTCTCCGCGGTTCATCAGGTAGGCTGCGCAACTGAGACCCTGCGAGTTTTGCAGATCTCGATTGGCACCAGCTTCCAACAGCAGCCGCGCAATTTCAAGGTGGCCATGGGCAGCCGCTAGAATCAAAGCTGTGTTGCCACTCATGTCCTGCAGATCCTTCTGGACACCGGCTTCCAACAGAAACTTCGCGAACTTCACTTCGCCTAGGATGGCCCTTAAGACCCTCTACTCTCTGAAACACATTCCTAAATATGATTCCTCTTAAACCCAATGAGGGAAAACATAAAATCCCAGCCGCCATGTTCAGCTGCCAAGTGAAGAGCGGTGCTGCCAAACGCATCCTGCAGGTTTTTGCGGGCACCGACCTCCAACAGCAACCTGGGATGGCCTTTGAAACGCTCTTAAATGAACATGATCCTCTCAAACCCCAATAAGGGTTGTCTTAACGCAACCTTAAGACCCTCTGAAAAATAGTCCCGCATACGATCCTCTCAAACCCCAAAAAGGGAAAAGTAGACAATGTCCCGAAACCCTACCGAGCAGCTGCGCAATGTCCACGTGGCCCTCGCGAGCCGCGTACATGAGGGCGGTTCTGCCAGCTTTAGTCTGCAGGTCCTTGCTGGCGCCGTTCTCCAACAGCACCTGGGCAATCTTCACGTCCCCGGTCTGAGCTGCGTGGATGAGGGCTTCTTTTAAGTCCTCACTTGGGATGTTCCCCCTTATACTAACAGTCCTTCATAAGGATTCGAGTAGGGAGTACTATAGAATCCCTATAATAAGGACTGTTAGTTTAAGAGGGAACATCCCAAGTCCTCACCCTGCAAGTCGCAGCCAGCTTCCAACAGCTTGCGCGCAACTTCGACGAGCCCATTCTCGCAAGCATCAATGAGCTCGTCAACGGCCTGGGATAGGATTACCAGGATGGGCTATTATACCCTATAATCCCTTCAAAGGCCCTTCATAGGGTTCATTATGGGGATTATAAAGCCTAATAACCCATCCTGGGCACCCGTGGGGATATAGAGCCTCTAAGTAGGATCCCTGCTTTGTAGAGAGCCTTGAAGAGGGTTCAGAGGGGTTCCCTTCCCCTTAACCTAGGAAAAGGCCTCGTGGTGATTTGCGATTGTGGGCACAGACACCACAAGCAGCTGCACGTCGACGGGCCCAGCCATCTTAGCCAGGTCGCACAAGTTGCTTGCGTCACACAAGCCTGAGTTTAGGGTTTAGGGTTTAGGGTTTAGGGTTTAGGGTTTAGGGTTTAGGGTTTAGGGTTTAGGGTTTAGGGTTAGGTTCTTTTGCGAAGAATATGGACGTAGCACGAAACAATCATAGTTAGTCGTACCAATTATCATCATAGACATAACAGTCGTCATCCGAAATGATCAGCTTCGTTCTTGCCGCATTGAAATAACAATGAAGATATAAGACATTGCTCAACGATGGCTCAAGAACGGCTTCCGTTGTGGAGGAGTTCTTGAAGACACATAGGGAAGCTGAATCTCTCGCGCAGGGCCTGTTTCAGCTCCGTCACGCTCTTGATGGCCGTCAAGCTCCTGTGATTCTTGCGTCTAGTCAGGCTCAGGGGGTGAGGGCACTACAGGCTTGCAGATAACGATAACAAGAGGAACGCTGGCAAACATAACGATATTGATAATCATCATTGCAGTTCTAGTAAGAACACGAATTTGTATTCTTATGGCACAAGAACGATTAGCAGAGTGATAATTATGTTCGTAATTGCTTCAGGAAGCCCAGGCAGAAGTCTAAGCCGATCATCCCTTGTTCTTCGTTGGCTACGATTTGCTTCAAGAACCCCCCGCCACAAAACATATAGAATATGTATATATATACACCTGAAAATGATCTCTGTATGGCCCTTTATCAGAAAGGATTTCTTTACTTTATTATTATTTATGATTATTTTGTTTTTTTCGGGGGAGGGTGGGGGGGGGGGGGGTTCTCAAACAAAAATTTGGGGTGGGGGTATCATAAACGCCAAAATTTTCAAAACCCATCCAACTCTGACCAAGGATCTCGGAAACCAGCTCCTCCCCGGTGATGCTCCAAACGCGGAGCATGCTACCGATGGGATGCTGCAACTCAAAGTTGCTGTTGCAAAAGGTTCAGTTTAGGGCTTAGGGCTTAGGGCTTCGGGGTTGGAATGTAAACGGTGTAGGGGAAGCCTGAGTACCATGCCACAACATTCCTGCAACAATTGGTTGCGGGATGGCGGGTTGACAGTGCAAGGCGCGCATACACGCCTGAAATCGAACGGTTCAGCGGTGCGTCATAAGCATGTGCTGGTGCCTATTGTCGTCTGAATTCTGAATTCTGCAAAATAACGATTCGCGGAGAAACCACAGGACCTTCATTGAACTTGCTCTTGATCTGCTGAGAGCTTGAGGCGCCCAGCGGGACAAAAGGCAAGTCGGGTGGCGGGATGGGCCTGGGACTCCGAATGTAAGGGAGACCCCTATCTGTTGTTAGGAGGGTTTAGGGTTTAGGGTTTAGGGGGGTCAGGGTTTAGGGGGGTTAGGGTTTAGGGTTTAGGGTTTAGGGTTTAGGGTTTAGGGTTTAGGGTTTAGGGTTTAGGGTTTAGGGTTTAGGGTTTAGGACTTCCGAGCTGGCACATCACGCTGCTCGCCACCTAGGCAACACACCTCTCGGCACACTGATGCTCATGATGCTCCCTCTTCCTGCTGGGCCTGGGCCGCCCATCCCACTGATGCCTCTTCCTCGTTTTGTCTGCCTGCGCCGCGGCCTGGCCAGCAAACCCTAAACCCGAAACTCTAAACCCGAAACCCTAAACCCTGAACCCTAAACCGTCCATGATGCTCGCTTGCCCACCTGAGCCAGAAAGGCTCTGGCCCACTGATTGATGCCCAGGAGGCTTGCTTTCCTGCTTGAGCTAGAAAAGGGAATGCTACTAGGAATTCTTCCGACTCCTATATGGGGGAGCTCTCTTCATTAGGGTCCCTTCTTGGGAGAACTACCCATATGAGTCTTATTTCCTCAATTCGACTAAACCCCAAAGCCCCTCCCCCCCATGGGAAGTTCCATGGCGGCCCGCGACTCTCCATGTGGTACACTCCCTCATTTATCGCGGCAGCCATCTCATATCCACCAAACTGTGCCGGCAGCGCACATTTTTTGGGTTTTCTTTCCATGTCTTCTTCTGCTCTTGAACGCAGAGATGCCCCCGAATTAGTCTCCATTAGGAGCGCCTGCTTTCGTGTACAAGACTTGCATGTGGCGATTTCGGAGCCACGGGGCAAGGTCCAGTGACGCCGAACTCTGAACTCCCCAAACGCTAACCTTCCATTTTGGGGTTTATAGGGTTTAGGGTTTGGATAACAACTGAAAGATCAAAATCACATGTCGAACCTGGACCTTGCAAAACGGTGTGCCCTGTAGGCACTGTGAATTCGAGACCTGCGGCTCCCAAGTGTACTTTTGTTGGGCGTATTTCTTGCGGTGTCGGGCTAGGGTGTAGGATAAGCTTCTGCGGGTAGGTCGTGCTTCTCAGCGAGAATCCGCGAGGGCGCAAGAGGTCGTTGCAGACTCCGCAAAAGGTGGGGGGGCACGCATTGAAGCTGGGAGATGTCAGCTTGATGGTGCGAGGTCGGGTTAAGGGTAGGGTTTAAGGGTTTGAAGCACTAGAAACCATAAAACGCGAAACCCCAGCTTCGTGCTTCTCACGGCGATGTCTGCCATGCAGAAAAACAGGTGCGACGCCATGCTTTGGGCGAATCACGTGCTGCCTGGACTATATGACTCTTCTCTCACGGCTCTTCCTGCACGCGCTTGGCGGCTGCAGGGCCACAACAGCAACGTCGCCCCACAGCGGCCCGAATGTCCTCCATGCGCTGCAGGTGAATGCCGGTGGAGATGGACTTCTCCCAGTAGTCGCCAAGCTTTGAGGCGAAAGCCTCGTCACGCGCCCCCGGGCCGCTTGTCAACTTCAAGTAGTTGCTCGTCTTCCAGCTCTGCCACCGGTAGTTGATGAAGCTGCTCATCTTGACGCCCTTCGGGCTCTTGATGAAGTTCTTCAAAAACTCTTCATCAAATCGCTCCCACATCCACTTGTAGTCGTAGAAGAAGCCTGTGTCCTGCTCGAAGGCAATGCGGTACAGGGAGTCGGCTAGCCACTGCGGCGTCGTACTCTGAAGACTCGGCGAGGAACGGCCAATCCACAGGTTCCTTGGTAGCCCAGTAACCAGATGATAACAAGGGCACCCCCCCCCCTTTTTGGGCTGGTCATTTTACAAGGGCCCCCATAACCCAAAAAGAAGAGGGTAAAGGGCACCACTGGGGGCTACCAAGGTTCACGACATTGCTCGCGTTCGTCTGCCCCTCGCCGAAGACGGGCAGAACGATCTGAGGGCGGTTGTTCTCCATGCAGAACCTGCTCAGGAAGGTGCTACCATCGTGAACCACCACCGAGGCCCTGGGTAGAATTCTGGCAAGGCAGACGCTCTTCACTAAGACCACATTCCGCTCGCAGTACTCCTTGAGGATGCTTTCTTCCTGTCCCATGCCGTCGAGGTGATTCAGGCAAAGGCCCGTGGGACCTGGGGGTTTACGAACATAAGGCACCCCCCCTAATATGGACCCCAAATAGATATAAGAAGGACCCCAATAAGGTACCCCCTAATTTCGGAAACCCCCCGGACCTGCTTCGATGATGCCCTTCAACTGGGTGCTGTACAGAGACCGCACACACAGCTGCGTCGTTTCCGCTGCATGGCCAGCTGTGAGGAAGCCAAAGGTGAAAAGCACAGGCTGCTCGTCCGTGGTCATCAGGCTCTCAATCATCAGGGACTCTTCCTGAAACTCCATTTTGCCTACAGCAACTACCCATTAATTAGTAGGCACTACCCAGAACGACTGTAGGTAAAGAGGGTCCCAACCCTACACCCTAAACCCTAAACCCTAAACCCGAGTAGGTATAGAGGGCCCCAGGTTCCTTGGAGAATTCTGGCAACGTCAGCTCCGACATGAGATCGATGTGGAACGGGAGCACTTCCCACACGTTGTCTGGCAGCTGCCTGAACCTTGGGGACGAGTTGTGAACCCTAAAAGGGCTTATGTGTGGTTCATATAGCCTCAATAGGAATTATAGTAGTCAGAGTATATGACCCTAAACCCAAAAAGGGTTTATATGGTTCATCTAGCCTTAATAGGAATTATTATAGTAGTAGTCAGGATATATGACCCTAAACCCTAAAAGGGCTTATATGGTTCACATAGCCTTAATAGGCATCATAGTAGTCAGGGGGGTATATGACCCTAAACCCCAACAGGGCTTATCTGGTTCATATAGCCTTCATAGGAATCATAGTAGTCAGGGCGTATATGACCCTAAACCCTAAACCCTAAAATGGCTTATATGGTTCATATAGCCTTAATAGGAATTATAGTAGTCAGGGTATGACCCTAAACCCTAAACCCTAAACCCTAAACCCTAAACCCTAAACCCTAAACCCAAGGAACATGTTGAGCTTCGGCGTCTCGAAGTACCTGTCAGGACACCAGGAGCGCATCTCGGCGAAGATGCTGGTCATGCTCCGGGATTGCCTGATTCATGGTTGGGATAGCATTCGAAATCCAAAAAAAAATTCCTTATTGGGTTAAAGTACCCTTAAACAAGTACTTCATATTCCTTGTTAGGTTTAAGTACCCTTACAAAATGTAAACTCATATTCCTTGTTGGGTTTAAGTACCCTTTAAACAATGTAAAATGTTACCCAGCTATGACAAAGTTGCAGCAGTGGGAATTCGGGCTGCGGTCCCGCCAAGGCCAGCAGCTGACGTGGCGTGGGCCAGAACTTGGCGGCGGCTCCGAGCCACTGGCCAAACCTTGGGGACGAAATATGAACCCGAAAATTGGGGGCATATACCCTGGCTACTATAACCTCCTATTATTAAGGTAACATGAGCCATAAACCCTTTTAGGGTTCATAATTCGTCCCCAAGGAACAGAGCTCCGACCTGCGATTCGCTCTTACTCAAAAACTTCGCGACTTGGCGTTCCTTTTGGCCGTACCAGCTCGGCTGGTCCAGGTAGTCTCCCACCTTGGAGACGACATGAACCCCAAAATTGGGGTGGCCATACCCATAACTACGATAACTCCTTTTAAGGTATATGAGCCATAAACCCTTTTAGGGTTCATAATTCGTCCCCAAGGCACCATGGGTACTCCCTGAATCGCTGGAGATTGGAAGGTCAGCTGCAGCACCGGAAGGCACAGCGCGTTGCCGATGGCCAGCGCGTAGTGCAAGGGCCGACTGGAGCACAGCACGAGACCTGGCTCGAACCCTTTCCTTAGTTGTCCAGTACCTAGGGTTTTAAAGGTTAACCTTTGGGATTACAAGGGGAATAAATTAACCCAAAAAGGTCAAAGGTTATCTACTCTACTGCTAAGTTTCAAGGCCTGGCAAAGAGTGTAGAGACTCTGCTCCTGAATTCTGCTCTGCTCTTCGTCGAGGAAGTGCACCAGGGCTGGGAGGTCGCCAGCACCCACCGCCTCCACCGCGCGGGAGTGTGTCATGATCGTCTTGTACTCCAGACCTGGGAGGGCCACATAGGCCAACCCCAAATTCTGGGCACGTGCTTGGTAGTCCACTGGGCCGACCATGGAGACGCGATAGCCGCGCTGTTGCAGAAGGCCGCCGATCTTCATGAAGAGGCTGGAGGTTCCTTCTGAGCCCTCGAAGACGAGACTGACACGTCGGTCGGACACGGACATGGCGCCCCTTTTGAGCTACTCCCACGCAGAAAACGCGTGCCGTGTCTGAACAAGAGACTCTTGAGCCGGAGCCATTTTGGGGTTTAGGATTTGGGCTCAGGTTGCTTGGGTTTCAAGCTGCTTGGGTCCAGATTCTTTGGGTTTCAAGCTTGTGTTGGGGTGCAAGGGCTTTGGGCAGGTTTGGAAGGTAGACCTGTCAGGTTTCGGGGATTGTTTGTACTGGTGGCTGCCTCCAGAACACAGGGCTCCCCAAACCCTTACACTAACCCTATGTAGGCTGGGATGTTCCCCCTTATACTAGCAATCCTTAATAAGGATTATAGGTATAAGGGGGAACATCCCAACATATAAAAGGGGTTTCTGGATGCAACCTAAACCCTAAACCCTAAACCCTAACCCTAAACCCTAAACCCTAAACCCTAAACCCTAAACCCTAAACCCTAAACCCTAAACCCTAAACCCTAAACCCTAAACCCTAAACCCTAAAGAGGGTTACAGGATGCAGCCATGTAGCTCGAGGTGCTGCCGGCTTTCCTTCCTCCTGCAGGCTTGAGGCAAGTCCCGCCCTTCTGGGCTTTTTGCCGAACCCCCTTCAAGGCTTGAAGACGCCGTACCCCCGTAGGCCCTTTTTTTTTTTGCCACCCGCTTAGCTGACCTCTCCCGTAGGCCCTTTTAGGGTTTAGGGTTTAGGGTTTAGGGTTTAGGGTTATTGAGGACTAACGGGGGGGAAAGGGGGGGGGGATTCGTCTTTCAGGGTTTGCCATCGGAGGCTGGCGTTTCGAGTCCAGAACCGACAAGTCGGGGGCTATTTTCTTTTTGAAGCTAAGTTTTTTTATTTTTTTCTAAACTTTTTTGGCTTTTTTTTGACTATCCTTAAAGTGTTGGGATAACCCGAAACTTCCCCTGAGGCCCCCACATCCAGGACCAGCGCAGACTCGATGAAGCTCAGCGCGGTGCTGCTGCGCCGCAAGTTCATCCTGAAATTCCCGGTTAGCCCGAAACCGTTTTTTTTCAACGAGGGCTCTCTCAAGCCCGAAACCCTATACACACTAAATCCCAAACCCTAGGAACTGTTGGGGTTCTGGTGCCGAAGCTTCCCGAACCCTAAACCGTAAGATCTGGGGTTGGAGAAAAAGCCCTGCAGGTTTGAGGTTTCGGAATGTTCTGGATCGGACTTGGGGTCAAGATGAAGATCTCGGCCGATGTTGATGCTTCGAACCCTAAACCCTGAACCCTAAACCCAAAACCCTAGGCCCTAAACCCTTAAGGGCCAGGAATCACAAGTCGGGCAAGAGGAGGGGGTGAGGCTTCAGGAAAAAAAACATGGCACGCACACGTCGCGAGAAGTGTAGCAGGGTTTCAGGGTTTTGGGGGTTAGGTCTGTATGCTCTGCTTTGCAACTTCAACCCTAAACCCTAAACCCTAAACCCTAAACCCTAAACCCTAAACCCTAAACCCTAAACCCTAAACCCTAAACCCTAAACCCTAAACCCATTCGGCCGTAGAAGTTACCGACATGTCAGGCATGGGACGACTTGGCCATGCTCAGCTTGCGCGTGTCACTTCTCGGCGGGGGCGTCATGATCGGAGTCTCCTGCCGTCGGGCGGGTTTAGGGTTTAGGGTTTAGGGTTTAGGGTTTAGGGTTTAGGGTTTAGGGTTTAGGGTTTAGGGTTTAGGGTTTAGGGTTTAGGGTTTAGGGAACATGGAGGTTTATGGTTCGGAGCGAGCGCTGTTGGGGGCATAGGCGTTTGAAGTTGACTCTTGCTCCTCAGCCCGATAAGCCCTAGAGGGCCCTAGAAACCCTAAACCTAAACCCTAAACCCTAAACCCTAAACTCTAAACCCTAAACCCTCGGACGTAGAAATCAAGTGTCCAGAGCCCGGGCCTCATGCTCCTCTTCGGGCTCCTCGGCCTTTGCTTGCCTTGGATCCACATGGGGGTTTACGAACATAGGGGAAATTCAATGTAGACCCCCAAATACTAGGAAGGGTTTAGGGTTTAGGGTTTCGACTCTCACACTAGCGCACGCGCAGGGTTTAGGGTTTAAGGTTGAGGGTTTAGGGTTTACTTGATAATATGATAATAGCGACCCCAATAAGGTACCCCCCAAGTTTCGGAAACCCCCATATGGCTCTCCTCGAAGAGGCCTAAACCAACCCTTGAAAGAAGCCGAAGTCCCCAACCTCATACATCCTGCATGCGCTACAGGTCACAATGCAGCTAGACGCCCTGGCCAGAAATTGTAAGGTTTTGGGTGGGTAAGCCTTGGGATGCTCCCCCTTGCACTAGCAGTCCTTACTAGGGATTATAATAGGGGGTACTACATCCCCGTTTAAGGACTGTCAGTATAAGGGGGAACATCCCCAAGGTAAACCCTATAAACCCTTAAGCCCAAGGATATTGCCCCGATGCTTCTCGCCCCAAGGCACTGCAGCTTGGCCATGCCAAAGTACTCGCCTTGCCTGGGTAAAGGAACAAGCGAGGGTCTACCCTAAGAAACCCAAAAAGGCAATATTTCGTTGGTGGCTTTAACCCTGAATCCTAAATCCTACACCCTGAGCTCTAAGCCGCCTTCTACACGAAGCCTTGACTTCTTAAGGTCCAGGTTGGGTGCTGTGCGGAGTGGCCTGTGTTTGCTTCGCATCTTTTTTCAACCACCAGATAAAGGAGTAAAAAGGGTGCCCTTTTTGGTGTAAGGGGGCAAAATAAGGGAACCCAAACCCTAAAAGGGGGAATAAGGGCCTCCTCCTAGCTCTGGGTCCTAGACCAAGTCCAGCCAAGACACCTCTCCATGAGCTCCTCATGAGAGCCCTGCTCGCAGCAGCGGCCCTCCTTGAGCACGTAGATCACCTCCCAACTCACCGCGCTTTGACTTAGTTGTCCAGTACCTAGGGGTTTGAAAGGCAACCTTTGGGATTCCAAGGTTAAAGGTTATCGACTCTACTACGAAGTTGAAATCTAGAGCACCGCCAGGTTTTTGACATTCAGGCCGCAAGAAGTCTAGTAGGGCTTGGGACTCATCAGCTTGGTAGCCCGGTAACCACCTTGCAACAAGGCCACCCTTTGCTGGGCTGGTATTTCTGTAAAAGGGAACCTTGCACACAACAAAAAGGGAGAAGGGGGTGACACTGGGCTACCAAGCTAAGGCCGCACAGTAGGGTCGAATCGCGTATAACCGAAGTCAGGCATCATTCAGTGCATTCCTAAACTCTAAACCCTAAACCCTAAACAAACCCAGGATCAAAGGAGAATCTGTCGGAAGATGCTCGAGGTTTGCTGAGCGCAGGACGTCCGAGTTCTTGATGGTGGTCAGCCTCGAGAGCGCCCAAGAGGCACCCAAAACCCGAAACCTGAGGGTTTAGGGTTTAGGGTTTAGGGTTTAGGCCCAAAACTCTACAAACCCTTTGGCAACGCGACCGTGGATGACTGGCAGGAAAAGAAGAAGATACAAGCTCCACATCCTAAACCCTCAACCCTACCCCAGAAGTCTCCCTAAACGCTAAACCCCCCCAAAGTCACAGCTACGGCTGTAGGCCCCAAGGGTGCCTGACCTTAAGCTGCGTGTAGGGTTTAGGGTTTCGGGTTTCGGGTTTAGGGCTTAGGGTCATGGTCTGTGAGTTCTTACTGATTCCTCAAAGAGCAAAGCTCAACCAGGTTGGCAGTGTTGTTGGACTGCGGGCAATCGAGGGTTGAGGATTGAGGAGTTTAGGGCTAAGGGGATCCCCGAATTTGTTATTGCAGGAAGTACTCAAACAGGGTCCCATTTGAGGCACCCACATGAACCTACCATTCCTTTGCAACACCGAACCTCCCTGACCCCAAGACCAAACGACACACGAGTTGAAACCCCCTTAACATGAAACTCCTGAATTTCATGTACATGCCTTTTGTCATGCGGGTACGCATGAGGGTTTTCAGTTTACTCGGCGCTGTCTCTGTATCTGAGCAAGGTTAGGGTCTCGGGTTGAGGCGGGAAGATGCACAAGACAGCGCACGCACCCTGCCTGTGGGCAATGGAGATGGTGGTGATGCTGCGGCCCATGATGGTATTCAGGGAGTCAAGGGTTGCCTGAGAAAACAGGCTTCCGGTCGTTGGCTGAGGTAGAAGCTGGACCAAACCTAAACCCTACACCCTCAACCCAAGCCCCAAGGCCCCAAGCCCTACAAGCCCTATAAGCCCGCTCGCGAGCACGAAGTTCCCTCCAGCCCCTACGCGCGCGTCCTCCACCCTAAACCCTAAAACCCTAAAACCCTAAACCCTAAAACCCGAAAACCCGAAAACCCTAAACCCTAAAGAACCCTAAAACCCTAAACCCTGAACCCTATAGAACCCTCAACCCTAAACCCTAAAACCCTAAAGAACCCCAAAACCCTAAACCCTATAGAACCCTAAAACCCTCAACCCTAAAGAACCCTAAAGGCCTCCACCAGGCGCTCCGACTCGTTGTCCAAGGCCGAGGTGGCCTCCGGGGAGCTCAACATGCGGACACCAGGGTGCCGCGGAAGTCAAGCAAACAAGCGTATAAACAGAAAAAAAGGGCGTATATATGTGTATATATATATATTTATTTATTTAACTATACACAAAAAAAACAAGAGGTATAGATTTTATACTTCGACTAGTAGACATTCTAGTAACATAGCAGCATGAGTCATGAGAGCAAGGCGGTGCCTCGTCCAGCAGCAGGATCTGTGGGCTCTTGGCCAAAGCGCGAGCAATTGCAACCTCATTCAAGGCTTCTCGGAGTGTGGGTTTAGGATTTAGGGTTTAGAGACCCTAAATCCTAAACCCCAAACCCGAAACCCCAGACCCCCTCACTCCCGCCGCGAGGCGCGCTGGCGCTGGCCGCCGGACAGCAGTCCGCCTAGGAAGCACAGCGCCGAATGGTGCTTCTTGATTGCATTCTGTACAAGCGTTTTCTGTTTCCTTTGAGCGTTTGGCGCTTAGGGTTTTTCTATTTCCTTGTATACGCACAAGTCTTATTTTCAACCCTAGTGGTATCACACCGAGTCATTCCCATCTCATCTTTCAGTATCACTAGTGTTTGCACGAGGACGAAGAGATCCGACCGAGGACCCAAACCCAGCCCCAGGGTTTCGGGTGTTGTTTCCCTTGGTGCACTGCTCGATTTAGGATTTAGGGTGTTGGGCTTCATAAACCCCAGGCCCTCAAAGGTGCCTTTACCCGGTAAGCTCCCACCCCAATTTAAAACCTTAACCCTGAAGCGGCATGTCCGGACATGGGCCACAAGCCCCAAACCCTAAACCCCAAGTGGGTGTGCTCCAAGAATCTCCAAGAGAGTGGGTTGAAGGCACCTCCCACTCAAAAACCTCGGCCTAATCCCGAAGTCCCGATTCTGATGCAGCCGGCCTCCCGTACCGACGAAAGTGTCGAACTGCTCCGGCAGGTTCATCCTTGAACTCTGCAGGTTTGCAAATTGGGGGCGGGGGGGGGGGGGGTCTCCTAAATTAGGGTGCCTTATTCATTAGGGTTCTCAGGGGATCCTACTATTTGGGGGTCTAAAAGCAAGCATAGGCTCACCCCACACCTCATACCCTGTACTCCCCCCCTATGCTTTTACCTCAATTCTCAGGTCTCAACCCGCCCAAGATTTCAACCCTTAAATCCCGCCAAACACCTCCCAAAACCAACACAACAATCCCGAAAACAAAGCAACCCACCAAGTCCAAACAACAGCCCAAAACACAATCCAAAACCCAAAGCGCCTAAACAAATCCTACCCTCAACCATAAAATGACCAATATCCCACAATGAGGTGTGGGGTAAGACCCTTATCGAAAAACCCCCAAAAGATTATAACCCTGAACTGGGAAATGACGATTACATAGGATTTTACTAAAATCAATTAGTAAAATGCTATTTATCCATTCATTATTGTATAAAGGTTTGCCATTCCTTTTGGTTCTTTGTTTTCTTTGTCTCTCTCCTCCTCTCGCCTCATAATGTCTAATGTTCTTCATCTATAATTTCAACAATTAGTTTTCCATTCCTTACACAAGTCGTCATCACGCAGTTTTCAATATACGGTATATTGTCGGTTAATGTATTCATAACTTCATACTTTATCAAGCTCAGGTCATCATTGATTTTAGTCATTTCCTGTTTGTTTTTACATCCTGATGCTTCTGCCATTAATATATAAGTTCTCAATTCTTTAAATGTTGTTTTTGTAAAATATGGTTTTGTAAAATACAATGTCTAACATGCTCTCTCTTGGTCGTCAAATTTAATCTCGCAATATTCTAATGTCTCTTTCTTTGGAAATTTAATATCTTTGTTATTCAGTTTATTAACATAAACATTCCTTTTATTCTTATAAGCATCGCTATCTTTATCCATTAGTTTATTAACTGTTTTAGGCTTCTCTTCGTTGAGCTTTTTAACTGCCTTCTCAATTAGTTCTAACTTATCTAATATCTTTTGAAATCGTGTTGCTTTTGTTTCTTTAACATCATCTAAATCACTCATATAAAAGTTTTAGATTAAAACTGTTTTTAAAACACTTTGCTAAACCATTATAAAGAGTTGTTTTTCTTTGAGTGAGACATAACGGTTCATACTGTCTAAGCACCTTCTACATATTTTGTTGTATTCTTTGTTTTCCTTATAACTCTTGAACATTTCTATATTTTTACATATCTTACAAGTCGGGCAGTATCTTATATTATTTATTCCATAACGACAATAATTATCATCCCTCCTCATTAAACCGTCCGGGGGGATTGTACTACAAAGCTCTCCTTACACCATGTTTGTGAATGGCCCCCCGGAAATGCCGCCAAAGCCTCTGGAACCTGAAAGCACTTGGCCTAAACCCATGAACCCATAAACCCTAAACTCGAAAACCCTAAACCCCAAAACCCTAAACCCTAAAACCCTAAACCCATAAACCCTAAACACTTAGGGTTGTTAGATTCTATTTGGGGTGTCTCGGGATTCCTTTTGCATCTGGACTCATGGCGGCCAGGCTGGGAATACACTCGGCTGCAGATTTTAGGGTTTAGGAAAGGGTTTAGGGTTTTAGGGTTTAGGCTTAGGGGTTTAGGGTTTAGGGATTCAGGGTTCAGGGGGGTACAGCCCGAAAAAACCCCTGAAGATGCCACAGAAAGTTGGGCACAGTTGACGTTCAGAGGGTTCAGGTCCCACCCCTTTTCGCCCGGCTGCAGGGTGTCATAGATTTGCGCCGCCTTGGCAGCCTGCACACGCACAAGTTTCAATTAATTTGTGTTACGCTGGGATGCCACCCCTTATACTAACAGTCCTGACTAAGGATTCTAGTACCCCCTATGATAATCCCGATTGAGGACTGTTAGTACATGGGGGAACACCCCAAGTGTTACACGGTGCTTGTTTCACCGTTCGAGTATGATGCCTAAAAAGATGTCCTTGAAGGCAAGCCTACATCTTAGAACCCCCCCAGCCGGTGTCTGCACACCTGAACACATCCGATTTCAGGGTCGAGGTGCGCAACAGTTCATCCACTCCGCTTTTCTGCCCTGCGGCCCTGTGGAAGTTGCATGTCTCTTTGCTCTATAGCCCCTCAAGCCCTGACACATGAATCTCAACCCTAAAGCCTACACCCTAAACCCTAAACCCTAAACCCTAAACCCCCTAAACAAAATGTTTCTGCATCTGGGCTCGGGGTTGAAGCCACCTGCGGGGCTTCTTCAGCCCTCAGCTCTTAGACTGGCAAGGGCCTCGCGGACCACCAAGACCCCCCCCCCCCCCCCAAAAAAAGGGTTTTGGGTTTAGGGTTTAGGGTTTAGGGCTTAGCTACCCTAAACTAATACAGAGTGCAAACCCTCAACCCTCACCCCTCACCCCTAAACCCTACTAGGCCAGGGTACAAGGACCCCGAGCACGTTTAGGGTCATCCAGTCCATCGAGAAAGACGCCTCGTGGACCTGCTCGTCAGTGATGGAGCGGTCGCCGCCCTTCAGGTTCTGCATGACCTGGGTTTAGGGTTTGGGGCTTGGCGTTTAGGGTTTAGGGTTCAGGGTTTAGGGTTTAGGGTTTAGGGTAGGTCTCCCAGCCTCTTGAGATTTTAGGATTTGGGGTCTAGGGCTCCTGAGATTTCTGGTAGAGGGACAAAAGGCTTTGAACCAACCGAAACTCGACTCAAGAGTTGCCTGGGAACAAATCGGGGGCACTTTTGTGGGTTAAAGGGGGTTATATGGGAACCTAATCCCGAAAAAAAGGGAGTAAGGGCCTACTTTGGGTCCCAGGAAATTAGGGTGGAGAAACGGACAGCTTTTTCAGGGTGCTTGGGTTTAGAGCCTTAGGTTGAGTCTCCCCAAGTGCAGACCCACACAAAAACCCTAAACTCTAAACTACAGAATCTAGGGGTCTCATAGGTGACAGAAGCAAATACAAGAAGAGGACCACGTCCAACCGTCCGTTTGCGTAACATCTGAGACGGTTCGGCCATTAACTTTCCCTCCAATCGCTCCTGAAAGATGGACACTTCAAACATGATAGGGTTTAGGGTTTAGGCTTTAGGGGAGCTCTGGGTTTAAGTATGGGGGGTTGGGATGTTCCCCTTATACCTACAGCCCTGAGTCGGGATTCTAGTCGCCCCGAGTCAAATCCCTATTCAGGACTGTTCGTATAAGCTTTACCTGTTTACCTGTGTGCTTGGGCTCCGGCCGTGGTTGCGAAGAGGACAGGCTCTTGGCCAACATAGCCGATCATCCTACGCCACGCCTAGCAACAAAGGACTCGGCTCTGCATATTCTACACGACGCCTCTGAACTCTACGTAGTCTACAACAGCCCCCCCCCCCCCAACCAAGTATCTAAAATACCCTAAAAAGCAGCTGAAAAAAAACAAGTGCGCTTGGCAAGCCGACAAAATCTCTAAACCCATACATCCTGCTGGACTGAACACTGACCTGTCACGGAGCCGCAACCTCCAGAACCCTGCAAACCAAAAATGAACCCTAAAATTGGGGTCATATACCCTACTGCCACTACTACTATACTTCCTACTATGGCAATAATGAACCCTAAACCCTTTGAGGAGTTCATAACTAGTCCCTCAGGAGCCTAACAGGATTCTCTCAAGTACGCGGAATCTTGCCTTGACTGGCAATTGGCTGAGGTTGATGCCGTTCACCAACACCTCACCTGAAGAACAGGACTTCGAGCGTAGTGTCGGGGGGGAAGGGGGCAGGGAGGGGGTCTTTGAATTCAAAAACTCAAAACCCCAAACACCCTAAACCCTAAACCAAAACCCTAAACCCAGCGAACTTTGTCTCAAATCGCAGCGGAGGCAACCCGAATGCGGGTCGTAGAAGCGCTCCAGGAGCTGGATGGTCGTGCTCTTGCCTTTGCTTCCCCAAGTATTCAGGGTTTAGGGTTTAGGGTTTAGTGTTTAGGGGTTTCAAGGGCTTATATAGGGGTTTAAAGGGCTTCTATAAGGGCCGGCCGGGTTCTCTAAACCCCCCCCCCCCCAAAAAAAAACTCAGAGGGCTTAAAAATTTAGGGTTGAGTAGTTTTGTTTAGAGTTTAGGGTTTGGGGTGTGGGTTTAGGGCGTCGCCCCTCACACTCGTGCAAGGGAGGATAGGGTTTAGGGTTCACGCGTTAGAGTTTGGGCATCTCGGGGATGACTCTACGGCTTTCTCAAGGCCTCAGCTCAGTCACCCTAAACCCTAAACCCAAAACCCCAAAACCCTAAAACCCTGAATCCTGACGATGACCCTTTGCTTGCCGAGGCTCCACACCCGCTTTCCCCAGCGAAAGCAATCTTCTGACCTTTCCTCGGAGTTGTGTGGCCAATGGCCCTTTCTGGGGTTTGGGACCATGGGCCAAAAAAAATGGGGGAACGAGGTTGCCCAGCAACCTGGGATTAACAAGGGTGCCCCTTTTTGCTTAAAAGGGCTTACAAGGGAACCCTAAACCCTAAACCCTAAACCCTAAACCCTAAACCCTAAACCCTAAGGGAATAAGGGCATCCTAGCGAAATAGGCGGGAGCCCTGGGAGGTATATGCTTTTTTGTTCCGCCTGACCATCCGTCAGTGCTGGGCGCAGCGTCGGCGCAGCAAACGTGGGCTGCTCCGGAACTGCTAACTGCTTAGGGTTTAAGGTTTAGGGTTTAGCGTTTAGCGTTTAGGGTTTAGGGGAAGAACCCACCAAGAATGTCCTTCCATATAAGGGCAATACAGGGATGTTTTTCTATTTTTGTCAGGGGTTTTTAAAGCAAATAGTAGAGAACTGTCTTCGCAAACTGGCATTGTACGTGCCACTATCGTGTAAGCGAGATCTTCGCGACATGCATGTGACGATGTCTGTTCATGGCCCATTTTCAGGGCCCATACTCTTAACCCTGGTGATTTTGGATGTGGGCTTTTGTGCCAGGGTTTAGGGGGGCTGTCAAAAAACAAACTATCCTAAACCCTAAACCCTAAACCCGAAACCCGAAACCCTAGGCCCTAAACCCTACGCCCTAAACCCCTGGAGATATAACGGAGGCTCACAAGACAGATCACCCCAAAGCTGAGAGCCGGAGCACTCCACCCGAAAGCTGAGATTGTTGAGAACCATCTTCTCGGGTCGTGTCGGGTACCTGGAGTGGATAGGAGTGGATAGGCTTCAGGGGTTCGTTCTCATGGCGGCGGCCACTCGTCACACAGCCATCAGCGTAAAGCTAGACTTGTGCAAAAAGCTGGACTTCTCGCCTGTCTCCCCCACTTCCGCTCCAACTCCACATACAAAGCAAGCAGCCTAGATCTAGAATAACACACTCTTGAAAAAGTCGCACCTGAAGCACACGTGCCGGAACTCCACGCTCTCGACCTTGGTTTTGAAGCAGACCCCTAAACCCTAAACCCTAAACCCTAAACCCTAAACCCTAAACCCTAAACCCTAAACCCTAAAAGTGGGCCGTCCAACTCCGGGGCTGACAAGGGTGTGCACATAGGGGCCCCGAAGGTAGGTCTACCTTAATAAGACGGTTTAGGGTTTAGGGTTTAGGGTTTAGGGTTTAGGGTTTAGGGTTTAGGGTTTAGGGTAAGGGGTAGGTGAATCCTAGCAAGCCAATCCTACAAGGGGCTTTGCAAATCCTCAGAACCTACAAAAACGAGTCGGTCTAGGGTTCTTCCTTACCGAGGGGCTGTGCTCAGGTGCTCCGGCACTTCTTCGCGCGTGTAGAGCGGACGCTCGATGGTGCGCGACTCTGCGGTCATCACCTGTCACAAGCTGGTCATTTGAGGCTCTGGAAGCGTGTGACATGGGCAATCAAAACCCTAGGCTACCTGCTTTCTGCGGCAGACTATCGCCGTCTATCGCCTCGAAGACTTGCGTGCAGCAACCCTAAAACCTAAAACCCAAAAAGCTACATGGTCAAGAGCAGGAACTCAAGAGATCAAACGCCCAAACGCAACTCAAAGCTAACGAGGCCAATGGACCCAAAAAACAAACTGGGACCATCTACCCTGCACTACGATTTCGGATGTTTCCCCTTATGCTAACACAGTCCTTGATAGGGACTATAGTGCCCCCAAGCTATCATCCCTACTAAGGACTGTTAGTAAAACGGGGAGCGTTTAAGGTTGAGGCTTCCGTGTTTAGAGTTTAGGGATGTCGCGCGTCGCTTTGAGGCTTGAAAACTGGTTTTTGGGCCGTGGGCTCTAGAGATTGTGAAGGGCTCAGGTTTACCCCTACGAGGAGTTGAGGGGTCCCAAACCCTAAACCCTACACCCCAAACCCTGAACCCTAAACCCTAAAACCCAAACCGGAATTAGGGGTGGGTTTCCGAGGAATAAAAAGGTTTCCCCTTTTGGTTTAAAGGGGCTTACAAGGGAACCTGAACCCAAAAACAGGGGAATACGGGCGCCGACTCTGAGTCCCAGCCTTTGGGCAGTTGTCAAATTTATGGTCCGTTTTTGGATTCCTATGATGATACGGATTTATAGGGCACCCCAAAAGGGATCAGAATGTTGACAACCACCCATGTGGACCCAGGAACCCCCCCAAAAGGTCCGCTCCGCAGTTCAAGGCCCGGGGCTTTCGGCTTAGGGTTCAGGGTTTGGGGTTTTGCAACAGTTTAGGGTTTCGGGTCTAGGGTTTAGGGATGGAGAGCCCATTAGCCCATCTAACCCCGATAAACCCTATCACCACCCATAAGCCGCATGAACCCTGTAAACCCCTAGAACCCCACACAAGCCATGAACCCTACAAGCCCTACACCGTCCACGCCTGCTTCATCGACTTCGCCGAAACGTAGGCTTTCGCCATCCTTGAAGAATTGAGACCCACTAGGACTGGGGCTTGGGCCCACTGGGACTGGGGGTCTGGGAGGAGATGCCTGGGATTACATCTTAAAGGCTTCATTGGGGCTGAGCTTAAAGTCCAGAAAGTCTGTGGCAGAGGAGAGGGGGATCGATTTGGGGCTCACTTTCTTTTCGGCTTGCTCCGAAACTACTCACGGAGCCGCTGCGCGCCGGTCTTCTCGTTCGGCGTCGCCAGCATGGGTGCCCTCCTCCGATTCCTCCAGCAGCCGCGCGATGTCCAGATGGCCGCGCGACCGAGCGAGTTCGCCAGGCCTTCCTTTCCCGCTCTGGAAATTTCTGTCGGCCCCTGCTTCGAGAAGCAAGCTGACCATGTCAAGGTCGCCATGGAGGGCGGCCCAGCAAGAGGGGTTTGTCTTTCCCAATCCTTGACCGCCTCCGTGCCGGCTCTCGCGTTCAAGAGCAAGCGCAGGATTGCCAGTCTCCCTGCTGCTCCGGATTGTCTGGAAGCTGCCAAAAGAGCTTGGCCGTGCGCCTCAGAAAAATCGCCAGCAGCACTGGCCTCTTTCTCCAACAAGAAGCGTACGACATCCACGTGGCCTGCCCCGGATGCGTCCACAATAGGCCAAGATTCGAAGTCAGATTCAGCTCGTTGACAGTTTAGCTCGGCCCTAGAATCCAGAAGCAACTTGATGGCTCCGAGATCCCCAGAACCCGCAAAGCCACATGCACCACAAAGCGCAGTCCCGACGGCGTAGCTGGCAGCATTGAGGTCGGCCTGAGCCCCAAGAAGAAGGAGTAGAATCTCGAAATGACCCTCACACGCAGCTTGATGTATGGGCGCGGCATCTGCGTAGTCGCAAAACTTATTCGGCGACGCAGCTGCCTCCAGCAAGAGGCGCACCACTTCGACGTGGCCTTCGCCGGCTGCGAGAAGCAGCGGAAGCGTCCCGTTTTCCTCCATCTCCTGAGTTAACTGATTATTACTCCAATCGGGAGCCTCATCCGGAGCCAAATTCGGATCCTGCGGTCGCTGCAGCAACTCCTCGACCCTTCGCACATCCCCAAGCCAAGCGGCCGAGTTGAGCTCCTTCGCCTGCCTTGGGGACGAGATTTTGAACCCCAAAATTGGCGGTCATGTTACACTGACGACCATCATTCATTCCTATATGAAGGTAACGTGAACCCTAAACCCTTTAAGGGGCTTCATAATTAGCCCCCGAGGTGCTTCACCGAAGCCCGGCACAGGGGCACCAGCAGCAGCTGCAGGTCCTGGGGCGGCTCAGGCACAGCCAGTGGGAAGTCATCAGCCAGGCTGATCCCCTCATGCAAGAGCCGCTGTTGGAACCGCGGTTTCCCACACCTTGGGGACGAAATGAGCCCTAAAATTGGGGGGTCATATGCACTGTACTACTATGATTCCCAGTAAGGCAAAAATATGAACCCTAAACCTGACTACTATAATTCCTAGTAAGGTAAGATGAACCATAAACCCTTTTCCGGTTCATAGTTAGTCCCCAAGGCGCAGATGTTGCAACTCCCGCTTCAGCGTCCGCACGTCGCTCAGCTCCTCCAAAGGTTTGGCAGAGAGCTCCTCGCCCGAGATGCTCCATACACGCAGCAACTGGGCCGACAGGTCTGCGAACTTGCGCTTCATGGCGGTCGGACGCAGGGTAGGGGGTCTGGGGAGGCCAGGCTCCCTAAGTCAAGACTCCTTGGGTTTTTGAGGAGTTAGGATCTTTTCAGCTTCAGGGTCAGGGTACCCTAAAGGGGTTTAGGGTTTAGGGTTTAGGGTAAACCCTATAAACCCTAAACCCTCAACGGTTCAGGCCAAGGACTTGAGGATCAAAGGGTTGAATGGACAAACAGCTCTCACCTGTTGGCGACGAGCCAAGCAGCACGTTCCAGACGATGAGGCGCGTGGCTACCCGGAAACCCTAAGCCCTAAGCCCTAAGCCCTAAACCCTAAACATGAAGTCCTAAACCGTGAACATTAATTAAGCCCTAAGCCCTAAGCCCTAAGCCCCAAGCCCTAAGCCCTAACAACCCTGATCCCTAAACCCTAAACCCTAAACCCTAAACCCGAAAACCCGAAACCCTAAACCCTAAACCCGCCACCCCTCTCGGAACCTTTCAGTCCCTTTGGGAAACCCAAAAACCCCTTCTGGGTCTTCCGGTTTCCAGCGCATTTTTGTTTAGTAACCTTTCCCGCTTAGGGTGTTGGATGCGGGGTTGCGGGTTTAGGGCTAAGGTGTCAAGGTTTGGGCTTTTTGGTTTTCGGGTTTTGGTTTGAACAGTTTTCTCGGCGCTGTCTCTGTATCTGGTTTGAAAAGGTTTGGGGTTTGGGGTGCACGGCAAAGGTTTAAACGTTTGGGGTTTTCGGGTTGAAGGTCTAAGGCTTACAGGGCTTATAAGGGCTTTGGAAATAGGGGGAGTGGTGGGGTGCCTAAGCCTTTGAGCCCCACTAAACCAAAACCCTTCAACGCCCGAAGCCAGCCAACACCCTAAACACTCCAAACCCCCCTAAACCCTTAACACCATACGCGCCTGTACCCGGCAACCCGAAGATCAACCTGTTTGGAACGAATCAGTGGTGCAACGCTAACCCCCCACCTACACACGCAAAACAAACAACAACTCTAAACAAAACGAAGCCATAGCCAAAGAACCCTTTGTGCATCCCGCCTTGCAGGCAAGGAATCTCTTACGTGTGAAGTAGCTTGGGTTCAACAATGATTCAAAAACCATGCGGTTTCAAAAAACACCTCCCGATGCCGGCCAAGCATCACCGGGGCGAACCCGCTGAATGAGCTGAGCCCTGATACGCCGACCTCTGCAATTTGCCATCTGATGTGCTGATTGGCAACCCTAAACCCAAAACCCTTTGAAGGCACAGGACTGGGCTTCGCCCAACCTGAACAACATCGAATAGCACCCAAGCTCGAAACCCTGAAAACCCTCTCTCTCTCACGTCTCAGGAAAGCTGTCAGACGCGATTCCGGGAGGCTGAAAACCCTACACCCTAAAACCTAAACCCGAATAAACCCAACCACGCATGCACCTGCTTCAGACGCAGCCTTGCTACTCCACAAAACCCCCCCCCCCCCCGCGATGCCCTAATCCCCCCTGTAAACCCTAACCCTAAACCCTAAACCCTAACCTAAACCCTAAACCCCAAACCCCAACCAAGGCTTCATGGTTGCTAAAACCCCAGAGCCCCGCCGCGGTCGCTAAGATGCTTTTGGTCTGGGGTTTAGGGTTTAGGGTTTAGGGTTTAGGGTTTAGGGTTTAGGGTTTAGGGTTTAGGGTTTAGGGTTTAGGGTTTAGGGTTTAGGGTTTAGGGTTTAGGGTTTGGGGCGGCGGCCATCATGGAGATCATGACGGTGACGATGTCGGTGGCCTCCTGGGCTTCTTTTGAAGGGCTTGGGGTTTGGGATTTAGGGTTTAGGGCTAGGGTTTAGGGTTTAGGGTTTAGGGTTTAGGGTTTAGGGTTTAGGGTTTAGGGTTTAGGGTTTAGGGTTTAGGGTTTAGGGTTTAGGGTTTCGTGTTGATCCTAGAGCATTTTGGGTATACATTATAGAACCCCCAAACCTATGCAGGTTACCGAAGAAGCCTAGAATGAAGTAGGTTTTGGGTTCTTAAGGGGTTTGGGGGTTTAGGGTTTGATCGCCGAGGTCAGGCGTTTGATGATTGCACGTGTGCAGCGACGGGGAAGGTTCAACCTAGCACTCTAAGCCCCAAAAGGCCCTAACCCTAAACCCTTTCTTGAAGCTGGACTTGCTGACTGCCAAACCCAAAACCCCAAAACCCCAAAACCCCAAAACCCCAAAAACCCAAAAACAAAAAAACAAAAAAACAAAAAAAAACCGAGAAAAAAAAAAAAAAAAAAAACTATTAAAAAAAAAAAAAACCCTAAACCCCTAAACCCTACTCAGACTTGAGCGCCCGAGGTGCAAAGCCAAGGCTTTCGTCCGAGAGCAGGACGTGGCCACCGAACCTTTGAGTCGACTTGGAGCTTATGAGGGTTTGGGGGTTTAGGGTTTAGGGGTTTAGGGGTTTAGGGGTTTAGGGGTTTAGGGGTTTAGGGTTTAGGGTTTAGGGTTTGGGGTTTGGGGTTTAGGGTTTGGGGCTTAGGGTTTGGGGGTTGAGGGTTTAGGGTTTGGGGTTTAGGGTTTGGGGTTTAGGGTTGAGGGGTTTAGGGTTGAGGGGTTTAGGGGTTTAGGGGTTAGGGGTTAGGGTTTAGGGGTTTGGGTTAGGGTTTAGGGTTTAGGGTTTGGGGGTTTGGGGTCTAGGGTTTGGGGTTTAGGATGTAGGGTTTGGGGTTTAGAGGTTTAGAGGTTTAGGGGTTTAGGGGTTTAGGGGTTTAGGGGTAGGGGTTTAGGGGTTTAGGGGTTTAGGGGTTTAGGGGTTTAGGGGTTTAGGGGTTTAGGGGTTTAGGGGTTTACGGGGTTTAGGGGTTTAGGGGTTTAGGGGTTCGGGGGTTGAGGTTTAGGGTTTAGGTAAACCCAAAACCCTGAACCCTAACCCTAAGTAAGCCCTAACCCTAAACCCCAAACCAAAACCCTAAACCCTCTCTCTCTCTCTCTCTCAGGCGCTCAGTCAATGTCCTAAACCCTAAACCCTAAACCCTAAAACCTAAACCCTAACCCTAAGCCCTATAAGCCCTAAGCCCTCGAAGATCCCAGCAACTGGCTTCAAGAGCCGCGTGGCCAGAGTGCCAGCCCGTAGAGGCAGGAGTAGAAGAAGTTCAGGCCGCCCCAAGCACCGCCGATCCTTAGCAGCTCAGCTTTGTTTTGGGGGGGGGGGGGGGGGGGGGGGGGGTTTAGGGCTTAAGGGTAGGGTTTAGGGTTTAGGGTTTAAGGGCAGGGTTCAGGGTTTAGGGTTTAGGGCTGAGGTATAAAGGGCTTAGGGCTTCGGGATCCCCTTGCTTGTGGAGCACCTGATCCTGTTTGAGCCAGGAAAAACCTTTAGGCGCATAAGGACGCACGGATTGCTACGGGTATTTGTCCTCCACCCCCGACTCTCCCATAACGGGGATAGTTTTGTCAAAGGTCTATATCTATTTGTTTCCGAACCACCCCCCCCCCCCCAAAACAAAAAAAAAAAAAAAAAAAAAAGGAGTACATGATAGATAGATAGATAGATAGATATATATAGTTCCTCTAAGCGCTATAACAAGGCTTGGGGGTTGAGGGCTTCGATTCAACTCCTCCCGGCCAGGCGGGATGCTTGACGCCGGAGCGGATACCGCCGATCTTCGCCGACAGCAGCTCCTCGGTGTAGGGCTTGGGGTGTAGGGTTTAGGGCTAGGGTTTAGGGTTTAGGGTTTGGGGTTTTGGGTTTAGGGTTTGAGGGTTTAGGGCTTCAGGGTTCTTGTGTTGGTGAAAAGAAGCGCTGGAACCAACCTCAAGAGTTCGTCGAAGGGTTTGTATGATTATAGGGTTTCGGCTTAGGATTTAGGGAACCTCAAGAGTTCATTGAAGGGTTTGAGGCTCTGAATGCTCGACCCGAAACGAGGTCCTTAAGGTTCAAAACCCTGAGCACTACACCCATACTGAAGGGACCCGGGTTGCAAGACTCAAGATTTGGCAAAGGGCAGCAACATGAAAAGTGGGATCATATGCGCCGTGCTGCTTTGTGGCTCAGTCACCATATTATAGTAAAGGGTACCCTGTTCTGGGGTGGGTTGCTTTAATGAAGGAACCTTATGGCAAAAAAGACAAAGGGCATCACTGGGCCCCCAGGGCTGCTGTAGTCTCCACAATTTTTTGGCCATCTAACCCGGCAACAACCGGTTTATGAGAGACGTAGGACGCAGCGGTTTAAAGCAGGAAAGTGCTAAGCCGCCGGAATCCGAAGGAAAAGTGAGGCCATGAGAAAATGAGCAGATCCCAAGCCCATTTTGAGCCCTAAGCCCTTTTAAAGACCGGCTTGCCACTTCGCCCGGAGAGTTGCCCTAAACCCTAAACCCTAAACCCTAAACCCTAGACGCTAGACCCTAGACCCAAAGCCCTTCCTGAACCCCAAACCCTCTTGACGGCGCGGCTCCTTCTCGAATCGCGCGGACTCGGCCTCTTCGGCCCCAAAGGCAGCCACCGTGCGGATAGCCATCCTCGGCGATTTTGGAGGTTCAGGGCTTGGGTTTAGTGTTTAGGGTTTAAGAGGTTTAAGGGGTTTAGGGTTTAAGAGGATAAGGGTTTAGGGTTTAGGGTTTAAGGGGTTTAGGGTTTAGGGTTTAAGGGGTTTAGGGTTTAGGGGTTAGGGGTTGAGGGTTTAGGGTAGCGGGGTCAGGGCTTGTGTGTCAGGGAGGTTTGGAGGGTTAGTTCTGAAAGGGTATGACCTCCATCCCCTGATACGCAAAGTAGGAGAACCGGCATACTTTGATTTCAATCCTTGTAGGGCATACACCATCATCGATACCCAATAACTGCTCCAGAAACCTCGATGGGCCCCCACATTGGTTGTTCAAAATTCTGCCCTATTCCTGGAAGCCTAGTAGCAATACCTCGCTCCCTCTCTCTCGCTCTCTCGCTCTGCCGGGCCATCCCCGGGGGTCTCGGCATGCAAGGGCACGAAAAGGCAGCACCTTTGTGCACGAGAACGCGGCCACATGTACGGACAACCCACACTTACTCGATTCTTCTGGGTGGCTTATATTTCTAAAACCCCCCAAGTGCAGGCCCAAACGCAGCGACTCCTCAGCCACGGCTGACCTGAAAGGCACAGGGTTGATGTGTCGGAGCTTCCTTCACACTTGTTGGTCTTCCATGCCCTAAAAATTCGACATGCGCCAGTGCTTCTTCATTCGAAGGGGCCCCTGCTTAGGCTGGAGTTTCGTTCAGGTGCGCGGACCCGAAGCAGCAAGATTGCTGCAAACAGCACATTGGGCACGTTGCGCCTCTCTGGAGACCTGCTCAAGACTACAGAACACAAACGATTAAAAGAGTGAGATCAAGTAGCGCCCGGGCGAAGTCCGCTTGCTGGGCGAAGAACTGGTCCTCGATCGCCTGCCGACATTCCGGTTCGTGCTTGTGAAGACAACCTGAGGGGTCTCATCGCTTGGAGTTTAGGTTTTAGGGTTTAGGGGAGTTTAGGAACTCAAAAAATCTCGGCCGCTCCACCGAACTCCTTCGAGAAGCCTGAAGCCTGCTAGGCTTTCCTAACCACATCTCACATCTCGAGGCATCCAGATCCCTCCGCGCCACCGCGCGCGAGGTAGCACAAAGTACCACCGCAAGGATAAACCCTATAAACCCTGCAAACCCTACAAACCCTATAAACCCTAAACCCTATCAACCCTATAAGACACGCAGGACAACATGCACCCTCTGATTCTCACGACCCCTCGCGCCTTGCCCATGCGGTGGCCCAGGCAAACCAGGATTGGAATTGTCGCACACCTTCCGTGTCAGGCGTTCTCGTTTGGGTTTGGTATAGCGGGGGGGGTTGACCTCTTTAAGTGGCTTTCCCTAAACCAAAAAACCAAAAACGCTGAACCCTAAACCCTATAAACCCTAAACCCTATCCTTGAGCCCTCGAATGCAGCCGAAGAACACAACCAGGGACAGCTGCCAGCCCGTGGCGAAGGCCTCGTAAGCATGTGCAGAAACATGACCACGACGTTCAGGGTTTAGGGTTTAGGGTTTTGGGCTTCTTGCTGTTCTCTGCTTCTGAGGTTTTCTGATCTCGTCCCGAAAGCCCCAGACCCCCAATCTTCATGGAAGCCAAGCAGGATGGCAGGCGAGATCTGCCGAGGCTTTCTAGGGTTTAGGTTGGGATGTTCCTCCCTAAACCCTAAACCCTACACCCTCAACCCTAAACCCCAAACCCTAAACCCTGAAATTCTAAACCCTAAACCCTAAGTCCTTGATAGGGAGAATAGTACCCCCGATGATAATCCTATTAGGGACTGTTAGTAGGGGTTGGAGCATCCCAAGGTTTAGGGCAATCCACTTTTGTCAGCTCCAGCCCAGGCACCCGGACTTCGAAAAGCACCCTCACACTTTTAACCATTTTGCGTGAACCCATGGTTCTGCCAACTGTCCCAAAAACCCAAAACCCAAAACCCTATACAGCATCTCCATGTCGGAAATATCTAGAGGCTGAGAAATGCAGGCCGGGTTGCGGCCAAAAGCACCACGCAGCCAACCATGCTCTATGCTGGGGTTTAGGGTTTAGGGTGGCTAGCCCCAGAAAACCTATAAACATAAACATACACCGCAGAAACCCCATAAACCCCATAAACGCTACCAAACCCTCAAAACCCTAAGAACCCATAAGACCCAGTAAACCCTATGAACCCTACAAATCCTATACAGGCTTTGGAGACTTTGGCGGGGCTAGGGCCCATGCCAGGGACAAGCCGGCGACGAACTGGCCTGGGTCTTTCTCCAGCAGAGGGTTTAGAGTCTGGGGTTTAAGGTTTAGGGTTTTAAGGTTTAGAGTGATTCAACAGAGGCTTCTTGACATGGATCCTCAAACTTCCGGAGGCGTGCTTGAACCCTAAACCCTGGACCCACAAAAGAACCGAAGCCCCGGATAGCAAAGCTTCAGCAACGAGGCGTACTTGCAGGGTGCACTCTGCAAGGTTGGAAGTCATGCGCAACTTTGTTCTTCAGCATGTACCATCCCAGCACGTGTTCATAATTATACTTGCCAAGGTTTTGGGTTTAGGGTTTAGAGCTTGGGGGTTAGGGCTGAGGGTTTAGGGTGAAGGGTTTAGGGTTCCCTGCCCCCCTGCCATGCCACCAGGAGGCCGATGGATGCGATCAGGTACCCCAATGCGGTGGACATGAACCTGCCGAGGGACTCCGGTATCCTTCAAAAGTTACTAGTTCATGGTTGGGATAGCATGAAAAATCATTAGACTTCTATTCCGTATTGGGTTTAAGTACCCTTAGAAGTGTAAACTGCTACCCAACTATGACAAAGGTTAATCTCAGACTTCAGTCTAGGAGACGACAGGGCCTGAAGCCATGCGATGATTTGGGCGTGTGACGAAGCATCAAACCACCATGACTCCTGGTTGAATGGAGGACAGGACGTGCGACGTCTGAAAAGAAGCACCATAAGCACAGCCCAAGGAGCATGAAGACGTTGGCAATGTCGGTCTCCAGTCTAGCAGCCACTCCTTCCCGGGGTCCAGAATTTCTTGAGGCTGTAGCAAATCCGAGCAGGTCTCGACCCTAAGCCTAAGCCCGTTCAAACCCTGGAAGCCCTAAACCCTTTCTGCGTCCGAAGCCCTAAGCCCCCAGCCCGTTTATGCAACAGGCTTGTCAACGACCCGGAACCAGATTGAAGTGCTCAATGATCAGAACACGTTCAGACATCGTAGTTCGACTCGTGAAACAGGTGCAGGGTAGGAAGCCTCCAGATTGGGGCTGTCGCCAGGCACATTCTTGATACCATGACTGGAGCTCACAACATACCGTGGCTAACTACCCCAAACTTCATGGCATGGTAAATGATGTGCCGATTCCTTAGCATTCCACAGTTTAAGGAACCAAGTGAATTCTCCAAGTTCATGTCAACCCCAAACACCCCCCCTCCCCCCCCCCCCCCCCCCCCCCCCCCCCCCCCCCCCGCCCCCAACAAAAAATAAGAATGAAATAATCCCGACACTGCTTGCCAGGCTTTCCTGCGGGCTCGTGCTCATCGTACCAGCTGACATCCAAGCAAAAAAGCACCTGGACACCACCACTTCTTAGATCCCAAAGGGGCCGGGGGGAATGACAAGGGTGCCCCTTTTTGGGGGCTTCCAAGGGTTTGGGGATTTGGGGGTTTGGGGGCTTGGGGGTTTGGGGGTTTTGGGGTGGTTTTGGGTTTGGGTTTTTTGGGGTTTGGGGGGGGGTCTGGAGTTTCGGGTTTTCAGAACAATCCCAAAAGGACCACTCCCGGGACGGACTCTTCGAGGGACATGCCCCAAATGGCAACACCTTTCAAGGCAGTGTCAGCAAAAAGGGGATTTAGGGTTTAGGGTTCTGGCCTGAGGCCGGCCAGTCACACTTTCGCCCTGGAAGTGTGCAACTTGCCATGACCCATACAGCCTTACAACCCCAATCCCCACAGTACCCTAAACCCTAAACCCTAAACCCTAAACCCTAAACCCTAAACCTAAAGCCTCAATCCTCACGTACTTCGGGACTTCCGGCCTGAGCTACCGTAAATGGCGGTACATCCCGTACATTCGCCCTCTTATGTAACTGTAAGCACCACCAAACCTGGCGCAAGCCGATCCTCTGCTAACTGGGAATGAGAGCTGCGCACTGGCTAACGACCACTCAGAACCCTCAAACTCCTATCGCTTGAGGGGCTCACGGGATTAGGGCATTGACTTCGAGCGTGGGGTTCAGGAAACTTAGGGTTTAGGGTTTAGGGTTTAGGGCGTAGGGCTCCGAGTTCCGGGTGCGGAGAGGACCTCCAAAAAGCCCCGGTGCCAGCGAAGTGCCTGAGTTTGTGGCGAGGTCACACGCTCGCACGCCGGTGGTATGAAGAGTGCAGTGCATTGCAAGGCCAAAGCCCGGGTCCCCAACCTCTAAGGGTAGGGTTTAGGGTTTAGGGTTTAGGGTTTAGGGTTTAGGGTTTAGGGTTTAGGGTTTAGGGTTTAGGGTTTAGGGTTTAGGGTTTAGGGTTTAGGGTTTTGGGTTTTGGGTTTTGGGTTTTGGGTTTAGGGCTTCAGCTTACGTTAGCATGGCATCAGTGCTGGTAACTCGAGTGCGCCCAGGAACTCATCCTTTCTTACTCTACGAGGGCAAAGCCGAACCTTTCCCAAGAACCTTCCCTCGCGTCGGAACACTGAGCTGCTTGGGACTCTTGGAAGCAACTATCCTACCACTTTTCGGGTTTGTGGCATTTTTTGCCACCCGCATTGTAAGGTTTAGGGTTGAGGTTTAGGGCATAGAGCTCAGGGTTCCCGAGCCCTTCTTTGGAAATCTGGGACGGTGCCTGCTTGGATGCCGCCCAGGCGAGGCAAGTTTGCCAGCCGAAGGCCATTGCGAACTGGATGACGGCCAGTACACCTTAGGGTTTCTTTCCCACCCGTGTCGCAAGCGTTTACGAGAGGTTAGGGTTCAGGGTTCCGGGTACACCTGGTTTTTTGTCTGTCCCCTGGTTTTCGAGCTCACGATGTACCTCAATGGGATGCACACTGAGTGTGACCATTGCAGCTTGCCTAGCTTGGAGATGGCATGCGACGATTTGGTGATGTCCTACCCGAAAATATACCCCAACATACTAGAATCCTTCTAAAAGAGCCCCAATTCGGGCACCCCCCTATTTTCGGAAACCCCCCATTTGGGTTCAGGTTGTTGGTTTGGTGACTCAGGGGTCCAGAATTCGGGCGGAGGCTGAGACGGCGAGGTGCCAATCTTGATGAGGGTCGGCATCATGTTGTCCATCACGTGCTCCTTCGCTCAGTCCGCAGCCCGCAACCACTTTTACGTACTGACGCCTGACGCGGTCTGGGCTAGCGTTTCCTTTTGACCCTAAACCTTGAAACCTTCTTGCCCTACAAACCCTAAACCCGTTTTTAAGGAGACCCTAAACCCTAAACCCTAGGCCCTAACCCCTAAGCCCTAAACCTTTAAGGAGACCAGCGCATCTTGAGCTGCAAGGCCTACTTGGCTAGCAGGTGCAGCCTGCTCCGCGCCCGGGAGCACCAGCGTGGAGATGCTATCCTGGGGCTGAAAGTGTTCGTTCTGTCCATGTGCAAGTTAAGGGTTTATAGGCGGGGCTCTTCTAGCAACGGTGTGGCGATGAAGTGCAGCCAGTTCAGAATAGCAATAGTGCAGTAATAGTAATAGTAATAGTAGTAGTAATAGTAATAGTAATAGTAATAGTAATAGCAATAGTAATAGTAATAGTAATTGTAATAGTGATAGTAATAGTAAAAGTGATGATATGTGATGATAATAAGAAGAAGAATGATGATAATAAGAAGAAGAATTATGATAATAAATTATAATAACAAATATACCCTTCCACCGGCACCCAGCTTTCTCGTCAAGCAGCTGCCGTGAACATGGCAATGGCAGGCGTGGACACTCCCTGCCGCCATGCTGAGCTGGGCACATCATGGAATTTACCAGTTGAGGGTATCGGATTTGTGGGTTGTCTCCAAACCTCAAAAGCCCCAACACCGAGAGGGGTGGCTTGTTTTAGCGTCGGTTCTCATGGAATTCGGCTTGATCTAAGGGGATAGGATTAGGGGGGACCCTTGGGGATATAGACCCTCTGAATAAGGTCCCTGTTTCAGAGAGCCAGCAGAGGGTTGAGAAGGGTTCCCTTTTCAGGGTCCCAACCCTAAACCCTAAACCCTAAACCCCAAACCTCCCCCTTATCCTACCTTGTGAGGGGTTGGGGAAGCTTCACGACGCGTTTGGCCACCCACGCCTGGGCCAAAGCGAAGACAGCGCCGAAGCCCAAAACAACCTTCTCGCAGCACTTCCTGGAGCGTGTTTAGGGTCGTTTCAGGGTGCTTGGGGTGTTTGGGGTGTTTGGTCATTTTTTGTATTTTCCTTTTCTTTTCTTTTCATTTTTTTGTTGGTGGGGGGGGGGTTAGGGTTTTGGTTGATTTTAGGGTTCTGGGCGTTTAGGGTTTAGAGTTTTTTCGGATTTAGGGTGTTCAGGTTTGTTTTGTTTTTGGGTTTTAGGGTTCTTTAGGGTTTAGGGTGTTTAGGGCTTAGGGTTTGTGGAGGGTTTTCGTTTTTTTCTTTGGGTTTTTAGGGCTTAGGGTTGAAGGGCTAGGGGTGGGGCTGGCTGGCAGTGTAGGCCGCGCAGCTTCAGGAATTTGGAGACTGTTGGCCCGAGATGGGCTCCGAGGACCGTAATTAAAGACACAGAAAGACACAAAACATAATAAATAAATACAAAGAAGACTAGAAGAAGACACAAAAAAAACACAAAAATAACTGAACTCTGAACCCTACACCCTCAAACACACCAACTTGGTGCTGCCACCCCTCGACGCTTCAGAAAGAGGCATTTCAGGTCCAGCCTGCTGTTTGGCGGGCCTGAAAGGTGGCTAAGGGTTCAGGCTTTGGGGGCATTGAAGGCGATAAGGTTTCTGAGGGTGCCCCTCAAAGCCCCGAACATGAAGCCTTCTAAGCCATCAATCTCCCTTATCCTTTAGGCCAACAAAGCGGCAGGTTCGTGATCAGGCTGGCGCTCCTGGGAGAATGAGGGGGGGCTGGAGGCCAAAAGGAGGCTCAATCGGCGGAGTGGGTTTAGGGTTTAGGGTTTAGGGTTTAGGGTTTAGGGTGGGGTTTGAAGTTTAGAGTTTAGGTCAGGAAGGCTTCTAGGAGGAAGCGGCGGGACTTTCACAGGCTGTCGGAGTCTCTTCAGGTCCAGAATTTCAGGGTTTAGGGCTCCGCACCTGCCGGGAGTTCTTCTACAATCCCTTGGAGCAAAGCAATTTCAGGACCCTTCATGTAGAACGACCCCCATCTGCTCTGTGCCGTAGCTACAGAGGCATTGAGCGCTGCGCAGTTTCACCCACTTGCAAGATCAGCTCTTTCCGGCCACTCAAAAAAAGCCGCGAGGGAGAGCAAGCCTGAAAATCCCGAATTCTGAAAGCCTTTACGGTTAAGCCAGAAGCCCTGAGCCAAAATCCCAAAGCCTACCGCTTAGAGCGGTCCGGCCATAGGGCCCAAGGTGCTAGAACCCTAGCAAAAATCATATTTGTTTCGGGAATGATCGTACCCCCAAAAAAATCCAAAGAATTCCTGAGGGGGATGGGGGGGGGGGGGGTGGGGAATTCGACTCAACGAGCGGCTCGTCGCCCTTCCTGTGGCCCTTCTGGGCCTTGTCCTCGGCACGCCCTAAAGTTTAGGGCAACCCTAAACCCTAGCCCTAAACCCTAAAAAGCCCCAAGCAGAGGCTCAAGCTGCAGAACTTGCGATGTGGGGGAGACTTCAAGCGATGGGGCAAGGGGCGGGCGGAAAAATCCGCACTGTATTTCAAAAGGGGGCTGTAGAATCTACAAGAACCCCCCCCATTGAACAAAGCGTCACAAGCCCTACTACAAGCCCAAACCCCTTGTTTCAACCCAGGTTTCTCTCTTAGGGCTCAAAAAGCTGAAGGAGGGACCCTTGAAAGGAACCTTAGGGGCACGTCGGGGCTACTTAGGAAAATAGGACCTATATAGGGTCCACACAGGGGTTCCTTAGGGAAATAGGATTATAAGGGTCCCTTCTAGACGTCCCTCCTTATACCCCCTTAGTCCCAAGACCCCCAACGCCCTGGTCTCCCAGGTGCCAGCAGAGGCACACACTCCATCTCAACTTTCCCCGCCTCGATGTCGGCCTCTGCCTGTACTTGGGCATTTGTCCGTCAATTAACAATTACGAAGCCCCTAGAAAATCCTTCATACAATCACCTCAAAAAACTCTACTCTTATTCTTCAGGCGCCTATACTACGGAAGGACACGAGCTCCGCAGTTCCAGCTCCCCGCCCCTGCCCGCACCCACCGGCCTGCTTGCGTCCCAGAAGGACCGGCAGACCCTCGCAGGGCCGAGAGATTCAAAATCAATAGAAGGCTTTTCAGCACCCGACGCCTGCCCCTAACCGCCTCGCATCACAAGTCGGAGTAGAGTACGTAAGAACCCAAAAACCTACTTTTTGTTTGTGGGTTCTTAGTATCAACCCCCTTAAAGGATCCTTAGGGAACCTGCAAAAAAGTAGGTCTGGGTTCTGGATTCCTCTATCTAAACCGTCAACCCTAAACTGGCCCTAAACCTGAAGACCCTAAGCTTGGGCCCCCTTACTTACAGTCCTCAATAGGGATTCTAAAAGGGGATACTATAATCTCTATCGAGAACTGTTAGTATAAGGGGGAACATCCCAACCCTAAGCCCTAAAATCCTAATCAACCGCAGGCTGCGCCAGCCTACATCCGGTCGGCACCAAAAAAAGCGCACCACGACGGCGTCCCCTCAATGTATAGGTGGGCCCAAGACCTTAACCCTGAAAACAAAACAACCATAAACCCGAAACCCTCCATCCTAAATCCTACATCCTAAACCCCTCAAAGCAAACCCCACATGAATCACCACGGCTCGAAACCCAAGGCTTCAAATGCGCTGACACCCGAAGCCCTCACCCTCACCTCCAAATTTTTGGTTTAGGGTTCAAGGTGTAGTGTATAGGGCTTCAGGTCCCCTACCCCCACCCCCAACTGAAACCTGCTGGGCAGTTCGCACAAAAGTTGGGCCCTGTTTGGAGGTTTTGTTATAGGGTTTAGGGCTGCGCTGAAACCTTAGAACGAATGCAGCCCCTGCTTGGTGGAACGGTAACCAGAATGGAGGGAACCGGTCATTTTTTGCAGGTTTTGGGGATTTAAAAGTGCCTGCTCAGCGGGGGTGGTCTCTTGCATCACCTCTGCATTCTGGGCAGCCATGGTGCAAAACCTCGGCTTTTTCTTCGGGGTCCGAGGGCAACCGAATACACAGGGCACTCCTCTTTGAGTCGGGCCATGAACCCTAAACCCGAAGCCCTAAACCCTAAGCCCTATACAGAAGCCCTAAACCCTAAGCCCTACCAAAAGCGCGGGGAGGTTTAGGGCGGAGGGGCTTAGTGTTTTATCGGGTTTAGGGTTAGGGGTTAGGGTTTAGGGCTTAGGGCCCGACTCGGCCCTACCAAAAGGTAAAGTGGGGTTTAGGGCTGAGGGCTTAGTGTTTATAGGGTTTAGGGTCAGGGGATTTCGGGGCTGAGCTTCGGGTTGAGGGGTTTTAGGGGGGTTCGGGCCATGGTTCGGAGTGCACAGCCTGAAGACCGTTTCATAAACCCTGCAGCCCAGCAGCTTTGGATGTCAAGACAACTTGTCAGGGGCGTCTTCGTGTGACTCTTCGGCCAACTGCAACTCCCGAGCCCAAAAAAGGCGGCCGCGAAAGTCGGAGATGCCCACGAGCTGGGGAGCTGTGATAGCTCGTTATTGCCCTAAGGGTCCATGTACCTAAACAGGAATACTTGGGCGATCGTGTACTTCCCGCAGAGGGTCTTTGAGGCCCAAGTCTGCACATGCTTCTACTTATACATCAAAAAGGGTTTAGGGTGTCTTGTCCTTTCTTTCCATCCGCCGAGCAATGCTCCAGGTGTATGTGTTAGGTTTAGGGCTGTTGTTTCAGTGAGCCGGGGTCTCGGGGGTCGAGAGTTCAGGGTTCAGAGCGCAGGGTTGGTGCTTGGCAGGGGGGCACCTACTCGTCCGAGAACTTGTCGACAAAGGACCGGCCCTTAGCTCTACATCAACACCCTCAGCCAGCCGTTCAAGAGGGTGTATCTTCGTCGACAAGAGACACTAGATCCCCAAATCCTACCCCTAGAGCATCACAAGCCCTGGGTGGGAAGGGCCCTAGGAACGAACCAAGTCAGGACCGTATGAGGTAGAACTGCAAAAATATGAAAATAAGGGTTTAGGGTTTAATTCGGGTTTAGGGCCCCTACCCGCTTTGCCACCCCTAAACCCGAGACCCCAAACCCCACTTTGGAAACAAGCACGGGAGGAAGGCTGGGCGCTGCCTGCGGCATGGGTCCGTGGCCTCGCACGCGGGTTTTAAGCTGCTTGAACTTAAAGGATTTAGGGCAGAAAGGGAGTTGAGGGGTAGAGGTAAAGTTTGGGGCTTAGGGAGGGTTTAGGGTTTAGGGAGGGTTCAGGGCGGTTCTGTTGGCGCGAGGCTTCAGACGTCCTTGAGTCGAATGGGGTTAATCCTTTGGGTGGTTTTTTGTGCCATGTGTATGTGGGAAGCATAAGGGGATTATACTTCAGCAGGCGAGGATCTCGGCGATGGCTCGATGGCGAATGCCCTACCACCAGAGATGGCGCAATGGCGTTGCGCTCTGCGTCCTAGTGCCCGAAACCCCCTTCAGCTTGAACACAGGAAGTGGGGAAGTCTCCTCTGCAAACTGCTTGGGTAAGCATATTGCAGCAGCTTGGGAAGTCGAAGCTTTGATTGGCCTAGACGACGAACCCAAACCTGCAAAAGCACATAACCCTCAGAACCCTCGTCCTGCAAAAAATGCACACAGGAAGCGAGTGGTCAGCATCTGAAAGTTCATAATATCAACCCCGATCCCGAAACGCTAACCTGCTCGCAGCAGCGCCCTTCTATCAAACTGCCCTCTTTGAGCATCTGATCAGAAAGCTCTTGCTGAACCATCAAGGAACCCAAGCCCCATGTCCCATGTAAACCCTGAACCCCTACGACGCATTCCTCAGGCCCAAGCCCAGGTGCGACTTTTGGCACGGCGCAGGAACCCGCTGGGGGCCAAACGATCGGGCGAAGCTAAGCAGTTTAGGGTCGAATATAGGGCCTTACTGATTCGAATAGGGTTTAGGGTTTAGGCAGGCTTTGGGGTTTAGGGTGTAGGGTTTCGCGTTTAGGGATAGGGGCCTCAATGATTTTTTTGTTGGGGGGTGGGGGGGGGGGGGGTGGGGGGGTACTATAGTATACTTCGATAGGGATCATAAGGGGATACTATTCAGCAATTCTTCCGACCTATACTATGAAACTATAGCATCGGGTCCACCGAGCTCAGAGAGCTGAAAGGGGGCCATCGAGTTTGTAGGGGTGGGAGGGTTGACAAGGCTTACAGGGTTTATGAGGTTTGCAGGGTTTGCAGAGGGCTTCTCTTATAGTGCTTGTAGAGAAAGGTGCGCAGGGTTTAGGACTCTCTAAGGACAAATGGGGGGTCCGTTTCTGGGTTGACTAGTATCAGATGCGCCCGTAGATTTGGAGTAGCCAATTAAAAGCCAGACAGGAACCACATTTCGAAGAGCCCTAATGTCAAGAAATTGACTTTCAGATTGAGGGGTGTGAAGAGGTACGGGTACTACTACTAGAAGCCCGCACCGAGGCCCCTAGCCCTAGATGCGCTGAGTAAGTAGCCACACACCCGGCAGCTCCTCAACCATCCTTCGCCCAACCCCTACATCCTAAACCTGGTACCCTATTTACCTACACGAATCTCTACCAACTACCCTGAGTTAGTAGGTATAACCCATAAAACTGCAAAGAGGGGCCCCAGGAACGCTATATGTCCGCCACACACCTGCCTCCAGCCAAGTCTCCCCTTCATCGGTCTCCTCCAGCACCTCCGAAGGGGATCACCAGGGTTGACAGAAACTATTTTTAAATAAGCCGAAACCTAACCAAAAAAAACCCATGGTCAGTTCTCGAAGTTATGGTCCCTTTTTGGGTACCCAAAATAGGAGGGGCAGCCTTATAATGAAGAACCCAAAAGAGGCCCTAATTAAGAGAAATCACCATACGAAGGCAGAGTCAGAGTATGACAGCTTTGTTGAGTACCTAGGGTTGCCAGGCCTATCTGGAGCATTCGGGGCTTCGGCGCCCCAACTAGAACACAAAACCCTTACCCTCAACCCGAGCCGCGACACCCAGGAAACTCAAGATGTCAGCCGCCCTAAACCCTAAACCCTAAACCCTAAACCCTAAACCCTAAACCCTGAACATCCCTAAACCCGAAACCCCGTCTGCCCAAAGAAACACTGGGCCTGGATCGAGATGGAGCTGGCTGCCCAGGCGTCATCGGGCTGGTAGAGCTGGAAACCTTGCCCAGAGCTGGAGAAACCCAAAGCAGCGAGTTGAAGCGCAAAAAACCTCCTCGGAAAACTGGAGATCATGAGAAGGCAGACCCATCACCCCAAACCCTAAACCCTAAACCCTACACCCTTTTTTAACCCCTTTTACATCCAGGCCTCTGAAGTCTGCCGGGTAAGTATTTTTCATTTTTAACCCCTAAACCCCCAAACCCAACAAAAGCGGCTCCCCTAAGCTTGGCCGCCCGCATCTCGGTAGGATGGTCTCGGTCGTCAAGCTCACGCCCAACGTTCCCTTCCCGCAATTTGAGGGTTATAGGGTCTTAGGACTGAAGGTTCGGGTTTAGGGTTTAGGGTTTAGGGTTTGGGGGTTTAGGGTTTAGGGTTTAGGTTTTAGGGTTTTTTTTGTTTGGGGCGCGGGCATCGGGCTTTGAGTTTAGGGGCCATGCTGCAGCGACTTCGGGCTTGTCTTGAGTGCGAGGACTTATAGTGGGTCGCTGGTGGGGAACTTCAATGAAGCTACCACAAGTGAGAGAGCCAAACTGCCAACTACTCGCTCAGTCTCTGTGTATATGTATATACATACTTCATAGATGTACATATACAAACAAATTACCCCTGTCAAGGCATATTCATTTTCCTTCAGTGTGCAGGGGTTTAGGGTCCCATCCCGTTCCCTGCCACCTGGTCTGTGCATTGGGTGCAGCTCGCTTCCCAGAACGTCGAGGTATCCTGAAAAAACTGCTCTGAAGGGACATTGGGAGGGGGCCCCCTCGAAGGGAGCTTCAATCTTGCTTTTTTAACCCCTTGTCTGCTTCTGCTGTGCACTTGCTCTCAGATCTCAAGTGTGCCAGATAACCCCTTATATTATACATCCTTACTTCAATTTCGAGCGTCTGCTGAGACGGTTTTGGGACTTGATGCTCGAGGGCCGAGACCGTCGAAGTCTGTTTTGGGCGCTTGGGCCCTAAAGCCCCAATTCTGAAGCCTATGGGTTTCTCATGTAACTATGAACCCTAACGCAACACTAGGCCCAGTGGGCTTCTCTCGAGCAGCCGGTTGGGAGTGCTCCCTGCGCAAGTCCACACTTCATTCAAGCCTTTCACGGTGCTGTACAGTTCAACAGCTTCAACCAGCAGCGCGTTCAACTTGCCACTAACTGAGCCAATCTCAAGCGGTCTCGAGCTCGGTGGGATTCAATATTTCGTCGAAAGTTCATTCTTAGCTTCAGAATCTCACAAAAACCTAGGCCAAGACCTGGGAACCTGGCTTGCTAACATAAATTGGGCAACTCGGATGCTAAGTGCCGAAGCTTTCAGCCCTCGACGCCTGCACCTTTTCAGCACTCCAGAAGACTCCACACCATTAATTTAGGGTTTAGGGTTTAGGGTTTCGGGTTTTTTGGGGGTTTAAGGATGAGGGTTTAGGGTTTAGGGTTTAGGGTTTAGGGTTTAGGGTTCCGGGTTCAGTTCTTTTGCCACCCGCACTTAGGGATTTAACGTCTGCCGCCTGGGCACATTACTTCCGACTGCCAGCTCGGGTTCGTGGCCGTCGGCGAAGCCGGAGGCCGTCACGAGGCCGGAGACCTCACGCGTTTTGGGCTTGCAGGGTTTGGGGTTTAGGGGTTTAGGTTTAAGCTTCCCGTAGAGTAGTCTTGCCGATGCTGCCCCTCCCACTACTGAAACTAGCATGGGTTGCTAATGCAATCTGATGAATCTAGACGTGCCTTGATGATATGTCGGCCATGCGGATGGCCATTGCAGTGATCTCTCAAGTAATCACCCCATTACAGCGGCCTCCTCACGGCAGCTGAGATCCGAGAAGATGCGGAGCCCTGACACCTCGAGATTTGCGCACCACACCCGAAATTATCCGGAGACCGCAGACCTTGTATGGGTCGTTCATGAGATGGCGTGAGCTGCAAACTTACCATTTTGCTGAGCCTCGAAGGGCCTTTCAAATAAGAGCCTGTAGCAGACAGTGTAGGGCAGTGTTAGGGTTTGACACCCTAAGCCTACAAGGCCTACGGTGAGCCTTCTGAACCCTAAACCCTAAACCCGAAACCCTAAGCCTACAAGGCCCAAGCCTTCTGAACCCTAAACCCTTTTTGATGTCATTTGGCACCCTGCATGCGACAGCCGGAAACCTCGCCTGCCATCCTCTGCGATTTGGCCTCCCAGCAAGGGTTTTCGGGGCTTTGCTTGACATCATATTTAGCAAACCCGAAACCCTAATTCCTAAACCCTATAGGGCTGAGGGTTTGTAAGGCCCAAAGATTCAGAGCCTTCGGTTTGAAGGTCTATGGCGAAGGACTCTTCCCGGCTTCAGGGCCCTGAAAACCTCCGATTTCCGAAAACAAACCCTGCAAACCCGACAAGCCTCATAGAGCTTCTACTACAACCCTATTTTGTCCTACTGTAAATCGAAGCCCGAGACCCAAAACCTGCATTTCTAAAGTCGGTGGTGCCCCGGCCCCTTCGCGACCAGCCGCCAGGCAATGCGCCCGGCGAAGGAGACGCCGTCCGGCGCCACCCTCCTGCGCGGAACCCTGACTTTCGGGCTACTCTAAAACCTGCCTTAAGAACCCAAATTATAACATCCCTTGTAAGAGTCTTGTCTTGGGTAACCTACAAAAATATAGTAGGTTTTGGGTTCTTAAGGTAATCCCTTTATTAACTCAGAACCCTTAATTTAGGAAACCAGGTACCCTGCACTCTAACCCTCAAGGCCTTAAACCCATGAGCCCCCCAAAACCCTGAACCACGGAACCCGAAAGCAGCAAAACCCCACCAATCTTAAAACCCGAATAATGCATCTGGGCACTGAATCTTAGACCCTTGCTTTTCAACCCAGGATGTTGGACCCTTAAACCCCAAACCCTTAAGCTCCAAGCCCTTAAACTTAAACTGCTGAAACGGAAACTCCCAAACCCCTCACAGAGCTCCACACCTCATGTCGTGAGAATCCTTTAGTCGGGCGCTCATCATTTTTGTTGGCCACCCACCAGCCAGCGGCTGAGGGCTTCGGGTTCAACCCTGAAAGACCACCCAAGCTCATCCGCAAAACAGGGTACTCAACTGAGGGTGTGCTGTTCCAAACTCTGATGTGACCAACCAAGACCCTATAAACCCTAACAGGGAACCTGGGGTAAGATAGCCACAGCCCTTGAGTCTCCATCTAGTCCGGCAGTGGTTCACACCGAGGCCCAGGCACTGGATATGGCACGGAATACGCCTGACCTTCCGCAGACTTCTGCAGACGTTGAGTGTTTGGGAGCGGCGTTCCTAAGTGAAGATTTTCGGTAAATTCTGCCAGGGTCAGGACCGTTGTGCTTCCGAACCCTGAACCCAAAAGCTAAACACAGCCCTGGCATAAGCTGACTTTTGGGGTTAGGGCTTCGACTTTAGGGCATTCTTGTGCAGGGACTTGTTCCCAATCGTCCAGCTCCAGTCTGTGTGGACCCCTGTAGGTGTATGGCAAAGGACAACTGACAAGATTTAGAGCATCGTGCGACGAGAGTGTGGAACAAATACACACGTCACACGCAGTTTCACACAGCGGCGGTACCCTTTTCCGCTGGGCGAAGTCTGCGACGAAAGCCTCGGCTTCTCCCAGTAGGAAAGGGCTAGTTGAAGATATCGCCATCCACCTGACTTCGCCCTCGGTTGAGATGGAGGCTTCCAAAACGTAGGATGCCCTTTATGGGTCCCTCGCCAGGAGATTCCACTACATTTGGCAGTATGCTTCCCTTCATGCACATGTTTCCGGTTAAATTTGTTGACTTACAACAGCTAGCTTGCTACTTGTTGAGTTTTTCTGCTAAAAAATTATACTTATCAAAGCAGATGCTGCTAAGCTCCTACCAGGTCACGGCGCAGGAAGAAGCGGCCGAAGGGAGGAAGCGCGGAGTCCCCCTCTCCTTCCCCAGCCTCCCCATGGCCGCAGTCTGCCCAGATCGGGGATGCGCCCCGAACCTCGGCTATGAAAAGAGCAAACCCTTTTTTGCTTCAGGGCTCCTGTGGTAGCTTGCCTGTGAGCGAGGTTGTTCAGGTGACATCATGCGAGTCGGATGACTTCGTCAACGACCCTGTCCTGAACCTCTTCAAACACCAGTAACCCTAAACCCTAAACCCTAAACCCACAGGAAGCCTCATGAAGCTTTTAAGCAACAAGCCCGAATATCACCTGCAAGTCTCTTGAGCCACCCAGCATCACCGAACAGCATAAGCAACTCCGCACCCTACATAAGCCCTGAACCTCAAACTTACAGTGTAGGGCTTTTCAAGAGCCAAAGCCCCATAAGAAACATGCTTCTCAAGCCGAGCCCTCTTACATTTTTTTGCTAGAATCCTCAACCCTAAGCCGCTCGGGGGCTTCCTCTTCCACAGCACGCGCCCCGCCAGCCACGCCATCAAGTCTCGCCTTCCCGAGGTCTCGGATCCAGGTGCCCACCTTGCGGACTTCCGTGGTCTTCGGGGGGGGTAAGGGCTATAAGAGGGTATAAGGAAGGGGAGGGGGTACAAGGGTGTAAATGGGCGTAGAAAAAGAGGGGGCAGGAGGAGAGTATGAGAGGGGTTTAGGGCGAGACCATCAGATTTAGGGTTGCAAGTTAAGGGTTTTGATGAAAGGCAACTCCGACATGCTGCGAGAGGTTGAGGACCCTGAGCCCTGGCCCTAGAACCCAAAGTCCTATTTGCACTTTTGTTTATAGCGTTCGTTGCCACCTGGTTGGCAGTTTCACAGCACACTGTGTGGCTTGTGTCTTCTTAGGAGGGTAGCATTTTACCAGGACCCTTAACTTAACTTTGGTTCCATATTCTGGGATTAGTCTATCATCGCGACACGAGGCACCCGAAACAATGACCTCCTGTGAAGCGTCTTGAGGCTTCGCCTTTGGGCTTTCATTGGGTGTCTGGCTGCTAGTGGGGACTATATCTCAACTAGTACTTACCATTATGGTTTGTCAGTCATCTCACACAGGACTTCTGGGATTACCGTGCTCACAGCTGGGGTCGCAAGGGATCTGCTCCTGGCCCGAATCGATGCTGGTGACCCATGGATACATGCACTTTAGACTGCTGGGATCCCTTGCATTTGGGGAGAGAGACGCTCAAGAAGCCTCAACACCAGATGGTGCACATCTCGCCATCCCATGAAAGAGCGCGTATTGCGGTGAAGTACCATCATGTAGCGAACTACCCCAATACAGGGACGAACCTTAAGTAAACCATTTGTAACCTAAACCCCGCAACCTTCAACCCACACCCGAAAGTCAGCCGAGCCGCCCCGGAGCGCATCAGCGGCGCGGGCGGATCTGCGGCCGGCTGCGTGGCAATCGGGGTGGTCCACCATCCGACCATCCTTGGCCACCCCGGGGGTGGAACTCTGGCAACCCCAGTTCTGAATTCGCTGAACCTTATCCGAATCCCCTCAATTAAGTAAGCCCAAACCCTCTTGCAACAGGCTTCCCGGCTGGAACGTGCACACAGCAGGGTTCGGATTCCTCTGGAACTCCCAGCCCTCAGCCCTGAGCTCTGAAACCAACACCCGCGCAAAACTTCACTACCAACCCGCAGACAACTGAACAAACTTGAATTAAACCTCTATACGACAAGAAGCTCGTGAAGAAAGCCCTTGCGAGTCCTCCAAGCCCTAACTCCAACGTGCCATGTCGCCCCGTGAGAATCCTGAAGCGCCTAAAAGCGTCACGTTCAGTCGCCTTTGTGGATCACCGTCCTCTAGCCAAGGCCGGCCGGGCAAGGCGCCATGAAGGTAGCTTCCCTTGAAGAAGAGGACGCCTGGGACACATGTGGCTCCGTTTCTTCCGGCAGAGAAGGTCTTGTGCAGCATGCGTCGAAGGTCTACTGCCATGCACAACCCGACAAGACAAAACCAAACCTATCAGGCTCAGAACCTGAAGCCAAAAGCTAACATTTTTGGATCCGAAACCCCTCTAAAACCCAAAGGCCCTCAAAACATCTCAAAACCCATGAGTCCCTCAAAGCCCCTGAAGTTCGCCCCAGCGGCGCCCCAACTTGGGACGGACCAAGGCCGCCTCGCCACGAAACCCCGGCTTTGCCTTAAGGGCACGCGCGCGTCTCTCCGGCCAGAGAAGAAACGTCGAAGACGTGTTGATGAACGGTTTATACGGATTCCCCTACACACTACGGCACACCCTAAACATCCCTATAAACCCTAAACCTAACAGCATCTGAGGTTCGTGGATGAGAACTGTGGAGCGGCTTCGACAGCAAGACCCACCGAAAGGCCCAGAAGTGAGGACCAACTCCCAAATGTCGCACGATTTGGGGCTCCCGTGGCCTGGTTTAAACCAAGGCTGGTGTCTTCCGAGCCACGGCATCCCCATACTCTTGGCTGGTAACCACGGTCGCGCCGAAGCGGGGAGAGTCATCGCACAAGTACCTGATATGTACTCACAGCTTTGCCGGAAACTCCCTACACCGTAAACCCCAATCCCTAACCTTAAAGGACCTTAAGCTCTCCGAGGGTTCTGGGTTTAGATGCTATAGATGCTGCTATATACTCTCCTGCAGAGACTCCCTCATCACTCAGGGCAGACGAGGCACAGCGGCACACCGCCCAGAGGATATTTGATAGGGTACCAACATGAGTTTCAGGCATTCGGCCATACCCGATTACACAAACCTAAGTCCAAATCCCGACCCTTTGCCATGAAAAGAAACGCAAAAAAATGAAATGGATGACCGTACGGGCAAGAAAAAACTATAATCTTCAATTGATAAGCGACAACAACCTCGGAAGAAGACTAAGCACACACACACAAGCGATGATGTTAGCAAGCACCCCTCCCCCCCCTCCAGGCTTCAAATATGTTGTGCCCAGGCGCACCACGCTGCTGATGGCAGGATGCTCGACGCAGCGGCCCTGCGAGTCGCGAAGGAGCTGTTCGTTGGTGTCATAGTGCAGGGGATGTCCTGCAAAATCCGCATGCTGGGCGCCGCTTTTCCAGCCCCAACTGCAAGAGTTCATGCAACCGCAAAGTCACCTACCGGTCCTAAAATGTCCTAAAGTTAATCGACATAGATCGAGCTGCAAGGCAAAGAGCCCTGGAAGCGTGAAGCTCCACACGCCGTAGCCTGTTTGAGCTGCATCTGAGGTCTCCCTCATGCCAGCGCGTATGCTCAAACGTCCAGTCATTTACAGTAGTCTTGCACGGTCTGCGGTTGACCCCCGGGGCGGACCGTAGAAGTGCCATGCTCTATGGGGAGGTTTACGAACATAAGGGACACCGAATATAAATCCCCAAACAGTAGGATTCCATTGTAACAAGAACCCCAACAAGGTACCCTAGTTTCGGAAACCACAACAAATTGACTTGGAGGTTCCATTCTGAGGGGTCTGGGTGCGGGGGTCAACGAACAGGCCTGCGTACAGGGTGTGAAACGTGGTGGCTTCTTTTGATGCAATCTCACAGCGCTTCACTCAGGCTGCTGCTCCTCCATCACAGTTTGAGGCCTTGGCTGAAGCTCCAAACCTGGGGTGTTTCGGCACCCCTATATGAAAGGAAACTGCAGAAACCCCAAAGGACCAAAAACCCAATGGTCAACCTAGATGCTGGGTCTGCCTCGCTGGAGCCTTGGCCTTGGCTTTGGCTTTCTTCCTCCGGCGTTTACGCTTCCGATCGGTGCTGGGGCCCTGGGCTTCCCCTACGGGTTCAGCCGAGACTTCCAGGACAACGCTGTCGCCCTTCTCGTCGACGGATACGGTAGAACCTTTAAGCACTTCAAGCTGCGGAGTTTGCCAGGGGCTCAGATCGAGAAGATCGAAATGGGCTTCCTTCAGCTCGGGCCAGGTGCCCGGACCCAGCAAGTCCCAAGTCTGGCTTGGAGCGCCATCGCAGAACCTAAAATTGACCTTTTCCAGGCGCTTGCACCTCACGAGCAGCTCCATCACGGCCACAGCTCCGTCTGCTGCCGGCTTATCACAATCGAACGTGCCTCCAAAGTTGGCCTCTACAAGCTCCGGCCACTCTGCCTTGCGCAGAACCGCCCAAGCCTCAGCGGGGATGCTACCACAACATCCGAAGTCGAATATAGTCAGCAGCTTGCAGCGGGAGAGGAGATCGAGCAGCTCTGCCGCGCCCTCCCCTGTCTTACTAAACACGAAGCTAAATCTGGCCACCTGCAACTTTGGCCAGTCGGCTTGCTGCGAAAATTTCCATTTTGGCACATGACTGAAGCGCGTGGCATCTACGAGCTGCGGCCACTCTGCCATGCGCAGAACCGCCCAAGCCTCTGCAGGGAAGCTACCACAACATCCGAAGTCCACTACGGTAAGCAGCTTGCAGCGGGAGAGGAGATCGAGCACCTCCGCCGCGCCCTCCCCTGTCTTACTAAACACGAAGCTAAATCTGGCCACCTGCAACTTTGGCCAGTCGGCTTGCTGCAAGAGCTTCCATTCTGCCACATGGCTGAAGTTTGTGGCATCCAAATACTCCAGGTCACCGTGCTGCACCAAGCCTGGGAGTAGCACAGCAGGTTCCAGTTCGTAGAGCGAAGCATGAGTCAGGCGCTTTGGAGGCAGAGGCTTGGGCAAGCTCTCTCTATCCAACCGCCGACACCATCTCTTGATGAGCTTAGGCAATGGAAGCCAAAAGCCTTTCCGGGATGGCGATGGCGAGGCAGTCTCTATCGGCTCATAACCAACGAGTCGGTCAGGGGAAAAGTTATTATGAAGTCTGCACTGAAACAGTTTCAGATTGGGCCAACACCCCACGGGTAGCTGTTCCCAAGACTGCTGGTATGGCGGCCACTCCGACCCTGCCTGCGTGATATCCAAGGTCTCTAGCTTTGAGCACCGACTCAGCATCTTCAGCACCGCCGTGCTGGCCGGCTCTAACTCACTGGGCTCCACTTCAGTGAAACGTTTACCAAAGCACTCGAAAAAATTTGCCACTCGAAGTTCCGGCCAGTTGGCATCGCGCAGCGAGCTCCAGCTCCGACTCTTACACATGGAGATTGAGACTTCTTCCAAGTCTGTGCAGCATGCCAACATATTGAGAACTCCGTCGTCGAGAAATTGGTCGTGGAACATTGCGATCTTCAGTGGCCAGCGTAAGGTGCCCCATGGCGAGCCGCATTTACAGTTGCACTGACTGAAGTCTGCATCGACGACGCGGAGGTTGAGACCGGCAAGCTGCTGCGCCTCCTGCCTGGGCTCTAGCTCCTTCATGACACCAGCGGAGATGGCCACACAAGTTTTGGCTCTCGCCAACTTGTTCAGGATGGCTTCGTCTTCCAATGCTTCAGCATTCAGCCAGCAGGTGGTGTCAATGGCAGCCAAGACCGCACACGGCAACTGCGCAAGGTCCAACGCAGCGGAAAGCATGCCACAGGTTAGAGGCTGCCCTTCGCTCACCTGCTCAAAGAAAGGATGCTTCATTGAACTTCCGTAGGTGCTCAGCAAGCCAAGGCCCGACAGGCTGCAGGCAGTTGCGGAGATGCATGCCAGCAGCCAGGACAGTGGCACCAGCTCTGCATCTGGGAACAGGCCGTTACCAAAGGAAAGCAAACCTTGCAGGCCTACTGCAACGCACGCCAGGAGCGCGTGCATCCAAACTGAGAAGCGGAGTGGCAGCCGAGATTTATCCCCCAGAAGGACCTGACCCGGGTGGGCCACCACTGCAGCAAAAATCTGTGACCTGCCCAGTTGTTCATGAGAGGTGCATAGTTAGGGCGTAGCACAACCCCCACATGATGGACCCCAATGAAATCGTGGTTTGCACTACAAAACTGCATAGACACCCCACAACTCTGCCTGTCAGCTTCCCAGAACAAGCATCGAGCCACGACTGCCAGGAGCAGCACCGTCGCTGGGCCACCCAACGGCAGGGCGGCGCGCACCGAAAGGTGCACGATGTTGATTGCCAAAATCCGGCTCGCGACTTCCAAGGTTCGGACGAGACACAAAGTCAGAAAGACTGGGCCCCAAGCGAGCTTTCCGGGAACCTCCAAGACCCTAGTCTCCAGCTTGTCCCTGCTTGCGAGACCAAAGCCCAGTGAGAGGCAGGAGATGCTGACCGAGAAAGCCAGACCTCGAAGTGCTTCAGGAGATACGGACTTGACGCCGACCACGGCGAGAAGCAAGAAATTGCCCTGCACGCACGCGGAGACGGCAGCTTCGGCCACTTCGGCATGTTTGGAAGCCAGAAGCAGATCATGCTTGACTCGAAACAAAGCCGACGCAAGGACAAGCACAAGCATGTGACTTTGAGTCAAGACACTGGCAACGAGCAGCCACAGCCTCATGGCTCTGGATGGAACGAGGCTTCGGAAGATGTCACTTTGTGGTTCCGGCTGACGACTCTCACTCCACTGCACGGCCACGATGAGCGAGGTAGCTATCGGAAGAAAGATGCCGACGCAGGTCAGGGCCAAGTAATCAAACTGTCGTTCCATTGCAAACAACACCACTTGCTGCACATCTGTGAAGACATCCAGGTAGTAAGGAAAGAGGATGAAGCCAACCAAGTCGAGCCAAAAGGCTGCCCGCTGCCCAGTGGCAGCCTCAAGGCTGCTTGACCTCGCAAACTCCAAGCCCATTACGTGGTGCCGCCGGACCCCTGCGAAGGCGCGTAAGCGCGCAACCTCCACGGGCTGTCCAGAGCTCTGCAGGCGCAACTCGCGGCCGGGGAACGCATACGGGTACTTGAAGAGCTCGCGCGATAAAGGCTCCAGCCGCAAGCCGTCGCCAGCAGACAGCAGCACGTGCGCATGGAAGTAGACACTGTTGCGAGTGGCCGTCTTGAGCTCGTGCATCCTGAAACCAACAACGCTCTCGTCAAGCTCGATGGGCAGGATCGTTGTGCACGTTGGCAACTCTGAGGTGAAGCCTGGCACGTCATCGGCAGTAAAGAGGGTTAGCGACTCGATCTCAGCGCCGTCGGAAAGACGAAGATCAATGCGCAGCAGAAGGCTCACCTTCGCATCGCTCCACTCATTTTCGCTGTAGTAGCCTGTGCCACCGTGTCGGAGGTTGGATGCCACGAAGGTGGCCCGAATGAAGCGGCCGGGTAGCTCAGGCGTCACCGCTTGCGGGCTGCTGTTCCGACGACTTGGGGCCGCCATCTTGTGGACCCATGCAGGGCTTAGATGAAGCCCTTTCTAGGGCCACATTCGCCCGAACCAAAAGGTGACCGCAATTTGGATCCAATCCCCCCCCCCCCCCCTCAGAGGGTAGCAGGGGTCTTGAAAGAGGGCCTGAGTCGAATCCTGAACCCCCCATGGCAAAACTCTCCACCACAGCGACAACGAAGGACTGCTTTAAGCTTCAGGCTTTAGGATTTCGGGTTGGAGGCCCCCCGCCCCCCTCCATCCCCAAGCCCAGTCCATGCCACTGGTCTGGCTGTCGCTGGTGCACCCACCACTCGGCAACCTTCCTCGGAGGCTTGTGGAAAGCCCAGGGGTTTGGGGTTGAGAGTTCAGGACTTGGGAGAATTTGGGAGATCGAATCACAGGAAGAGTGGGGGTTGGGGCGGGGGAGGGCCTAGCGGTTGACTTATAACAAGTTTCCGTTGGATCTAGGGCAGCCCAGCATCAGAGAGCTGCCAACCTTCGGATCGACCTCCGCCAAGAGCGGCCTCTCTACAGAGGTGGAAGCTGCACTATTGGGAGGGGGAGAAGTAAATTGGGGGTCACTATGATGCGAAGTAGGAGTGCTGCAGCAGGTGCACCTGAGCAACCTCGACAAAGGCATCCTTCCCTCCGATCTCGCAATCTGAGCCCTAAACCCTAAACCCTAAACCCTAAACCCTAAACCCTAAACCCTAAACCCTAAACCCTCACACAACCCTGAACCCTGAATCCAAAACCCCAAACCCTAAACCCAGAATCTCTGCAAGCTAGTCCAGCCTCATGGCTTCGATGAGCTGATCGATGACATGAGTTTCCTTAGCAAGCAACTGGAGCTTCGGCTTGCAGGGTTACGAAGTGGATGGGAGGGTTTCTTCATTAGGTACAGTGTGTGACCATGCTTACTCAAGTGCGCTTAAAGAGTTTCGGAGTTTCGGACGCGGTCCAGGTGGTTTCGAGCTTTGGCGAAGTGGTGTGCAGGTGGGCAAGATGCAAAGCTGTTCTTGAAACTTGTGAAGATTTGCAACTCACGCCATGTGTGTTGAGGACGGGTTCTGGGCGCATGCCCCAAGCTATTGCCCTTTTCCAACTCCTTCAATCTATCCCGCCCGTCTGATCCCAACGCCGCCGTAAAAACCTTAAAAACCTTCACCCGCAGACCCCAGAACATCTGAAAGCCCTGCAGTGCAGAAGCAGGCACGTCTCCGGGAAAGTGCGCATGCGAATAGAAGGCAACGTCTTCACCTCGGGTTTAGGGTTCAGGGTGTCTTGGCATCGCCTTCGGGTCTTTAACGATCCGGTGTTGAGCTTCAGTGTCTGAGGCGCTTCTGAAAACTTCGGAAAGACTTAAGAGCTCTCGGGTGTCAACACGCATTATACAGTTTTTTTTAGCTAAACCCACGTGTATCCAAACACCGTAGCGTTCACGGTGCTCGGCTGCCTTTGACCTACAGATGCCTTTCTGGCAGCATCAACTCCCCTGCAGCGGACCTTAACTCAAAACCCTACGCCTGGTGGCCGAGCATTGAAGCTGGTCACTGCTCTACACCCTCGGCCCTTTTTGCTCAAGCCCGCCACCAAAAAACATCCCAAGTCCACCACTACATCCGAGGGACCTATATACTTGAAACAGGTAACTTCCAAGGCATGTGTCAACCTGAAAAGAAGCTGCAGACCCAGCCGCTATGATACCGGTGGTCATGCCAGTAGCTGGCTGCTGGATGTAGTGCATCCCGCGCCCGCCTTCGATGCAAATCTCTCGTTCACCCCGTCTCCTTGTTCCAGTGTACCAAGGAAGGACACGGCAAGCTCCCAATACCCTTGCCTTGGACTCCTACGTCGTAGGAATTCTACCCTAAAACCCGAACAACCTACGGTAAACCCTGAAACTGAACCCTAAACCCCAAACCCGAAACCCGAAACCCTAAACCAGTGGTAGGGCCTTATAGCCAAGAGAGTCGCCTCACGAGCTCTGCTGGCAGGCCATCGTCAAAGACGCGCAGTGCGAAATCCTCGCCCGGGACGTCGCTGCAACTCTCCGTCCTGTCAAGCATCGAAGCTTCCTTGTAGGGAGGCTGTCAGGGCTTAAGGCTGAAAGAGTCCCGGATTGCCTTTCCGGGGCTGTACGAGCACTACTTAAGACAAGAGGGCGTAAAGAGCGTGAGAGTCTGTGACTGGATGTTTTCCACGGCAAATTTCTGAATCCCTAAACCCCAAACCCTCTCCCCTAAATCCTAAACCCTCTCTCTCTCTCTCTCTCTCTCTCTCACTCACTCACGCACTCAGGAAAGCCCTAAACCCTAAAACCCTAAACCCTAAACCCCTAACCCCTGAAACCCCAAACCCCTACTAAACCCCAAACGCCCCAAAGGGGGGGGGTCCAGAGCTGGTCGGCAAGGCGAACACCGAGGCTCAGTCGGGCCAAGTGGGTGTCGGCCTCCTCTCTGCTTTGGGGCACATGGCTGCTTTTAGGGTTTAGGGTTTAGGGTTTAGGGTTTAGGGTTTAGGGTTTAGGGTTTAGGGTTTAGGGTTGAACCCTTAGGCCTACAACACCCTCTCAACCCCCGATTAGGGTTTAGGGTTTAGGGTTTAGGGTTCAGGGTTCAGGGTTTAGGGTTTTAAGTTTTTCGGGTTTTGGGGCTTCAATGACAAAGACTGTATAAAGAGGGCTTTGGTCTTCATAGGGTCTCTAGGTTCGCCTTTTCTACAGAAGTTCATGTGCCAAGCATGTTTAATGGTTTAATGACCAAGGTCCCTGGGTAAAGGTGGAGGGGGTTCACGATCCATCCTACCACGAAGCTATCTCTGTAAGCTAGCTGAACGAGCCTGGAAACGGCCCAGCTGGCATTGCCTCAGCTCTGTCTCGTGGATCTTTCACTCATGGTAAGTTCTCCAAATGTTTGTCTGGAAGACACAGGTCCGGACACATCCCGAAGCTCCCCAAAGGCGTAAGAGAGTCCAGTGCCACCGGCACTTTCGCGGGCCAAGCAAGAACAAATTGATATCTATACCTTTCTTCTCCAGCATGTTCAGACTTCACATGATCCATGATACAGGACGTAATCGAACGTGCACAACGCTGTGCTCGCAACTCTCCAGTGCCTAGCCGCGGTTGAGCGAGGCAGCGGGACAATGATTGAACAAGTAACTAGACTGGCCCAGACCGCAGCAACCCACCAAAACACTACACCCTAAACCACCACCACCACCTCCACCACCACCACCACTCATATTCTGCTCCCAAGCTGCTGCAGCGCAAGGTAGAAATGTGCGACTCGGGCGGCCTCGGCGTCGTCGCGCCTGAGGCGGGAGCGGTGTCCTGAGGTTTGCCTACCTGTTTAGGGTTTAAAGGGGTTTCGGGTTTAGGGCTTAGGGCTGAGGGTTTAGGATTTAGGGCAAGCTGGGGGACCAAAGGTCCGTCTGCGCCCCATAGGGATTCAGTAGACGAGGGTAGTGCTGTGATCCCCAGAACCCCCTATATAAGATTGTCGTAGCATAGGGTAGAGGATCTCAAATATGAGGCCCTGCCTTCCAACCCGGAACCCTCAACCCTAAACCTTTTAACACCTTTGTATATTCTTGGCAGCTCAGCATTGGGGCTCTTGCTGGCCTCGGGTGCGCGTGCTGCGCCTCCGCCCGGTGGACGCAACGCTGCAGCAAGGCCTCCTGTGTGCTTAGGGGTGTACGGTTTCTAGGGTCTAGGGTCTAGGGTTTCAGGTTCAGGCTTAGGGGTTATGGGGCTTAGGGTTTATAGGGTTTATAGTGTTTGGGTGGAACTTGAACACTTGGATTCAGAAGCTCTGATGTACGAACTCGAAAAAGTCTGTGCTCCGAACAGGCTCCGAACTTCCCAGGTGGGGGGGGGGGGGGGAACTCTCATCTTCGAAGGCTCTCGCATGTTCGAACCCAGGCTTTAGACTCTGGAGCTTCAGGGTTTTCAGGGTTTGGGGTGAAAGTTTGAGACCCCCAGTCGAAATCTGAAGCTCGGCCTCAGGGTTTTGGGGAACGTAAACCCTAAACTTTAAACCCTACTGTCAACCCTAAACCGTAAACCCCAAACCCTACACCCTAAACCCTGGCCTCCCCGAGGAGGTCCCCGGCGGTTCGACGCCGGATCGCGCGGGCGAGCAGGGCCGCAGGACGAAGGTCGCGCATGGCGCGTTCAGGTCATCTCGGAACTTGTTTTTGGGGCTTTTAGGGGTTTGAGGGTTTAGGGGTTGAGGGTTTTAGGGTTGAGAGTTTAGGGTTTGGGGTCTAGGGGTTAGGGGTGTTAGGGTTTTGGATTTAGGGGTTTTAGGGTTTTAGCGCTTTAGGGTTTAGGGTTTAGGGCTTTAGGGTCTGGGGTTTAACAAGTAAGCGTTATGTCATGTAGGGATATGCAGGGATGCATTGTTCCCATGACATTCCTGCTGCGTGTAGCTCATGTGCTTAACATTCATGTCCAGGCGATGAGGAGATGCGTTGACACCTCGGGAAGCCCGACGTGCAGTAATTACCTAGACTTGTCTAAGCAGGTTCATGACACATTGTCGTTCATCGGAGCTCTGGGCAACTTAGGCATGTCCTATATGGCTGGTCTCTGTATGGCAAAGGGGTGAGAAAATTGACCCATATACCTCAAGCTGCGTAAGCAGAGGGGTCTTGGGACGATATGCATATCATGTGCAATAAATCTATAAACACATACGTGTATAAAATCAATAAATATAAATATAAATAAATAAATATATATATATACATATGTGTATATATATACAGACTGATGATGTCAAGCTTAAATAGCCCTAAGCCCTAAACCCTGAGCCTGGTCCGGGAAGCTCGATTGTCTCCCACGCCGTCGGCGTGGATGCCTCAAGCACAGGGGGTAAGATCCACATTCCTGGCTCCTTGTGGACATGTTCGTGCAACTCCTGGAAAGATATTGGTGAAAGGGAGACCCCGAAACTAAGCGCTTCTAACTTTGATTCAGCCTGCGTATCTTGACAAGCAAGGCAAGCGAGACTGTCAACGTTGTTGCTGGATCCAGAATGATCCCGAAGAGCTGAGCCGGGGTCTTAACGGCCCTCAAGCGCCTTGAACTTCCTTGCGAAGCCCTCAAGCCTTTTTTGCCACAAGTCCTCTTCGGGTTGCGCTCTCTTGCCCTGAAGCCCTCCTCCTAGTCCTGGGCAACTTGCAGCCAAGATCTTGTGCTCAACCGAGCCCTGTGCCTTCTGGGCGACTGACACCTGAAGCACAGAGAGGGCTTCACAAAGCAAAGTGGTCTACATCGTTGAGAACAATCCTTGTTCTTCTTGTGCTTGACAAACAACCCCTTCTTGCAAGACCTTGGGGTCAGCCCTTAACCCACGGAGTTGGCTTGCAGCTCCGCCAATGCTTCTGTCTCTGCTAAGGTCTGTCTATAGCTCAGCCAGGGTTTTGTTTCTCTTTTCCTTTTATCGGGGGCGGGGTGGGGGAATGTCATGGTCGAGTGCTTTTGTTGTGACTGTAGAATGTCGATGTAGAGGAAGTCGTTGCAGCGAGTGGTTCCATGCAACGTGCGGTTGTTAGTGTTGCGCCGCGCACAGGACCTGAGGAACCAACAAGAGACGGCCAAAAACCTGAACGCCCTAGAACGAAGGCCCTGACCCAGGCGGAGCCGTCGAATCGCTCCACAGACAAGAGCCTGTGGGCGGTTTTGGGGTTTAGGGTTTAGGGTTTGGTCTCTTTGGACTTTAGCCTTCTTGCGCCCCTTCCGACATTGGGTTTTGGAGTGTAGGGTTTAGCTAAACTTGGGGAGGTTCGTGGCGGGAGCAGTCGGAATTCATGTTTGATCCTGGCATCTTACAACTAAGGCTCAGGGTAATGGGTTTCGGGTTCAGGAGGGTGTGTTGGGACTTGGGATTCGAGGGAACGCTGGAAGACTACTGGCCCCTACTCCTGCACATTCTGCCGCTACAAACCCTCGATAAACCCTTCACTTTCAACATTGTGCTACCCCCCAGGCCCGAAACCCTAAGCCCTGAACTCTAAGCCCTGTAACCCTAAACCCTAAACCCTAAACCCTAAACCCTAAACCCTAAACCCTGTAACCCTAAACCCTGTAACCCTAAACCCTATAACCCGAAAACCCTGCACCTTGTCGACTCTTCGATGGGAGCCCCTGGAACTCATGGATCCTTTCCCGACTTGCGAAGAAGATCCGGTGGGACCCTTCCAACAAGGGACCTTAGAAATTATTTAGGGGCTACTTATAGGCAGAAATAGGGACTATAACTTAGTTGCTGAGTTCATAAGCCCCCCAAAAGTGTACACTTTTAGTTTTGTAGAGATTATAGTATCCCAAAAAGTGTATAGTGTGCTCACTCAGCTACGAAGATAACAAGGTGCATACAGGGGTCCTACAGGGGAATAAGATTAAGGGACCCTTCTCGGGGTCCCTCCTTCTTCCCCCTTAAAAACCCGGATGCCGGGCCTTGAACCGAACCCTGTCCGGGGCGTCTGGAAGATCTGGACCTCGGGAAACCCGAGGGGTTCATGGGGTTTAGGGTTCAGGGTTACAGAGTTTAGGGTTTAGGGTTATAGGGCTTAGGGCTATGGAGTTTTGAGGGCCTTCAAAGACCCAAAAAACGGCTGAACTCCCAAAACGACTGTACGCTAAACCCCAAACGGTTTTTAAAGCTTAAATGTAGAACTGCGACTCGTGCATCGAAAAACACCTAAGCCCTCTTTTGTATCCTGGGGCGGTTGGTGAATGCCAAATGCCTGAACCCCACCTCGTTTCGCTCCCTCCCCGCCTAAGGCTCTCGAACCCGACGCCTGCCACTAGCGCTTTGGGGTTTAGGTTTCGTTTAGGGCTCAGGGCCGGCTTATAGGGCGTTTGCAACGCAGACCATTCAGAACCAACTCAGACTAACAAGCCCCAAGCCCGAAGCCCTTTTTGCACATGGACTTGCTGAATCCCCAACCCTAAACTCCTAAACCCTAAACCCCCTTTTTTTAACCAGACTCTAACCCCTAAACCCAAAAAAATCCGGAGCCCGTTTTCGCACCTTCAAACGCAGGGGAGGCCCCGTGCAGGCCAATTTGGATTGCTTCTCCAGAGGTCTTCAAGGGCCTCTTGTGTCTCAAGGGGGCTTCGGGGCGGAAGAGTCCCTACCATTGGGCAGTGTATCTATATATATATTATATATAATGAATAGACATTCGGGTTGATAAAATGCTTATTAAGGTTGAGGACACACATATACAGTGATGAACGTAGTTCAGGCTTCTGCTTCTACTAGATTGAGGTTTTGGGGGTTTTGAAAGCACAGGGGTTCGGTGCGTCCTGTTCGGGCAAGGGACTGCCTTCTGGATACGGTCGGCGCTCGAAGAACGACTGTGTCAGCACATTTCGGTGGGTTTAAGGAGCTTACGGTTTAGGGCCTAGGGTTACCGCGAATGTGGCGCCAGCCGCAAACCCTACACCCTAAAGCCTTTTATAAAACAATCCGAGGACGTCCGAGAACCTCCATGCCTACAGATTCAGAAGTCTCTTCTGGAGGGCATTGCTTCCGATCCTGACCCCTGGACCTCTTGGATCTTCATAAAAGGCTCATGCACCGGGGCTGGGCAGGATAAGCACATTGGCGCCCCCGTCGTGCTTGTGGGAGGAAGCGAAACCCTTTCTGAAAGCCACATGCATTATCATAAGTCCTTAAAGTGGCCGCAGGAAGCCTTCGACAGAAACCTGAATCGTCACGTGACAGAAAGAGATCCGCATCTCTCCCATGCTCTGCAACTTCCGGCCGCCCTACCGCGCGCACTGCGCTGCGGCGGCCGCCGCGTTCCCATGGAGCAGTGTACACTTGTCAGGGCGCTCCTCTGGGG